CGCAACATTCGAATAAAGATCGAGTGTCCGTTTTACTCGTGCAACCAATAAGTATTAAGGTATTGAGGTACGTGTGGGTATTTTTCTTTAGTTTCTTCTTTTTTTCTTTTTGAGCTGAAGCTTGAAGCACCCGACTCTTCACGTCATATGATTGGAAGTATTTTTGTACTCGCATACAAACAATGCCATCATCACCCTATTTTCAACTGCATGCAAGTGCTGGCTTATCAGGTACCTAACTGAAGCTGTTTATCTCATCCCATTATTCCGTCCCATCAACCACAGGACCAAGCTGTCGTACCATTTATAAGTATTGCGCGAACGCCGTTCTACTTCTACATACTGGGCATATGCTTGGCAGTACTACTTATTTGAAGCTCGGAGTTCCACAAGTTGTATACGTTAGGTACATACGTACATACGTACATTACATGCATCTTACATAAACCCATGAACCCCATCTCTATCTCTAATTCACTCTCACCTTGGCTCCAATTCGTCTTACCGAAGAGGCTTTGAAGCTATTTCCCCAATTGACAGCGTTACACAAAACCGGGATATCCCGTACACGTTGATTGGTTATTTTTACATGTATCACCATACCTTTTCCGTATTTATCAGTCTAATCCATTTATTAAATCAAACTAACCTCCTTTGGCTTTTTCAGACCAAAAACCTGGAAGCTATTGCAACGCGCACAAGCTATAAGCTCATACCTTCTCCTTAAGACTTTTACCGCATTCGCCATATTCACAACATACAGCTTCACATCCTCATTCACATCCTCATATCCTCATTCACGACTCTTTCAACACAGCCACCGTAGCTACTACGCGACATAGTGTTACTACAGATTTACCATCGCTGGAGAATACTAGTACTGGATCCTACCTCCTTACATCAAACGAATTATACGCCGAAAGTCCAACTTGTATTTCTCCTTTGCCGCGATAACATCTAACCTGCATATAAGGTGTGCTGTCGCCTGTCAAGAGACCTGTTCCAATCCTAATCCCTAGTGCAATGGGCAAAACTGGTGCTCTTCAGCTCAATCTAGCCTACTTTTACAACATCCGCCATCGATAGAGTGGCATACAGAGGTTAGTCTCCTAACTTTCTTAATCGTCACCTAACCTTTATGTCCGTATCGCATACAATAGTACAATGGTATTTCTTTGTCACGTCTACAGTTTGCATATTCCCTCGATTGCAAAATCTCGTCTTTTTCTCGGCTCTCCCTGTCGACTTGCCTCAAATACCTCAGGTTGAACAAGGGAGTCTGATTTACTCATTAATGCATTCCGGTTCTAACAACATACGACCCTCATACATGCCAACAAATGCTAACATTGTGTCCTTTGTCAGAACCGTGGTCCTTTGCGTACGTGACCCTCTCCAGATCCTTCAACACCGCCAGTCATGGCAAAGACGCTCCGGCTCGGAGCTCGGCTCCGCTACCCCATTACCATATCCAAATTCCTCAAAAACCACGGCGACGATGTCTCCAAACAAGAGCCCATCCTTCGATATACCTTCAAGTATATGCGTAGCGTTGGTGACCCGAGTAAAAACGAAGAGCATGAGATAGAAGAAACAGGTGTCGCAGATTGGGACAGCCCTGCCGAGGGCAAGGTTAAGCAATGGCGGGTTAAAATAGGAGAAGTAATTAAGAAAGACCAGGATCTTGTCACTATCGAGGAGTCCTGCGGCCACGAAGTGCAATACGCTGGTCTCTGCGCCATATGCGGTAAAGATATGAAGGAGGCTACCTACGCCAGTGAGTCGCTCGATACCGAACGCGCGACGGTCGCCATGGTTCACGATAACATTGCCCTTACCGTCAGCGCGGACCAAGCCGCACGCGCCGAAATGCAATTACAACGCCGATTACTCCAGGACCGCAAACTCAGTCTTGTTGTCGACCTGGACCAGACAATTATCCACGCTTGCATCGACCCTACCGTAGGTGAATGGCAACGCGATCCATCAAATCCCAACTATGAAGCTGTCAAAGACGTGCGTAGCTTTCAGCTCGACGATGGCCCGCGTGGTGCGGCTAGTGGTTGTTGGTATTATATTAAGATGCGCCCAGGCCTGGCCGAATTTCTTGAAAGGATATCCCAGCTATTCGAGCTACACGTTTATACAATGGGCACGCGCGCCTATGCTCTCAACATCGCCAAGATTGTCGATCCGACACAAAAACTCTTCGGTAACCGGATCATCAGCCGAGACGAGAACGATAGCATAACAGCCAAGAGTCTACAACGATTGTTTCCCGTCAGCACTAACATGGTCGTGGTAATCGACGATCGAGCCGACGTCTGGCCACGGAATAGGTCGAATTTGATCAAAGTCACTCCATATGATTTCTTCACGGGCATTGGTGATATCAACTCCAGCTTCCTACCCAAACGTGAAGATATAATAGCCGCACCACCACCCCCTGAGACGAAGCCGGTCAATGGAAATGCCGCACGACTAAACGTCTATGGAAGCGATACAAAAAATCCCATACCAGATCACGAAAAAGCATTAGCTAATGGCAACGATGAGAATGCGATTCTACAACTACGAGCAGAGGAGCAAGAACGTACCCTTGAGAAGCAGCTCAAGGATCGTCCTTTACTCCATCTGCAAGAAGAGTTAGACAAAGTAGATGAGGAGACAGAGAAGACGTCGGTAGAGAACGGTGACAGTCCAGAACCGTCTACAAATGGAGAATCGGAAAGTCCATCACATCAGCGACATAAGCTTTTACGCGATGACGATAGAGAACTTAAATTTCTCGAACAACATCTAGCCAAACTTCACCATTCGTTTTACGAACAATACGACGCCCGATGTGCGAATCGCCGACCTGGTGACATCATACCGGATGTGATTCCGGATGTCGGGTCTACTCTAAACTTCCTCAAGTCGCAAATCCTTAAGGGCACGAAACTTGTGCTTTCTGGACTGGTGCCTTTAGATGTCGACGTACGTAGAAGCGAGATTGGAATGCAAGCCGAAAGCTTTGGCGCGGAGATACGGACACGCGTGAGCGATGAAGTTACCCACCTAGTTATTAACATTGCACGCCCGCGGACTCAAAAGGTTCGCCAGGCGGCACGCATCCCTACGATCAAAATAGTCAACCAAAATTGGCTTGCGGAATCCATCGCACAGTGGGCGAAGCTTAATGAGACGCCGTATCTTATACAAGTACACCCTGCCGATCGAAATGCCGAAACACCGTTAGAGGAAGGCTCGGCTTCACCTCCCCGGCCGAAAATCACCATCGTCACCTCGGGTCGTCAATTATTCGAAGAGCAAATGAACGACGCTGCCGACGATGGCGACGCGGATGGCTCAGGGGATGACGAGGAGGAGGAGGAAGAAGAAGAGGAGGACGATGATGATGAAAACGACGACGAAGAGTTCCACGACAGATACAATGTAATGCCGCCCGATATCGGAGATGGCCAGCATAGTCCTATAGATGATCTCGATGGGATGGAGTGGGGCGATGTCGATAAGGAGCTCGAGGAGTTTATGGGGTCGGATATGGACGACTCAGATTTCGAAAGCACGCAGGGGACGGATCGCGGCACGGATACGGAATCGGAGGAGCCTAAGAGTAAAAAGCGTAAGCTAGGCGATGAGGATGATGAAGATGACGGCAGCGAAGAGCCCGGGGGAAGTATGTTAGCCAAGAAACAGCGCATCGCGAAAGCGAGGACTACGGGTCTTCGGAACGTCAGAAACGCTACAGACGAGGAAGACGACGAGGATAGTGGGTTGCCCACGCCGATGGGTACGGGCGACGAAGAAGATGCGGCCCGCGAAGCAAATGCTAAAGGTAATGGAGAAGCCAGCGGCGAAGACGACGAAGACGACGACGACGACTTTGCCGACCTGGAAGCCGAACTAGAAGCTGAATTACAAGCAGCGGGCGAAGATGGTTGACTTATCAACCCTAGCTATAAACCCCGATGCGGACTGGGGCTAGTAGAGGCAAGAGGAAGCGTTTGTTTTGATAGGTTTGTCCGTCTGTATCACGAGTGGACGAATGCATGACTCTGGCGGCGCATAAAAGCAGGCACATCATCATCATCATCATCATTTTCAGCACCATCATCATGTTGTAAGGGTTGTTTTCATCGCGCTCGGGCATGATATACTTGGCTCAATTTTAAGGGGTGTTTATACTTGATCAAACGTGTCTAAGGGGAGTTATTCTAAGAGGAGTTATTTGTCGTAAGCGGCAGACACTTAAGGAGTCTGGGAGTGCAAGGGGGCATTAGGTGCGATACCTACCGGAACTAAAGGGGGGTTGGGTCTGCTTGAAGATTTTGGGCTGCATAGCGATTTATTTGGTTAAGCTGCTTGACGATAGTTTAGTAAAGACACCTTTTCTGCATGTGGATGGATTTATTACCAATTGTGTTGGTTGAGTACCTATGTAGTTGTTGACTGAGCATATCGACATACATACCTGTATTACCATATGTACCTACAATATGTGCCTACAGTTATGTACCTACAGTATGTGCATCTTAATACACGTGACGTTATTACGTAATATACGTACCCAAGGTAAAGAGTCTCCACCTTTCTTAAAGCACTGGTCCAGTGAAAAGTCTCAAGATTCAAACCCGTCGGCGGTCATCAATCGGGAGCTTTGATCAATTGGTCCTAGGTATTAGATTTCAACAACAGCAACAACCACGAAATACCCCATCTCCATCGCCATCCCCATCGCCATTGTCAACGCCATAATGCCTCAGGATCTACCCCCCATCGGAGGCTACGGCCCTGTGCAGTACAAGGTTAGTTAGTTCATTTACATGTTGGTTTACTTATAATATTCAATATTCAATATCCACCATTCCTCATGTATTGTACCTCAGCTAACATGCAATGTTTTCTCACAGCGTAACCTCCCCGCCCCAGGCTTCCGGCCGACGACGCTGCTCCTCGCCATGGGCGCCGTCATGACGTTCGGTTTCTACAAGTTGGGACAGGGGATCCGAGAGCAGAAGTACGTATCGTTTCGTTTCGTTTACGTCACCTTATTAAATTCCGAATGGCATGGCATAGGATAGGATAGGATAGGATAGGAGAGGATATTGTTTAATAATGCGATGCGATACGGTGTAATGGCTAACCCGTCTGTCTGTTTTCAGTGAGCTCGCCCGCGAAAAGATGTGGTCGCGCATCCACTTGATCCCCCTGCTCCAGGCCGAGGAAGACCGCGACCTCGTGCGCAGACACCTCGCCGACCAGGCGCGCGAGAAGGAGCTGCTGGGCGAGAATATGCAGGTTTATAATTCTGGAAAGTATGTTGTTTGTCCTAACTATCCCCTAACTATAACTACTATGTTACTTAGGTACTAATATGTGTACGCTCGTAGGTACGTGAGGCCGACGTTTGCTGTTACGCCGTCTAGCGTGACCAAGTAAAGAAAAGGAGAACAGTGGCAGTAGTAGTAGTGGTGGTGGTGGTATTGGAGGTGGCATATACCACTCTACACATATAAACTGAGACGCAATACAACACAACACAAGACAACACAACACAGCATGCAGCTGGCTGGCTACGAGCGGAAGAGCTCCCCGAAGTTGGCAACGGTGCGAGACGTGTATATAAGGTATACACATATACATATAAAGAAATAAACAAAGCTATTAACATCGTTCGGTTGAGTCTATAGCTCAATACTATTCTTACCTATGTACCTGTTTGAACTACTGCTCACGGATACGGTAACGACGATATACTCGGGAATCTAAACTCGGATTTCTGCGCCGAGTATCTGTCTACAGGACCACCTATTACAGATAGACAGACGGCTTTGTAGCCAGAGGGGAGCATCGCTGTAATCTCGTCATGAAATTTCATTTCAATAAAGCGCACTTTTCTCTATCACGAGGGTTATTTATTTACCTCTCTCTTGACAGCCAAACGCCAGACCCCTTCCGTCGTCATCAATCCATTCATACATACGTGTCTTAGATAGGTACAGCTTAGTCATCCATCCATCGCCCGAGCGTATGCCCCATCATGGACATCATGGACACCGACGCCGTCGTTACATAGGTAGTCTAAGCGGCAGCATGTACCACCTTGAAACCTTCGCTCACCATCTTCGTGATGTCCTCGTTTTTATGTTGGAGTAATCCCAGTGCGAATGCGACATCGCTCCACTGACGCTCCGTTTCGCAGCGCGGAAGACGAGCCGCTAGTTTCTCTGCGAGCTGTTTTGCGTGTTTGTCCTATTTGTTATATCGTCAGTATAGAATATTGTATAGCATAGTACATAGTATACACGAAACTTACCTTCTCGACAAATCCTAACAAGAACTTGACGATCCGTCGGAATGCGTCCGTCTCCATCCGGCGGTCCGCGGACAGCAGACTAAACATGTCTACGAAGTGATTATACACTGCGTTGTCCTTGGTGCTCAGCTCCGTGAAGAACATGCGCGCTAGATCGGCGATTCGCTTGTCTTCGTCCTCTAAGCATTTAGCCATCTCGCCCAGTTGTCCCTTTACCTTGACCTGTCCCGCAAGAATCAAGAATGTCAGCGTCATCAGGCATGTTCGCTTGACGGATAGGTCTCGGTCCGCCAACCGGCGGTATAAGAAGTCTGTGTTTTCGTCGATGAGGTGGTTAAAACAGACGGCCATGTCGCCGAGCGCGATGACTACGTTCGACCGCACTGTCGCATCCGGTGACCGCTCCATGATGGTGATGAGTAGCGGAAGGTGAGCCTCGCAATACTCGCTACTGACGCACATAAGCTTCGCTAGGCAGAGCGTTGCTGCAGCTTGCAAGCCTTTATCTCTATATATGTCGCTGCGTGAGCAGATCTCGGCTACCAATGGGCCGAAGTTGGCCAGCAGGGATTGCGGTCCGAACAATAGCTCCTGCTCACGTATGTGCGCCATAGCCTCCGTGAAATCGTCTTCTGTCGTGCCACCAATCAGGTCCAGCTCGTCGCCCGCCTCCTCTGCGGCAGGCGCAGGTGTCTTGCTCTTTCGGCCTCCGGACGGCCGTGGGGCGGCGGGTTTAGCAGCCGAGTCCTTCTCCTTCTCCTGCTTCCGCCGCTTGAAATCGAGCTCGCAGAGTTCAAGATGGACGATTTGTTTGATGGCTACGTGGCCAACTATGAAGAGAAGCTGAGATAGCGCAATCGCTGCCTTCTGTTTGGGTTCGGCCGGTGGCTCTGAAGTCAGCCGGTCGACGGCTTGTGTTGGAGCGTCGAGGCCCATGGTGATGCCCTGCGTCATGCCTTGGTCAACAGTAGCAGTGGCAGTGTAATCCTGGTCCCTCGACATCGGACGAGACATAGAAGGCGATTTCTGTCGTGCGGCGAATACGACCTTAGTCCTGCGTCTAATTATCTCGGAACATAGCGTATCGGGGTGTTTAGCAAGAGTATAGATAGCATTGATGGCCTGTTCAGCAACTCCGAACCACTCCTTGCTATCGCTTGGCACCTCGGTAATTGCTGCCAGCCTTGCCAGTACGGCATGCTCGTTTGGAAGACGACTGAACTTGACTGTTGAATCCTTGGCTTGTCGACCTGTAGGGTTAAGCCTTTGCAGAGCAATGCATGTAAACTTAGCTAATTGGAGGTCGGCTCGACCGTGCGACCCAAGACCAGTTCGTAGCATCGTCTCCATTTCGCCGACGACAATCTCCGGCGACGCGGTGGCAAGCATGCCTAATACGATAATAGCGCCTCTACGTTGAGATCGAGACATTTCTCTCTTGTGAAAGCCGTATATCTCCCACAATTTCGTTACTACTCGGTCAGGGATCATACCGCCCTTCATCATGGTTGCGAGGAGTTGCTCGAGACTGGTCAATTCGGCCGGCGTAGTGCCAGATGTGAGGCTGATCATGTTCCTCGCAATATAGATAGCAGCATCGTTCGGGCTAAAGCTGTCCGGTGCTTCGAAAAATAGTCGTCTGTAACAGTCGATAAGATGCGACTGTACACCCTTACCCTCGTCACTGTTGCCCTTCGTCCAAATAAGACGCATCATCCGTCGAATTCCAACCATGTTGTCTTCGATATTGTACGCATTTCCGATTTCTAGGTAGTCCATCGCTTCGATAACTTCGGACTTATTCTTGGACCCAAGAAGCTGACAAACAGTGGAAGTAGCCTCATGTAGAACTTCGATAAACTTGAGGGCATCGGTGTAGTATCGCTTCGTTAAAGTCAGCTTTTCGATGGCCTCCGACGTAGCGGCATCTTCCCGAGCTTTCTGAACTGCCGCCACCTTTTCCTCGTCGGTCATCTCTCTAGGTTTCTGAGGCGACTCTATTTGAGTGGGCTCATCTACTAGTGCCGTACTGTTAGCCTGATCTTCTCCTAAACCAGGCTCACCAGCTGGCGGCTTCAGGGCGTCTAGCTCGGCGTCGACCTTGTCAAGCCTTTCCTGCCAATCCTTGCGAGAGAGTTGAGCCCCATGTAGTACAGTAAAGGGGTGCGTCTTGATCAGAGTCCCTAGAAGTTTTATTGCGTTCCTCCTGACGTGACTACTCTTGTCCTCGAGACTCCTGCAGGCAAGCTCGGCGGCTTTCTGCCTACGCTTGGGGAACTTCTGTTCGAGTTCGCAGAGCCTCGTATAGACCTGCATGGCTCTGCACCTGCAGTAGGGATTAATGTCTAGGAAACGCTCCTCTAACACGTCAAAGAAAGCATTAAGCTGAGATTTGTGGTTTTCGCTACGCTCTTCCTGCGTGGTGAGATGTGCGATCATGTTACCGCAAACCTCGATTAGCGAGCATCGCAGGGTATACGACTACTACACATTAGGCTGGCTGACTATAATATGGGGTCATACATACCTCGCTATCTAATTGCTTGGCTAGCATCGTCATCTGTTTGATCACTAGCCGGGGAATAAGCTCGGAGAGCTTGACGATGAATGAGGAAACCGACTTCGGGCCCTTTGTATCGTTGGTATTAAATTCCTTATTACTGATTTCTCTTAGGATCTCATCAGCCAGCTGCGGGTAGTCGTATTGTTCGGCTAATATGTGTAGAAACTCAGCCATCGGCTCAGATAGGTGTTCGAAGTAAGTCAGATTCTGGACGATGGATATTTGCGCCGCTATGACCGTGTCAGTATTCCTACCAAGTTAATTTTGACTGTTAAGTCCGCTCACCGTAGCCATGGCCGTGATGTTTTACGGCAATGCAAAGAACCTTGAAGGCATGCATTTTTATGGCTGTGTTTTTGACTCTCTGTTCGCTCTCTAAGACCATATATACGGGCCTAGTGAGAAGACCTATGAAGGTATCGCGCTCACTAGTCGTTAGGAATATCTTGCCGAGTTTCAGCTTAAGAACTTTAGACATAACATCCAACGCCGACTGAAGCTGGGCGGCGCTATCCCAATTGCCGTCCTTGTCTTTACTCGTGGCCTTAGACTTGGCGCCCTTGCCCCTGGCACGCGATACGGGAGCTGTAGAAGACTTTTCGGCGGCTTTCGTCTCGACGCAAGCGATTGTCCATTGTAATAGGAAGCCGTATATCTCAAGTAGAGATTTGTGGTGAGCGATTATCTCCTGCTCGTCGGGATTTTCGAGGTCGTGGTTGATAGTATCAGCCTCAGCTGCTAGGCCGCTCATAATGAGGTCGAAGATCTTGCTCAGGGCGTGGGTGGGCAGGAACTGGGTGTATCTGGATTGCAGGAAAAGCTTAGAAATAGGTTCTCGCGATCTCGAGGCGGAGGACTGCGAAGACTGGGAGTTATCAGGGGGGGAAATGGAAGTGGGTGCACACTTGAGAAGGAATTGCAGCGAGTCAAAGTAGGCGCTGCGCATGATAGCGTCGGGATTTCCGGCGACAGCATCGACGATAGGGTTCAAGACCGAGTTAAGGAGCGAGATGTTGGATAGGGATTCGGGGTCGGATTCGCAGTCGACTAAGGCGCTGTCGGCTTCGGGAGTAGCGATACTTGCCGGGTCACTCATGTAGTGCATGAGCGCCTCATTTATATCGAAGTTGACCGGATCCATTGCGGCCGGGAGTATTTGCGCCTGACGAGCGCTGATAGAAAAACGTAGACGAAGTTGAGGTCGAAGTGGGTGTATTATATTAACTAGAGAAGATAATTACTTCGTAGGGGAAGAATAACTAAACAAGAGTTGGTCGCCAGGGACATTCGATAAAATGAATAAAAAGGGGGGTGAAGAAGAGAGGGGTGAATATCCCGGGTATCTTTAGAGAGGGTTGTTATTCTTGTTTAGAAGATGATAACGAATAACGACATGGATGAAGATGTTTTTGGGAGAATTATGTGGAGACGTCGGGTGCATGTGTACGGAATACAGTAGTGTGTACAGTAGTGTATCTCTATAAAGTTTTAAGCTGCTTTAGCAACCGTTTTGTTATTGTTTAGTTCTTGATAAGGCGCGACCGCCAATCAATCTTTTCTCCAGCAGAACCCCGCGCCTAATCCCCATCAACCAGTCAACCCGCTAAATAAAAACGCGTCTGATAAGAAACCAGAGATTCAGGTACTTTGTACTTGTGGAATTTCTAACATTGACCTCGAATAATAGAAATAGAATTTCAAGCCATAGAACCTTGAAACAATTCAATACCACCATACACTAACCTTATCCACTGTGCTTGCTTGAAATTAGATTTTATAATTCCTACTCCTTTTAACTATTTAACTACCAATCATTGTTCAATTGTTGTCCATATATCAATATCATATGCCTTTCCTTCCTTCTCTCGAAGCTTCGCGATTCAGAACAAGATATTACTGGATCGCATTGGGTTATGTTCAAGGGGAGAAGGAGGTAGAGGACGACGAATAAGAAAGAAAGAAGTTCTATAGCATTGGGACAATGGCATCTGCTGCCACCCATCGTCGAGTGGCCAAGGCGCCCTTCCAGATTCACCAGGATCAACCCAGGGGCCAGACTTCAGACACCGAGGAGTCCGCACAGAGCCAGACACGAAAGACTGACGAGGAATACGACGACCATGATGACCACGACTATTTATTAGGGGAAGAAGGCGAAGAAGAAGAACAAGAAGAAGAGGAAGAAAATCCAGCCGAGGAAGATGACGGATGCGAAACCGACTCCTCTGACGATAGCGACGAGATCGACCTCAGTGTTCAGCATGATATGGACAAACTACAAACTGCCTTTCCCAACTTCAAAGATAACTATCGTCTAATAAAGCGCATCGGCGAAGGAACTTTCTCTACTGTATATAAAGCTGAAGATATACAATATCATCGGTACGAGAACCGTTGGGATATAGACGCGTTAGAAACCCAATGGAGACCTCCGCCCCTCAGGAATTCCCGATCCAACTCGGTCTCTTCTCGTACTTCTCGTACCCGCCAAAAGCCAAAGTTTGTGGCGATTAAGAAAATCTACGTAACTTCTTCGCCCGCTCGCATCCTCAACGAACTCGAACTCCTCCACGATCTACGAGATTCCCACTCCGTCTGTCCTCTCATCACCGCCTTTCGTGAAGCAGACCAGGTCCTCGCTATTCTTCCCTACTTCCGCCACCAGGACTTTAGAAAATACTATCCTCACATGAGCGTTTACGATATGAGAGTGTACTTCCGATCCCTCTTCACAGCTCTCGCTGCCGTACACGAAAAAGGCATTATACACCGCGATATTAAACCTACTAACTTCCTATACGATCCGGATAAGAAGCGCGGAGTTCTAGTAGACTTCGGATTGGCCGAGCGGGAGGGCTTAGACACCAAACCATGCATGTGTCATGATGATCGGCAAGTAAGGAAGCAGAAACTGCAGCAATCTGTCGCATTCAGCTCGGTCCAAGCTGGCCCGCAGCCGGGTTACCCGGTGAATGATACCCGTCCATCTCGTCGCGCGAACAGAGCGGGTACCCGTGGGTTCCGGGCACCTGAGGTTCTATTTAAATGCACGGAACAAACGACTAAGATAGATATCTGGTCCGCCGGTGTCATTTTACTAACTATTCTCTGCAAACGATTCCCTTTCTTCAATAGCGCCGATGACGTCGAGGCACTAATCGAGATCGCCACTATATTCGGCTCAAAAAAGATGAAGATGGCGGGACAGCTGCACGGCTGCGTCTTCGACACCAATATACCTACTATCGGCGAGAGGGGTTTTACCTTCGAAAAGATCATGCTATGGAGCACGTGTAGGAGCGATGTGAGCAAGGACGGTAGACCCAGCACATTGACCGAAGAGGAGAAGGGAGCTATCGAGTTTTTGACAAGGTGTATGGAATTGGACCCGACGAAGAGGATCAGCGCTAAGCAGGCGCTGGTGCACGATTTTTTACAGATTGACGCGGACACGGAGCCGGAGCCAGAACTGGAAGACGATGTAATGATGTTATGATAGCTCTGAATAGGATCCTGGGATTTATCTAGGGCGCTATACGGGATATAATATCTCTTCGAATCCGGGACGAGCAGAAGCCAACCCGCTTTATAATCGTACTCGTACGGGTCTCGGGACCACGAGCATGGTGGACCCTATAAGTACGTTATCCATGTCACGCATATGATGTGTGGTGTGTGGAGTGATATCAGACGCTTACTCGGTTATGGGGGATAAAAAGGACATGAGAGTGTGCTAAAGGAGTCGACTGCCAAGCTCTCATCGGATCAAATATAACGGTAGAATGGTAATAGGCCTGGTCGGTATGCCCCCGTCCGGCGTTTATACTAAATACCAAATAACTACCTACCGTATACTATAATATAACATAAATATGAATAACTAACTTGAGATTTACATACTTCCGTCCGGAAATATCTAGACCAGGGAAGAGGTACCTACCTATGTATATTATATAGATAGAGGCTAGCATGGAGGTGAATGCGCGGTGGGATGGCCACGCCTTAATGTCTGATCAACTCCTTATTTCACGCTATAGTACGATATCGTTAGTTAAACGTGACTTATACTGCCCAAAAACTAAGGCGAAGCGAAAGAAGCTCTGTGCTATCGTAAACTTCCATATAGTCGGTATATGCCAAGTAACATTTGGGCTTGAGAATATATAGAGTATTGAGTATTATCGTAGTTGGTCCTCCCACTCCAAATCCAGACTTGCCTATGGCGTCTTACTTATGGAGTACGTAGCTGGGGGTGAAATTCCAGTCTCGGCTTTTGTATGACCTCTAGTTCAAACTAGGAGTAGGGTGGTAAAAAGCCTAGCTTGATCAATCTTTTTCGATATTTTCCCATTAAAGATTTATATTGAGACTGCAATCGTAATAGCAATAATCAAATTTGCTATTACTAGCTACTTCGTAGTATGCCTGCTATTCGACGCTCAAGTATAAAATAGGACGTCATTGTCCATTGCTACATCATAATAGATTAGAACAGGTAGCCAATCATGCCCCCCTACGCCGATACCCTGGGTACATCACTTCCATGGCTTCCCTGCCGTAGGATGCAATATCGTAGTTTATACAAGTGCCAAAGCTATAGCTACAAAACCCCGCCCATCATACATAGGTACACTGCTTTGTCAACTTATCTGCCCTTACATCCAGAGACATAATTTTCCACTGGAAGTTCCGCCAGCCTACCGTAAAACATGTTAGTATTGCTGTGAACCGTTATAAGGAAGAGATATTAGACGCTTTTGAAATACGTACCAGCCAATTCAACGTGGGGTGAAACTCTGCAACTGCAGGCACCGCAGTAATCCCTTCACCATCAAGCTGCCCGAGCTGCTTTCCCTCGCTGTCGTAGATATCAACGAACCGGTTCATATTGGCGATTGCGAACTTCTCCACACCGTCCGTGGGGTTAATCTGCCATTGCGGCTTAAGAATGGTTACCCAGCGGCCCGTCTGATTGTTATGCGGAATTACGTGCGCCGGCTTCATCTGCTTGGCGGACAGGTCTTGGCCAGGCTTCCACTTCGTTGCGTCGGTCATATCGTAGACCTTAACCGTGTCGTCGTAGGATGACGTTGCCAAGTAGCCATTTCGACTCCATGAAGCATGCGACACGGACAATCGAGACTGATGTTCGCCTAGTAACGAGGGCCGACGAAGATCACCTTTGCCGTTAATCATTCTCAAGTCCCATATCTTTAATGTCCTATCAAGCGATGCCGTCGCTACAAGATGAGGTAGGAGAGGGTTTAGGGAAAAGCCACCGATCTTATTGTCAGACAGGCTCCAGATTTCTGCTTTAGTCTTTGCACGCCTATCGAATCTTCCAAAGGTACCTTCTAGAGTTGAGAAGAGGATGATGTCTTTAGCTTCGGGCGACATATCAATGCACGATATACCCATATCGATATCGTCGTCATCGGGTTGCCATAGCTGGGTGCTGACTTGCGATTGTAAATCCAGGCAACGTATTGACGAGTCATAGGAGCTAGTAATGACCGAATTTGGATCGAATATGGGCACTTTTATAGAAGTGATAGTCCTGCTATGTACTTCGAAGGCACCCACTTGAGGTAGAGGAATATCGACGTCCTCGTCATCCTCTTCGGGATAGGTGGGCTTTTCTTGCGATGCGTCGAAAAAGCCTAAGGTGCCCTTCTTATCACCTGCGAGGATGATCGGTTTGTCCTGTATAGGATGAAACGTGAGAGAATATACACGCTCGGGGGTAATTTTGATATCTGTGTGTGTGGTTAATACTACGATTCTACGGTAGAGGTCCTTTACGTAAACACCTACCGTTCGGGACCCAGCCGTCATAGAGCGTAAGATCACCCATCTCCTTTCTGAGGTCCTTTAGCTTGCTGTCTGAGGTATCTTTGATATCATCCTCAGTGAAAGTTCGAACGCCTGGTTGGGCGCCTTGAACAAACGAAGCGAGAGCATTGGTACTTGACCATCTCTGGCCCTCGACTTGAAGATTTGACAGTTGCAAATCACCACTTGTGCGAATGCGTTTGGGTTCGGGCGGCTTCAACTCAGCAGGTACGTCTTCAAGCTTGAGACTTGGTTCGGCACCGGCTCCGGCGAGTCTTGCACTCTGACGGGTAGGCATGATACGGGTACGAGGGGCTGGTTCGGCAGCTCTCCTCTTCTTGGGTGCGGTTGCTCTGGGCGGCGGAGCTGCGGCCTTGCGCATCTTGGCCGCGACCTCGGCCGATTCTTTTAGCAACTTGGCATTGTTAACCACATTTGCTCTCCTTCGGGCCTCGAAGGTGCTTAGCTCGGGAGCCATTATGATTAAGTCTAATGAAAATGAATTGCGAGATTGATGCTGACGCTGACGCTGGTGTTGAGAAAGGGTAATTGGGTAACTATCACCGCTCAAAATAGATGGTAGATAATGGGTATTGGATGTGCGATGAAAGTGACCAGGGGTGAATTAGGCTTCAGTCTCCTCGGATAGAGACGCTATCTTCTTCTTGCTCTAACTTGTCACGGAATAGGAGACCGGAAAAGGAAAAGATGGGGAATGATAATTAAATAGCAATCAAATCACAAGGTCATTTTTTTGAACAGAAAATGAGATGAAGCTGCACGAGAAAGGCGCAAGCATGAGTGATGATTGAATTGATTAAACTAGAACAGAGGAATGGGAAAAATCAATTAAGAACTGAAGACGCGATGTACGCCATGTCATGCGCTTAACGCGTATCCCTGTAGTATGTATCCCTGTACATGTTATTACGTCATCAAGCGTAGGCCGCCAAGCCGTTATCTTGGAGGAGACAGAGAAGAAAATCAATATCTTATCGATAGAAAAATATATCCCGCCAGCTTTTGAGTTACAGAAAACAGAAAAAAACCTATCAATCGAAATCTATAACTTCATCATTGGTCTTCCTCAAAATGACATCGACCTTGTTACCATTTCTTTACAATACGAGGACAATCCTACGAGTGAATCCTCGAATTCCTCTTACATTTTCTCGGTCTTTACATGCCACACGGCGACAATTAAAAGAGGGAGATGAAATACCCTTCGCCTCTTATGTTCCCAGAGATGTTGATACTCCGCCGGAACAGCCTCATCGTCGTGGTACCATCACCCCGTCGGAGAGACGCATATTCGAGCGTATCTTCTCCGATATAAAAGCCCGCGGTCTTAAGCCTTTTGTGCCCGAAACCTCAGGTACTCGCACTACTCTATCTATAATGCAACAAGCCGTCCAAGATGCTAGCCAGATCCGCCCCGCTGCCGTTGATGCCCCTGGTCTGTCGGATAGTTCTACTCAAACTCGTGATAAGGCTCTTCTGCGATTCCCAGCCGAGTTGCGCGCTGCTGCTAGCAAGGCGTTCGATACTATGCAACCTTCAGACTCAAGGCGTGCGGCAGACTCGAGGCGTGCGGATGATGATGACATCGCATATGACGAAGCTTCCATCGCGGCCAGCCGAGGAGACCCTGATGACGATGAAGGTTGGAAAGTGCCTTCGCATATCTTAGAGCGCGCTGCAGAGCTAGAGGCTAAGCGCTACCCTGAGCGCACCCGTATCGAAGGACTAATCACTGCTGCTGAGACCGACTTCGAACTTTGGGACGTCCTAGAAAAGGAAGTCTTTTCAATGCCTGCCAGACTTGGTTTCCGTGGATACGCGTCTAAATTGGTGGAAGCGGAGACCGAAGCGGCGAAAAATAAGACGGAAACGGTCACTGACAGTGAGATAGTAGACGATGCTGAAGATATGGCCGCTGCTGAAGGTGTGGCCGCTGCTGAAGATGTGGCCGCTGATGAAGATGTGGCTGCTGCTCTCGAGAGTGCAGATGCACCAAAAATAACTCCAGAAGAGACAGACGTCACATCCACCGAAAACGATACTCCATCCCAGGAACTGAATCTCTACGTACATGGGCCGCTATACCCGGAATATCTCCTACTCGCACTACGACGTCTTGACACGGCATTTCGTACGCCGTCGATTCTCGCCTTCTCCATGCTGCCCCGGATTAAGGAGCTAGGACTCGAGTCGTATATCCTCGGCGTATCAACACCTTTCTATAACGAGCTTCTAGAAATTTACTGGATCCGCCGTTGCGACCTATCCGGAGTGCTAAACCTGCTAGAGGAAATGCGCAATTGTGGCCTCCAGTTTGACGCACAAACTGTGTCTTTCCTTGGGAGAGTAAATACGGCGTTGACTATGCTAGCTACTAGGGAGGCCCCTAGTTCCTTTGCAAGGGCGCTCATGTCCTTGCCTGAATACAACCGGTCTGTACGACACCGCATAAGGCATTGGCATGAAGCGGTGGAGGCGTCAGTCAACGAAGACATGGTGGCATGATATCAAAATTTGAGAAGGATAGCTGAGCTGGAGTAGTGGCTGTTGATCCGCGATGTGATAGGTAGGATGTATTATCTAGCTCCTAATTTTATACTGATAACCTACAATAACTGATACCCCTTAAGTATAGTCCTCTTCTCATTCGAACGAGATATTACCTGGACAAAATCATTTTGTCAATTTCTAAGCTGCAACCAGAGCTGTATCAAAGCCTCCAATTGACCAGACAAGAATTATACCGTATATTTACTATATCTATATTACCGAGGAAATAGTTTCCAAGGTCTTTTGGTGTCTATGATAATATCTAGACGCTTTAGTCTTCCCAGGCCTAAAACTATGAGTTTGTTAAAAAAAATTTCGACGGACAGTCGCAAGCTCTTAATCCGTCTCAAAGGATTGTATATGGGAAGTAAAAGCAAGAAGGGGAATGGGGGCAAAAAGGGGAATAGAGGCAAGAAGGGGAATGGAGGCAAAAAAGGGGGGAGGAGGCAACTGTCCGTAATATCTTTCCGAAAGAATATACTATACCATCATTGGGAGGTATACTATCGGGAGGTATATTATTGTTAGGAGGCATACTATTGGGAAGTATACCATTGTATTATCGTCGGGATGTATACTATCGTCGGCAGGCAAACCATCGGATAGCATACTATCGTTGGGAGGTAAAAATTATAAGTGAGGGTGCTTATCAACTTATCAATTACTTACCTCGTAATTACTAAGGTATTTCGCAATGTATTTCGCAACATATTTCCTCATCGGTTTCTCAGTTTCCCTACATGATAAAACAAGTTTGAGCGCAATATTCCTTCGGAAAGATTAATATTTTCCTCTTATGTATCCACGTATGAAATGCGTTAATTAATAACTATGAAAGTGGCGGTGGAAAAAGTATTCGATCCTGGGTTTTAAACCCATCATTACCGGTTTACTGTTATTCATCCCCCTAGTGGTCTGTCTTTTTTGGTCTGTCTTGGTTGGAGTAAGTTGGAGTTGATCAGACTTTACGTTCTCTAGCATGGATTTCCCCATTCATTCATTGATCGACACCATAGAACAACACACCCATAGTCAAGACTTCCAACATTTAATTACCTTCTTATTACACCATGAATTTCGACGAGAGCTACGACGTCGTAGTGGTCGGAGGCGGCAATGCCGGGTTCTCCGCGGCCATTACCGCAGCGCAGTCCGGTGCTCGGGTCTGTCTATTTGAGAAAGCGCCCCTCGAGGACGCGGGGGGTAATACATTCTACACCGCGGCTGCGTTTAGATGCTGCTTTGACGGCTTGCAGGATTTATTACCTAACCTCTTTCAATCCGACGGCACCAAGGGCTTGCCGCAACATCTTATTGATAAGATCGAGATGGTGCCTTATACAGCTGCTGACTTCCATGCGGTAGGTAAGCTTCGATTATGAGCTCGGACTGGTTAGGTCAGGTTAGGTTAGGTAGGTAGCTAATGCTGACTTGTTCAAAGGACATTAATCGGGTTACCAAGGGAAGAGCAGATCCGGTGCTCGCTGATATCCTCGTGGATAATTCGAGAGAAGCGGTTCAGTGGCTGATGGATAATGGCGCCCGCTTCGTACTTTCGTTTAATAGACAGGCGTTCGTTGTTGATGGGAAGTATAAATTCTGGGGCGGAATGGTTATGAACATGGCTGGTAAGACCTCTACTTGACCTCGTCTCTTTTAGCATGCCCCTATTCCCGATGCTGATACTGGTACTGGTACCTTGGCATAGGCCAAGGCAAGGAACTATTCGAATTTCATATGAGTACTGCGAGGAGATACGGAGTGGAAATTCATTTTAACTCCCCGGCAATTGATCTAATCGCCGATCCTACAACAAACGGAGTAGTTGGTGTCAAAGTATTCAGTGACGGGGGCTTAAGAACCATTGGCGCCCACGGGGGTATCGTATTGGCTTGTGGTGGTTTTCAAGCATCTCCGGCATTACGCGCCCAATATCTGGGACCCGGTTGGGATTTAGCTCACGTTCGGGGGTCTAAATATAATACCGGAGACGGCCATGCGATGGCTAGGAAGCTCGGGGCTAGGCTGGAGGGCAACTATTCGGGTTGCCATTCCGTTGCCTGGGATGCTAACTCGCCTCTTGCGTCTGGGAACCGCGCGTTAACTAACCGATACACCAAGTCGGGCTATCCTCTCGGTATTATGGTGAACGTCGACGGTAGACGCTTCGTGGACGAGGGCTTCGACCTACGCAATTTTACCTATGCCGTTTATGGAAAAGAGATCTTGAAGCAGCCGCAAGGCATCGCGTTCCAAGTCTGGGACGCGAACGGCAGTAAATTTCTGCGCCGGGAGGAATACGCAGACGATGTGACCACCAACATCAGGGCCGAAACCCTCGACCAGCTCGCTAATGTACTAGTGACGAAAGGGCTAAAGGACAAGACGCAGTTTCTTGAGACCGTCGCCGAGTTCAACGCCGCCTGCGTGAGCTTCCAGCAGGAATGTCCCGAGGTTAGGTTCGACCCGGCCGTGAAAGACGGCATGTCAACGCAGGGCACGTCGAGGTCGCTTGGGATAGGTAAGACCAACTGGGCGGTGCCTATCGAACATGGCCCGTTCCAGGCCGTAGAGGTGACGTGCGGCGTTACGTTTACGTTCGGCGGATTAGCGGTCACACGGGCCGCGGAGGTCTTGTGCGAGGCGACCTTCCGGAAGATCGACGGTCTCTATTGCGCGGGCGAGCTGCTAGGGGGGCTCTTTTGGGATAATTATCCTGGTGGGAGTGGGCTGACTATGGGTACTGTGATGGGTAGGATAGCGGGGAGAGAGGCTGCTAGTAGAGCGAGGACTCGTGGCGCTAGAGATGGTTCGATGTGAATTGAATTAGTTGAAGGAGGATACTATACTTTTCATAATTACCTTAGGTAGGTAGGTACCTAAGGTGCTAACCAACTTCCTAGATGTAACTATCATAACATATCGAAGTATCTAAGAGTCAAGTCTCATAGTCTTTGTATGATGCCTACTATGAAGTGACTCAAAGCTAACATGTTATAATCAAACATATAATAATTTGAAATATGAGATTCTTTGTCTTCTGAGTAATTAGAATATAATGTGATTGATAATGATGACTTCTCAGATATGAAGTACCTAACGTATCTCTGCTCGGTGAGATAAAGGGGACTGTCTATACAGTGTTAAATACAACTATTCACGTAGCGCAAGTATAACCTATACACTGTACGGGGCATCATGAGCTTTTAGTTGAAAGATGACAGAAAAGTTTTTTATTTTTATTTTATTTCTCGTACGAGGTAATTACATCACATCACTTAATTCACGGTTCCTGTTAAGCCTAGACCCCTGCAGATTATATTTGTATTTTCTTGGGTCTAGAACTTTGGAGCCCTTCTTTGCCCTGGCACATGTGATATCACCAACAACCCTCGTCGATCCTTTTGGAAGAATTTCTATCCAAGGGATAAGCTTTTTTTTCTTTGGGACCCGAACGTCTGGAACTTGGATACGTAGGGCGCATCTTTAAACGATTTAGACCCGTTAGCTACCTAACCTACTCTTACCGAGTAATTGTCTGGGTTACTTAATTACGACTTCGCAGAATATATCATTTCGTACCGTCTACAAGGTGCGTAGGTATATCCTAACTCGGACGAGACTCTATCACGATGTGGCAAGCTGAACAGGGCGGGCGGAATGGACCCATTCCAATCAGCAAGGATGTCGAAAAGACCCTTGGACAAAGCGATACTGTGGAATCGAAAAGCCGTACCGCATTGAAGAGGTTTCAGAACACTCTAGCGAGACTGATCTCGGCCGGCCCCATTGAAGATCGAGGAGTCATGCCGGTAGCCTTGGAGGACCGGACAGCTACCAATTACAGCAGTTACTTTTCGATATGGGCATGCATGAATATAAACCTCTTACCGTAAGTCTTGGTCAAATACCTAGAGATCCCGTACCTAACGTACTATACTCTACTATCAACCGGGAGTAGAGCTAGTTAGTTCGTTTACTAACATCTGAATTTGAGTATCACATTCGGCATGCTGGGCCCAACTTATGGATTAAGCCTAAGAGATTGTTCTCTAGTTATCCTTTTCTTCTGCCTCCTAACTGCCGCCATACCGGCTTACCTTGGTACCCTCGGCCCTAAGACCGGCTTACGCCAGATGATCCAGGCTCGCTTCTCGTTTGGAAGGTATTTAGTTTCGGTGCCGGTCATCTTAAACCTGGCTACGCTCACAGGTTTCTGCGTCGTCACTTGCGTCATTGGGGGCCAATGCTTATCCGCTGTAGCTGGCGGTTCGCTGACCCCGGCCGTCGGCATCGTTATCATGGGCGTTATGGCTTTGCTCATTTCTTTCTGCGGGTATGATGTTTTGCATCAGTATGAACGGTTTGCCTGGATTCCGGCTTTGGTCGCTATCATCATCACTACCGGCTGCGGAGGGACGGGCCTCCGCCAGCAAGCACCAGCGGAGCCTGCGACACCCGGTGGTGTCCTTAGCTTCGGGATGATCATAGCGTCGTATATGATACCGTATGCCTGTCTCGCGTCTGATTTTACGACATATTTAAACCCCAAGTTCTCTTCGTAAGTTGTCGCTATTATATCTCGAGAAGCTGTTTAGCCCCTGAACTAATTGGTCCCCAGCGCGAGGCTCTTCTTATACGGTTATGCGGGCCTCGTATTCCCGTCGGTATTACTGATGGTTCTAGGCGCCTCTATGGGCGGTGCTATAAGTAGCATTCCCGAGTGGGAAGCGGGGTACGAGTCGACGCAAGTTGGCGGCGTACTGGCAGCGATGCTGTCGCGAGCTGGCGGCTTCGGGAAGTTCGTTGTGGTCGTGCTCTCGCTAACACTACTTGGGAACATCGCCGCGACCATGTACTCCATCACTCTCAACTTCCAAATATTGATTCCGCAGCTTGTCGTGGTGCCGCGGTATATGTTCTCGATCGTAGTCACAGCCATCGTTATACCGGTTAGCATCAGAGCAGCGGTGGAATTCTTCGCCAGCCTTGAGAACTTCGTCGCGCTCATCGGGTATTGGTCTGCTGCATTCGTGGCAGTGGTGATGGTAGAACACAATGTTTTCAGGGGTGGTAAATACGGCACGTATGATCACGACAGTTGGAACGTGGCGTCTCGCTTACCGTGGGGTATCGCTGCTTTGACGGCGAGCGCTCTAAGCTTTGCGCTGGTGATCCCTAGCATGTCGCAAGTGTGGTTTGAGGGTCCAATTGCGAAAAAGTCGGGCGACATTGGATTCGAGATGGCTTTTGCTGTAACGGCGATTCTCTACCTCCCTCTCCGATATCTAGAGAAAAAGCTAAGCGGACGATAGAAAAGACCCGAGGAGGAGAACCGAGTCAGACACTCTGGTACTCGGCCAGTGTATATAGAAAATATATCAGCATATATGGATTAACCGTTTTATAGACGGGTCTGGACATTGCTATTGAACGTCAAGTGAATATGTAATGGTTTATAGATTTTGATTAACTACTCTACTCGTTAGCTTTTCGCAGAACCCCTTTCAAATATCGGGTAAGCTATTCTAAATAGGTACGGTGCTGTTCTGAGGTATGCAAGCTCCGTAGAAGGATGTCGTTAGAGACTCGGTTGAATTCTTGACGGCCGCACCCAGCGCACTTGTTCCGCACTTGAGACCCAGGACGAAGGTACCAGCCATCACGTCAGCCATATATGCTCCCGTATGCGTATGGTCCTTTGGATAATTGGCGTTGACGGTTGACGGGCCCAAGTTAATCATGGCCTGAATTGCGTACTCCTTGTGTGGAACGTGGTAAACATCTGGGCTTGCTAGTTCGGCAGCCGCATGCCTTCAAGATGGGATGGTCAGCGAAAGTGCAAGGCTTGATCGATCGATCTATCTGGGATACTCACCAAGCGTAATAGTCGAATCTGTCTGTCCCGCCCACACACGTGCCAGTCTCGCAAATGTTGTTCGGGGTAGGGGAGTTTAAGATAACCTTGGCCCCCTTGTCGAGGAATAACTTGGCAGCGTTTTTATAGTAAGCCGGATACGTCAGTACCGTCTCCTGAACGCCGTTATACGTCGTTTGGCAGGTCTGAGCACCGTCTCCCGGGCAGTCGGTTCTGCCGTTGTCAGTACTTAGACTGCCGCCGTCGTTGTGGCCGAATTCGATGACGACCCAATCACCCGGCTGCACTACGTTGGCCACTTCGGTGAAGCGGCCTTCGCGGGTAAACGACCTCGCGCTCCTCCCGCCGATCGCAGCGTTGTGCACGACGTAATCGGAACCGAAGCTGTACTTGAGATACTCGCCCCAGCCCTCGGTGGGAATTCCCGAGCCGCCGCCGCCCTTTGCCATGGTCGAATCGCCGCATAGATGGATAGTAGTAGTAGCTGTCGGTGCAGCTGTGGCAGTTAGAGCTAGCAGCCACCAGACCCCGTGGAAACCCATAGTTAAAATATCACGAGGGAGGCTGGTGCGGTGGTGTCTTTGAACGCGATGAGTTGTCGATGGAAACTCGTAACTACGGCGAACCTCGTCTAGACGAGGAATTTCAATAGCATATATAGATATATAGATATAGATATAGATATCAATACGATATTATAGGCCAGGTAGTTTATTAACACCCATAAGTTGTACCCACAAGCGATTCCAAGTAAATACCTGGGCATTTAATTCCGTCACGTACCAAGACGACACGATCTAAACCGAGGCCCGCATCACGATGAAACGGTAGCTCACAGATCCCGGTTAACAAAATACGCGTCTGGTGCGAAAACCTACTCAGTAGCTACCCTCTTAATTATTCCGTATCGTATCGAACTCCGCAAGTAGGCTTATATACGGCGAGACCCCGAGCAAGGCGGGCTGAGGGGAGGGACCGGAGTTGAATAAGACATTTACCGGGAGATCAGCCTCCGTGAGTGAGTTCCACCGGCCAATTGCCTAAAAAAGTGACCTTCCCCGGCTCATATTATTCCCCAATATAGGGCAAGACAGAGCCGTATCCTTGGCGGAATCTGATAATTGGTGGGCTTTGGGATAGTTAATTGCCGCCAATGGATTCGCTACGCCCGAGGAAATAAAATAATTACGAGTGTCCTTAGCAATAGTTAGAAAGTTTGACGTAAAATTTTATTAGGTTATATGGAATTCATGCCGGTCATAAATTAAACAAGACTTTGGGTTTCTGCTAATAGTTACGCCTAATAACTCAGTTGTGTTATAACTTATGATTCATACGACAGCCATGTGGATCTGTATCCCATGTTGGCTCTCCAGTTTAATCGGGACGCCCGGCGCAACGAAGAAGATGAATCCCTCCTTAAGATGATGATCCGCACCGTCGGCATGCATCACCCCATTTCCAGCAGTCACAATCATAACGCCGGGCCCGTCGCTCGCGGCAAGCTCCTCGCTCTCGCCGGCGCCCAGGTCCATCTTGAGCATGTCGAATTCGCTTATGGGCGGCCTGTACGCCACCGTCTTCCCCTTGCTGCTTTTGTCCGACTTCTGGCTAGGGAGGTACACGTCGTCCCTGCTATGGGCCTTGAAGGTTAGGGTATCCGCGAACAGGTCGGCGTTGTTGCGGTCGCCGGGCGGACAGAAGCCGGCGTTGAGCACGTTGTTGCTCCGCGCCATGCACTCGACGATGTCGCCGGCTAGATATGCGTGGATGCCGTCCGCAGGAATCCATATCGCGTCTCCGGGGTTGAGGACCATGTAGTTCATGCACAGAAGCGCGACTAAGCTTCCTGCGTCTTCTGGGCCGTACTGGTCTTGAAGACGGGGAAGTAGGTCTAGGATATAGGCTGCATCGCCTAGTTGATCTCTCGGGATCTTTGCGAGCTCTGTCTGGATTGTCTTGACCGTCTCAAGGTCGGACTTGAGCAGATTCCTGGTGACGGTTCGTAGAGTCTCATCCGTCCATTTTTCTGGCTGGTCCGGATTGAACTGCCGAAGCGGCTGTAATTGAAAAAGGGGCGCTATTTGGTCAAGCGGCTTGAACCCGGCGAATACCTCGAACTTGGACAGCGCCACTGCGATTTCAGGTTTGTGATTTGGATCCGTGAAGTTGTTCGGATCCTTTTCGTGAAGCTTTTTGGCGAGTTCCTTGTTGGGATGAATCTGCAACGGAAGAGCCTTTGCTATTGATAGGATCTATAGTAATTCGTGAGTTTTCTTTTAACTACTAACTAGTTACCTAACGAAGCTGGCTTCTTTTAATGAGACGCGGATCCTTACCTTGGGCAAATAAGGTAGCTGTCCACCGAGTTGTTCGATGACTTTCTTCCCCAGAAGTTGCTCTTTGTTCTGCTGGAGCACGTCGGCCAGCGGTTCGCCGGTATCCAGCTTGCGAGCAGGGAAATCTGGGTAATCACCAAACCACATTTCCGAATAGAACTCGTCATCTTTGATATGGAAATCAGTTCCGGGGGTCTGCGCACACAACTGTGCTGCTAAAGACTGCTTCCCCTTTTTGCCCCAGGGGTAGTGATTGCAAGTGCCGCTCAGCTGGAAAACGAGTTGAGGCGTCATTTTGATGACAGCGATGCGCGCGCGTTAGATTTAGTTTAGGTAGTTATTTACTTTACTAATACTTTGAAAAGGGGCAATGCGTCAGATGGAATATCTCATGAAGAAATTGACTAGATGAGTCTTCTTTTAGTATCTATAATAATAATATTAGGTGGATGAAATGGTAACTACATTTCTATCATGATTTTGTTGCTAATAATTGTTATATCCCTTCTTCTTACACAGTACTTAAAATCTGCCACCGTGATGTTGGCATGTCGTCATAGAAGACGTTTGTGTTTGATTATTGCCACATTCATCAGGTTATGTACTTCTATTAAATCCATTTAATCCCCCAAACCCCCACATAATTATGACATGCCCGACATCTGAGTTCCTTGTTTAAGAAAATCATAGAGATATTGATGTCAACTCCTGGCTCATTAGTATAGCACCAATCGTCTACATAGGCAGATAGGCAATATGACAGCTTAGACGTAAATGATCGGTCGATCGCCCAAATGCGGCTGAGCGCTAACCCAGTGACATTATCACAGAACCGGTTTTATAAGACATCCACGTTGAAGGAAGCATAGAAAAACCAGCTGCTTCCCGGAGACTAATCTCAATATTGATTGAGACTTTATACTGCTTTAACCAGAATTAAACTTCTTGGAAATGATCTTCCTAAGAATAAAATGCCAATTGACTATTGGCCCTAGAAAACAGTGAACCGGCCCTGCGTTAAAAGGAGTTCGGCCTCTAGATCTTCACAACCAGACTTACATTAGTTCTTCAGAGAGCCATCGACGTCATCGGCCTGGCTAATACATAGATAATTGGTAGAGTACAGACATCACCTTCTCAATAAGAACAAGAAATCATGTAAAATTTGAGACGCCGGGAGTGTACTAGTTCTAGTTCCACGTATACATATACATAAAAGCTGGACGACTCACTTAACTCAACAGATTTAGTTCTTTAAGATTTAGCTAGCTGTCACGCACAACCTACACAATGTCTACCAATGAAGACGAAAAGCGATATGGCCCTTCGGACCAAAACCCAACTGGTACCAGAATCGCAGACATCCTTCCGGTTCCGCCAACGACACAGCCTGTTAGCGAACCCGAGAAACACGTAAAGGCAAATAGTCTAACCGAAGAACCAACTCTCTCTCATGCTTTAGCGACTGACGACCATGAAGAGAAAGGATCGGCCCAACAAGAGCACGATGAGGAGGTAGTTGATTTAGGTTGGAACGAGAAGAAGCATGATATTCCTGCGCCGCTAGTCGGAGGCTTGGACAACGAAGATTTATGGCTTCTTGTTCGTAGGTTCAACAAGGTACGATAAGGTCGCTTAGACTGAGACGGCTAGCTAGAGTACTAATAGAACCGACTCATAATAGCAAGTATACCACGTCAAAGAAGTCCCCACTGCTGTGCCTGGGGATCTAGATCTAAATATCGCCGACGAAGAGGAATTCTCCCCCGATAAGTTACGCGCCAATGTCGAGCGTTTTTACATGACCGTTGTGGTAGGATTACTCGCAGCTGTGAAGCATATTGCACGGTTACGCTCGTGGCGTGAGACCCGGCGGACCTCGTGCTTTTGTGCGGTAAGCTTCGCCGAGCGATGATCGTGGATGATTGTCATACCTCTCATGGTCAATACTAACAAACAAACACATATACAGGCTTACTTCGTCGCTTGGGTATTTGACATGATCGTTCCACTTCTAACACTGACTTTAATCACCCTGATCGTCTACCCGCGGTCGAGGGAGGTTTTGTTTCCCCCAGCGCCCCTCGCTCTGGTCGATAGCAAAACCGGCGGCGTACAGAAGCCTAAGGCCGGCGTTCTCGGTAGCACCGAAAGCTCAACCGGGGCGCCGCAGAACTTCAAAGGCGAGGCTGTCGAGCAGGAAGCCAGCAACTTCGTCAATAGCTTCGCTTCTATCGTGGTTACCAGCGCCACGGGGAAACACCCGCAAGGCGCGCCCTCCACAGAGACAGGTTCTCCCGACGATGCGGTGCCCGATCCTACGAGGGCAACTGTAGCTGCTGCCGAGGCAAAAGACGTTGCGGCTGGAGGTAAAGCTAGCCCGGGGCATGATAAGACGAAAGTTCCTGTCGAGACGGCAATGTGGACGAAGATGAGACCTATCATGCACGGCATCGCAGATGTGTCAGATACGTGGGAGCGATTCGCAAACGCTCTATCTCCTACGCCGCCGTTCCCAAGGGACGTCTGCAGACTTAGGCTTGCTGCTTTGATCGCACCCCTCTTCCTCATCTCCTTATTCGTCACGTCATATATGTTTATGAAAGGGGCGACATTTGGAATAGGAGTTGGCTTTTTCGGGGATCCCATTATTTCCCGTGGATTGGAGTGGCTTAACCACACATTCCCTCACTGGCAAAAGCTCCTAGAGCTTCGCAATACGGTCCTCAAAGGGGTACCAACCAATGCGCAGCTGACACTCACTCTCCTTCGTATCGGCGAAGCGAATAAGGCACCTCTACCACCTCCTCCATGCATCGACGAGCCGCCCCCGGAAAGGCCTACGGAAGTCACCGATGCCGAATTGCGAGCCACTGGGGCCGAGCCGCCGTTAAATACAACCGACGAAGAGCTTCAGGAGGCCATGGAGCACGATCCACGAACCGCGCACGAGACTGGTGGTTCGGACATAGATGCCGCAAAGAGCTCACCCAAGCACGGTAAGCGCGGGAGTAAGATCATAGGCTTCTTCAAGGGGACGACGAAGGGCGCAGTTAAGGCGGTCATCGGGACCGATCACGCTCGGGCGACGGCGGGATCTCATCACGCCAAGAATCGCCTAGGCGCTGTTCCACGATCCAACACCAACCGCGTTTCCGGCCCCGTCGATTTTAAAGGTCGCTACAACGGCAAGAAAGGGCACGTCTACATCACTACCAAGTCAACCATCCCAGCGATATCCTTCAGCACGGACGCGACAATCGAGAAGATCGAGTCTACGGAGCGAGAAGATTTACACCCGCTATGGACCGTGGCAATCAATGATATCGCCGAGCTTAAGAAGGTCGGGGGATACGGATGGAAGGCTAAAATTGTTGTCGGCTGGTCTCTAGGTAGAGAGGTGGCCGACGGGTTGGAGATGACGGATCGGACGGGGAACGTACGGCGCATCACGGCGCTGCCGATGAGGGACGAGTTATTTAACCGTCTTGTGGCAATAGGAGGACAGAAATGGGAGGCCTGGTGAGAGGCTTACGACCACACATTTGCTGATAGGATCGTGTCTAACGGAAAGGGGTAGTGCAAAAGCATGTCCAGGCGACTGATTATAGACGCTGGAGTTTTGCTTGTTTGTATAACTGTTGTATATCATAGCAGAGAATGTGTAGGATAAAGGTATATAAAGTAAAGGTATATAGAGGCTTATATCTTACTGATGTGGACGTCATGGTTCACTCCGCTTCTGGACGGAAACCCCCCCAGTCCAGGATAATCATAAGCCTTGTCATAAATTATTGCGGAAATTTATTAAAGACAAGATCTTCGCTATCTTACCTATCGGCTATGCGGGCTAAATTAAATTTACGACGGCTAAGCAAGTGAAGTAACATCGCAACGTTGTATAGCATGAAGATCATGGAAGCTGGAAATATGCGATAATGATAATGATATGCAGTTGCTGATGTAGGTCTGTCTATTATAAAAAAGGACGGAGGGGGGGTGTTTGGTTCGTTCTATGTCTTACCTTCGACATATTACATGCTATGCTGCCATACCATCCTCTACACTAAACAACTATCACCACAATGCGCATTCATCTCCTCACTCTATCAACCCTCCTCCCTGCCGCCTTTGCGCAGCAATCCGGCTGTGCGGAGGACTGCCAATCTTGCGGCTGGTATTGCAACCAAGGTTGCAGCGCACCGCTAGTAAGCAGCGACTGCAACCGATGTCTTTACTGCCGGCGTGAAAGCTCTTCGTGCGGGTTTATAGATATCGGCGACACGTGGACACAAGACCCGCCGAGCAAAGAGTTGTGCGATGCTTGCGATGAGGGATGCTGGTGTCATGGTGACTGGTATTGCGCGGACAACGCCACGGGGCCTCCTCCACCCTCCCCTCCTACTACTACGCCAAAGGCAACTGTAGCTAAAGCCACGGAATTACCTAAACCTTAGGAGATCGTAGAGGGAAAGGGAAGAAGGGGAAGGGAGAATGTGGTGCTCGTATGGTTTTGGATATAGGTATAACGAAACTTACAAGGTCGGATCTGTATATAAGAGGTACTTCAGGGGTTAAAGGTAACCTGACGAAATAAAGCCCGTAGCCTCCTCATATAACTCCCGACTCTTGAATAGCAAACTGATCTTTTTCTGAATCTAATATAGCCAGCGCATCGAATGGCAAGGTGACCATCGGAGTTGTATGTCCAACATCAACATTAAATAGAATAGGGAATTCCCGCTTAGAAAGCGGACCGTCACATAAGAGACCTTTGATGACGCTGATATATTTTTCTCTCTGCTTCGTAGAATCGTACCCGAACGGCCGCCCTACCACTAACCCCGCGGCTTCTTCAAAGACGCCCTGGGCAATAAGATCTGCAATACCAGCCTTCACCCGATCGATCGGGTTTCCCGTTCCAAACTTTTCCCCGGTAGCAGTCTCGAAGAATACAATCCGGCCCCGCCAATCCGGAACGATGGGTCGCACTCCGCTGAGACGTGCCATAACGGATAGACAGCCGCCGAAGAGCCGTCCCTGCGCCTTGCCTGGCCGGAGCCATATCCAGCCGGGAGTAGGGACGAGCTCTGTCTTATGTATAGACGCCGGATCGAGGAACCAAGAAGGGTGCTTATGCGCATACGTTGGCGATCGCGGGACGTCGCCGATAGGTTGGCGATCCGCGATGGCACGGAAAAGGTGTTTAATACAGAATGCGAGCGGCAATGATTCGTCGTCAACTGCTTCGGACGCGCCGAGCTCCGGGATGACACCTGGCCCGTAGAAGGTACGGAGGCCCGTAAGTGCGTGTAGAAACCAGTGCAAACCGGTAATATCGGAGTAACCTACGACGATCTTGGGGTTGGCACGGATGATACTATGAAGATCCGTATCGGCAATTAGACCCGGGAGTAACTCCGTAAAGGCTGGCCCACCGATGGTGCAAATAATGGCGGAAACTTCAGGATCTACGAATGCGGCGCGAAGCTCGGATATGCGGTTGGTGATGGATGATTGAATACCTGTATCTTTATTATAGAATTCTCGAACGTTGTAACCGCGTCCCTTGAGTACGGCGGTAGCCCGGGATATGACGGCAGGATATTGGTCATTAAGTCGAGCCGAGGGTGAGATGAAGGCGATTGTGGCACCTGGGTCCAAAGCCTTTGGAATTATGACTGAAGGCATTTTGAATTATGAGTATGTTGTCTCTGACATCTAGTTGTATGTCTGCTGATGTCTGTTCCTTGGAAAAATACTTATATCACTATTAATCAAGTACGAAGACTTGTGGTTTATACAAAATGATAAAAACCCCCAACGCGGGGTTGAGGCAGAGTACTACACGTATAGTAAGCCGAGACTATGGATACATTCACAGCGTATCAGTTATGTTGGTTGCGAAATCCGAACTTCGTAATACATGATGATGGAGAAATATTTGTTAGATCATGAGGCATTCACGACCCTTATTGGCTCGGGAGGATAGCTGATTAGAATAGTTCCCGGGTCTCAAGACAGAAGCGAGGAACGATGAAGGGAGCTGGGTGTATATACCTAATATTAGTTAGTATTAGACGAGTTGTTGAAGTGTACCTAGTTGCTATTTAAGACAGTCAATTTGAAAGTCGTAGTGATTGTCATATGAATGCATGCATGACATGAATGCATTATGTAGTGTAGATAGATGCATAGGAAAAGAAAGCGGCTCCGTTCAACTGGGAACGACAACCTTAAATTGAGTCCGAAATCGGAGAGATATTCAAAGATTACCTAGAAGCATGGTAAGTAAGACGCGATTGACCCACACTTACGAACCTCTTTAAGGTTTCCCCTTTATATAACTAACGTGGAAATTCTTGCTATTTCTTAGGCAACTCTGTTGTAATTCACCGTAATTGAGACTTTAGATTAGGTGTTTAGTCAATTAGGTACGCAATAAGAGATATATCTTTTTATGAAAGTATTGTACCGTATGCTGCACAAAGAAAGTATGATACCGACCGGGTGGGTCGCAAACGCGTCGACAAGTGAAGTCCCGACGTGTAACAATCACGCGATGGTGAGAAAGAGTCTAAGTTAGGTACCTAGGGTTAGCGAAATGACGATAAGGAGTAGCTTTGTGGAGATTTGGTCCGAGCAGCATGCACGAACCCCCGTAGTTCCCGTCGTTTTGCTTCTTTTTTAAGGTCCTAGTTGCCTTAGCAGTTAACCTAGCAACCCGGGAAACCGCAAACAGAGTTCAGATAAGAACTGCCAAATCTTTTTCTTTTTCTTCGGCTTCTTAAATCTTACCTTACTTACCACTGAACAATTTTCATCATCATCATCATCTTCGTAACTTATCATCGCCGACAATGTCTTCTGCTTTCGTTCAGCGCCCGGCTCCGGCCTTCACTGCCACCACCGTCTTCCCTGGCGGCGAGTTCAAGGACATTTCCTTGTCGGATTACCTTGGTCAATGGTTTGTCTGCCCTCCTATCACTCCTATCGCTGACGCTGGTCGTCTTTGCATCTCCATCCGCATCTTGGTCTTACCAACGTAGTGCGTGTGTACAAGCTTCTTATCCCGTACTAATCCTCATTTACAGGGTCGTCCTTCTCTTCTACCCTCTTGATTTCACATTCGTCTGCCCGACCGAGATCATCCAGTACAACGATGCCCTGCCGCGCTTCCGTGACATCAACACTACCGTCCTCGGTGTATCAACCGACTCTCACTTCTCCCATCTGGCCTGGACTGAGAGACCTCGCAAGCAGGGTGGTCTGGGCTCGGACCTGCAGCTGCCTCTGGTGGCAGACAAGTCGCACAAGATCTCTCGCAGCTATGGCGTCCTGATTGAGGACGAGGGCGTCGCCCTACGCGGCCTCTTCATCATCGACCCCAAGGGTATTCTACGACAGATCACCGTCAATGATCTCCCCGTCGGACGCAACGTCGAAGAGACAATTCGACTTGTTCAGGCGTTCCAGTTCACCGACGAGCACGGTGAGGTCTGCCCGGCAGGCTGGCAGAATGGCAGCAAGGGAATGAAAGCCGACCCCAAGGGTAGTCTGGAGTACTTTGCTTCGGCTGAGAATGGTCATGCCAATGGAAATGGCGAGTCTAAGAAGCGAGCCAGAGTGGACTAGACCAGGATGGCCGCTTGTGGAGAAATTGGAGAAGCAGAGACCACTGACGTAAGTGGTCTAGATGGCTATGTATATTAGATTCTTACGAATCAGGCTTCTAGCAATGCCTTAATACCCGACAGGAGTAATTAGACCGTGCGTTCTATCCTTCAGGGGAGCGTAAGCTCTTTCATGAAGCACATAATAGCAAATCTCATCATATTCCAATCTTAAGTGTCGTCATGGTGCGTGCTATACCAGTCAGGTATGTACCTTTTATTTGGAGATTCGACATCTCCAACTTGAGTGTGGTTGGAGAATTGACAGTGGTATATTGCAGTTGGAGTCATTCAAACCAACCCCAGCTTTCACCGTACCATACTTCCGAAGCCATGTTATATACCGATTTTCTCGTATATGTAGATGATCATTCGACATCTCTATATCAATATTGCTGAGCTATGCCCGGTTTCTTGCTGCGTTATATAAGAGCTATGCAGTGGTGGATTCTGGCGGATAAAACCTCTGATCATTAAACATCCAACCTCCTGATATCGTCTTCGTAGCTACGTATGGCTCTCTAGTTAATACTTGACTCTCCGTATAGTTCCTCATAATCCATGCAGAGATTTTATAATAATGAAAAATGATAGAAATTCAAACTCACCACTATAACAAAATAGCCAATTGCAAGATACCCTTACTATTGTTCTATGCCCAACATCACGAATTCTTCACATGTCAATCAAACACCTGCAAATAGCTAGCACAAGGCCAAGGTACGTACCCTGGCCAAAAATAGCTTAGCCCCAGTAAAATAAATACAGCAACCAATTATATCTATTCCTACTTTGTTATTCCCAATTTATTATTGGTAGAAATCGAGTTTTGGTCTCCTATTCTTTCTTATTCTTAACCCATCTATGTATGAAGACTAATTACATATATCTCAAGTATATCTCAAGTATTTAATATTGAGTTCTTAATATTTATAGACCAACTTCAGCCCTAAAAAGCTGGCTTTCTCTTCGGTTTTCTTGGTGGGGTAGCAATGGTTTAAGCAAAGAGCATGAATAACGAATCAACTCCCTACCGCCATACCTACCTACCTACCTAAGGCACCTCTCATGGAGGCGCAGTGTCCCTCTTATTTCAATCAAACACTCCCAGCATCTTGGGTGTTGGCTCAGCTTCTTCGTAACACCATGGATTTTCTTCGGCAGCTGTTGAATGCCTGCGGCGGTTTCTTGTTGGCCATCGTGGTTGTGCGAATCATCACGTTTGCATCCGAATGTTGGCGTTGCAGAAGCCTAATGAAGAAGCTAAAAGAAATGGGAAAGGTAAGTTACTTACCCCTTATCTGGTATTCAATTGAACATACGCGTTAACTAATATATTGGCAGCCGATGCCCGAGCACAGCACTCTCTTGGGTCATCTCATGGCAGCCAAGACTGCTGCCGACGAGCTTCCTCCAGGTGCGCACAGCACTTACATTCTTGACCGAATAGCTAAGAAGCTTGATGGGGAGAATGGGCCTCCAGCATATTATTTTGACAGTTACCCTGTGAGCGTTCCTATGCTTATGATAAGAGACCCTTATATCGCCAACCAGGCGACCAATCATCCCTGGGTATCGGCCGAGAAGCCCCCTACCCTTGCAGAATGGTTTGCGCCCATCTCAGGAAAAGGAGGCATCAACCTCTTTACCCAGAATGGCCAAGAATGGAAACATGATCACAATCTCTTCCTACCCTTCTTCAACAATAGCAACCTCGATGCCGCTGTGCCTGTGGTTATTGAGCAGGTGCTCATTTTCCGCGAACTTCTTCGGGGGGAAGCCCGGAAAGGAGATTTGTTTCGTCTTGAACCGTTGGCGCTATCGCTTATGAATGATATTATTGGGCTTATAGTGTTTAACGCCGACCTAGGCAATCAGACATCCGGTTCTCATCCTCTTTCGAAGACTATGCTCCGCCAACTGGGATTGAAGTTCGGTGCGAACAATGTCATGGATAACATTGGTCAGCTTAATCCATTCAGGGTCTTCAACATCTGGAATAATAGTCGTATCTTAAACCAACACATTCGCACTCAAATTGCAAAACGGGTTAACGCATTTCGTGATGCCAAGACACGTCACGATCAGTCGGCTTTCAATTCAATCCTGGATCAGGCGCTCGAGACGTATTATTCCCAGCCAGGCCGGGAGCTGTCTGATCCACTCGATAACCAATTCTTGGATTCGTTATGTGCACAGCTGCGCATGTTCTTCTTTGCTGGATACGATTCTACCGCAAGCACAATGGTTACCTGCTGTTACCTGATCTGGAAGCATCCAGAGGTCCTGGCTAAGCTCCGAGCCGAACATGACGAAGTCTTTGGGCGAAATATTGCAGCGTGTCCGGACATGATCACTGAGAACCCATCCATCCTCAACTCTCTTCCGTATACCCTCGCCGTGATTAAAGAGGCGCTACGACTCTTCCCTCCTGCGAACGGCATTCGAATGGGATGTAAGGATCTAGTCCTGAAAGGTCGCGATGGCACTGAGTATCCTACTGAGGGCTGTGCCGTGCAGACGAGTCACTTTAGCGTCCATAGGAACCCTGAATGCTGGCCGCGACCACTCGAGTTTTTACCCGAGCGATTTCTCGTAGGACCAGACCACGAACTCTATCCGCAAAAAGGCGCTTGGCGTATCTTCGAGTATGGAATTCGAAATTGCACTGGCCAGGCTTTCGTCTTAAAGGAAGTAAAGGCCTTCCTCGCTATTATATGCAGAGAATTTGACTTTCAGGAATGCTATGACGAGGTCTATGCCGGAGAGAAACTGGATCTGACGACTGTGGATAATGAGAAAGCATACCTGATAGAGCACGGTTCTGCACACCCACGTGGCGAGTTTCCATGTAGAGTGTCGCTAAGCGGATACGTTCCTAAGGAGGCCAATCTCTAGAAATGATGCCTCCCATGGACGACACGATTGTCGCATTCACAATGCTAATTTACGAAACCTTTTCGTATCCAAGGGCTAGCTTATATCATTGAGCTAATTCCCAATTCCGGCCCTCGTCCGATCGAAAGCTTCATGTGTGCTATAACACCGACAATGTAGGGGAATGTATTATATAACAATTAATCTATGTATTACATCAATACCCTCGGCCCCCCTACCTAGCGTCAAGGTGGTGAAGTTTTTAACGTCAATCTTTTAGGTGCGCTTCGGTTGGGACGAGAACCGGTTCCTCCCCAGACGAGGACTCGTCTTCTTGTCTATCTCTTGATGTTTTGGAGCTAAAGATTGATATTAGCAGCTGATCAAATCGAAGATGGGACGAAACTCACTCTCTGCGATACAATAAGATTGCAACGATAAACCCAGCCCATAGTAGCACGTGGAAAGTTAACGCGACAGGCCATCCAATACGCCATCTTGGAGCACCGTTAGGTCCGGCGGTTGGGAAGAGCAAAAGGGGCACCCAGATGTTGAATGAATAACCGAAAGTCATCATTGCACCCTAAAATACTTCCAGTCAGCCTTCGTATTCACTTTTAATTCGTCGTGGTTCGCAATCCCCCTTTTTAAGGGATAGATGCATTCACTCACCAAAATAAGAGCTCTCTCTTCCGAGTCACCCTTCACAACCGTATTGACCGTCGAGTATAGGACCGGACTTAGACACCCTGATACACCGAAAAAGTACCACGCGACAAATCTACAGGTTCTTGTTAGTGGATGAAACGAACCGTATAGGGATACGGAAAGAGGTCGTCGCAAAGGGGTTACACACTTCAGAGGTTTCGGAATATCCCAAATAATCATACAGATTGACGAGAACACGATACATATTATTGCGCTGCTGTAAACGGTCCACGAAGGATAAATAGCAGCCAAGGTAGTACCCAGCCAAGAAGCGACGATGTTGATGGCGTACGTAACCGTAGGTAGTTGATTAATCTGAATAACAGAAAAGCCTTGTTCTTTCAGCCAGAGATTCATATATGATTCTGGATAGCCGGAGATGATCATGCAACTGATAGATGATTAGACTTATAATACAACTATAGGAGGTACGGAGTAAACCCTTTATTTGAGTCATTCCGATGTTAGTAACTCACATATAACAAAACACAAAAACCCAAATATGCCAGCGCCCAAGTGTACGTTTAAACACGTCAAGCCCTAGCTTGCCCGGCTTGCGGATCTTAGCCCGTTCTAACCTCGCCTTTGCGAGAGCGATGTCCTCGTTGGTGAAATAAAATGGCTTTGGCGAATCCGGAATTCCCGGGAAGACCAGGAATCCAGCTACCGCAATTGGAAGTGTAAATATACCATCGATGATGAACAGCCACCTTGATGAGACATGGACACTTAGCATTCTATTCTGGTTTGGGATTTAAAACGTATGGGGAGGGGGGGGGTTCAAGAGTTTCTTACCTCCATCCGGGCATCCCGCCCACACCAGAGAGATTGGTATACGCTGCTGCTTGCAGATATCCGCTTACCATGGTGCCCAGGGGGTTGCATATGAACCAAGTTCCGGCTCGCTTAAATAATTCAGGGCCACTGTACCACGATCCTATTAGCTCGTTAGTCAAATACTCGAAGAATTAGGAGATTGAGAGATGTGGCGTCTAGTATAATACCTAAGATGAAGTGTGTACCGGCGAATACTGGAGCCTCTAACATGCCTACTAGGAATCGGCACGCATATAGCTGGTGAACATTCGTAACTCGACTCTGTGCGAAGGTACAGATACCCCAGAGCACTTCGAGAGTTGGTAGCAACCAGCGGGCTCTATATTTATTAGCGCCATTGCCAAGTTGTTGGTTAGGTAGCAAAAAGGGGGTTCTCGAGTCATGTAGGTACAATAAGTGGACAAAAAAACCGCACACCCACGCCTTACTTTTAAGCATTTTAAAAAAATAAACTTTATTTCTCGAAATAGTTTTATTTTTAAACGATGGCTTGTACTTTAAAACGCAGTTAAAAAATTTATAGAAAATATATAACGTTTTATATAAGAAATAAAATTTAAACACGCTTTTAAACGGGTTAAAAATCTACGAAAATAACGAGAATTAAAAGAATAATTATATCGATTTATCGTATAATTAAAAAGCGCTTTTTATAATAAGATTAAAGTATTAATCGGCCCGGTTATAACCGGTCGAAAATATTAAATAAATATAATAAAAAACAATTATTAATTAATATTATTAAAAATCTTTTTATATCATTTAATTTATTAAAAAAAAAGTATTATTTAATTTATTTAATAAAAATAATTAATTAATTTTTTATTAAAAAAAGTATATTATATACTTTTATCGTAATAAAGTTATATTTATTAAAAAAATACGTTAAAATTAAATTAAAATAAATTCTCGAAAATAAAAATAAATTGTTTAAATATTAATAATAAGTTTTATTTATAAACGAAATTACGATTAAACGTAATTAAAAATTACGTTATAAATAAGTTTTTAAATTTAAAAGTAAATTAACGTTTTTAAATACTTTATAATTTTAACAATTAATTATATAATTAATTTTTAACCATTTTTTTTTAAATTAAATTTATTAATTATAAATTTAAAATATATATAAACCCGTTATAAAAAAAACCGTTATTTTAAAATGTTTTAAAACGTAATTTAATATAAAGTAAAAAACGATTTTATAATTTTTAATAAAGATTTTAACGCATTTAAAAATAACGTTACGTTTATTATTTATTAAAATATATTTAAAGTAAATTTATCACGTTTATTAAAACTTTATATCGTTTTTATATACGATAATACGTTTATTTATACTTTATAATTATTAAAAAATTAATTTAATAATTTTAAATTCCCCGTTTTATAATAATTTCTTTATAATTTTAATTTAAATTTAATTAAAAATTTTTAAAGTTAATTAAAACGAGAAATTAACAAGTAATATTTTAAATTAAAAGTTTTTTTAAAAATTAATACGGTTTTAATTAAATTAATTAAAACTATTAAAAAATGTTAAACCGACGTTTTTTAAAATATAATAAATAACTTAATAAATTTAATACTTTAATAAATTAAAGTTATTATTAAAGTTAAAAGTTAATATATTAAATATTAAAAAATATATTAATATATTATTATTATTTAATTATTTATATATAAAATTTTAATTAATTTAATTACGTAGTTATTAAATTACGTATAAATAAAGTAAATAAGTGTTTGTTATAATATTAACGATTTTAATGGGGTGTGCGATTTTTTTATCTACTTATTATAAGTATATACAGTTGAGGTTACGACATAAGTAGCATGCCAAGGATTTGGAAAATCATATAAGCCACGTAGTAGCACACATTGAAATAATTAAGTTCGTTGCCGTATAATCCAAATTCCTCCTTGAGGCCACTGACGTAGGCATTGCTGATGTTTGTTTGGTCTTGGAGATGTAGGTATTCCTTGTAAGCCCATGCAAAAGGAGTGGTTGGATGGAATAATTAGGGGCTAACCTAGAAATTTCACGAAGACTAGGTAGAAATTGTTAGATTTAAGTTAACTATCATGAACATGAGAGCAGCGTAGGTACTTACAGCATAGACAAGCAAATATTAGGATCGACAAGTCGAGTTTGAATAAAAGCCTGTAGTTATATTGTTAATATAAAAGTTTTGATAAGAATTGCTGTACTTAGCCCATATCGAAGTAGATAGGTAGGTAGACTTACTTTCTCTCTGCTGCAGGGTAACTAGAAGGGTACCAATTGAAGATCTCCTTGATAAGGCCATATAGGGAATACCCCTGGCTTGGCTTTGTTATCGTCATTGTAGCGTTAAGTGGAACAAGACTGTCTGTCCAAAGCTTAGGTACTGAGGAGATTGTCACTCCTGTGTTACGCGGGAACCGACGGGTTACTTATTACTCTACGGCCATATTTCATAAAGCTGATGGGCACTCGTTCTTATTTTTATGGCGAGATCTCGCAATTCCAACTTGCACGATAAATAAGCAAACCTAGCACAAGGTCTTAAGAAATGTCCCTGTCCTAATATCTACTTATTTTATCAGATTATCTCCGTCGTGTCCTAATAGTGTTACATTGCCTGCGATAGGGTCTGGTGATGTGCGATGGCGTGCTCGCCATATGCTTGCCATATGCTTGAAACATGTGGAGGCTGCTGGTATGCTACAACTTGATAATCCCACGAGTAACCCGAGTAACCCGTATAATATGTAGCTTATCTCCGCATACATAATCCCTTCTCCAAGTTGCGCCATACTCGCAGATGGCGTCGATTGGTAGATGTATAGTCTATCGATAGACTGCAACCCCCACCAACTCTTTGGGGTACGAAGTCTCTATTTAACCGGGCAGTTAAGACTACGAGATACGAATTGTAAGGGATATGAATAGGTAGCGACTATTTAAAATGTAGATATACCCCGCGTATGGACGCTCATCCGAGCTCGCCGCCCTTAAGAATATTCGTTTTTACATTCGTAATCAATCTTCAAGATGCCGGGACGTATAATCGATCGTTATGAGCACGTGCCTGTAACGCAGGAAGACCGTGAGCCAGAAACCATATTGATACATGTTCATTATTTCGAGTTAATAACTGTGTTCCTATAGTTGACTGGGCCGATCTCATTACATTGGACTTAGGTCTATATGAGCAACCGGGAGGCAAAGAAGAGCTCGTAAAGCAGCTCGACCACGCGGTCCGAAATGTTGGTATGTTGGCAGTTCCTAGCTAGCTAGAACCTCTAGGAATACTGGTTCTCACGTGTTCATCAAAGGATTCTTCTACGTGAAGAACTTCAACATATCCCAGGAAGAAGTTGACCAACAGTTCGCTCTCGGACGAGAGTTTTACTCGCTCCCCCTGGAAGAGAAATTGAAGTATCATAACAAGCAAGATCTCGAAAGCGGCGAATATAATGGGTATAGGCCAGCGGGCCACCGAGTGTATGTTACCTAACTTAGGTACCTAGGGACTTCTAGGATTATGACTGATATATCATTCTTATAGCCTTGGAAACGGCGTGAAGGATAACGTCCAAGTATACAACATACCTAAATTTGATGGCTTCCATCAGCGCGAACAACCACCCATCCTCCAGAGTAAGATCAAGGAGATCGAAGCATTCTCGAGGGTAAGTAAACGATAAGCCCCTTCCGTATATATGTGCTCACGCTCACCAAAACGTAACAGAAATGCCACGAAGAAGTCGTCGTGAAGCTCCTGCGCCTCTTCGCGATCTTACTTGAGCTCCCTGACGAGGACCAGCTAGTCCGGGATCATCTCTACGACGTTAAAGGAGAAGACCATCTGCGGTACATGCACTACGCAGCACGAAGCCAGGAAGAGAACGCCAAGGTGGCCAACCTGTACGGGCCAGGCCACACGGATCTCGGCACGGTGACCCTCCTGTTTAGACAACCAGTAGCTGCGCTGCAGATTCTAAACTCAGCAGGAGAGTGGAAGTGGGTGAAGCCACAAGACGGCACCATCACGATCAACACCTGCGACGCGCTCACCGCGCTGACGGGCGGCCTGATCAAGTCCAGCGTGCACCGAGTGCACACGCCGCCCGCGGACCAAGCGCATATCGACCGCCTAGGCGTGCTATACTTTGCGCGTCCGAATAACCACGTCGTGCTGGACCCGATCGCGAATAGCCCCCTGCTGAACCGGCTCGGGTTAACTAGCAACGCCTTCACGGAGCTGGGACAGCATCTGACCACGGAGCAATGGGTCAAGGCGCGACAGACGCAACAGCAGCGACCCCGCGTCAGCGCTAAGATTCATACCGATGGCAAATATGAGTACGAGAGGAAGGACTTGGAAATCTTGCCTGGGCTACATGCTGTTATTCATAACTAACTGAGTTCTGAGTTGGGGATCTCCGGCGAACTTATGAGGTAGTCGTTCAAGAATATGTACCTACCTCCTAATCTATGCTATGGCTACCAATGCGACGATGAAAGTAAAAGCACGCCAGCATTCAGAGAACATCAAGTGATAATTCATCAAGTAAATTCATAACTATTTCCCATATCGCACATCTCACATCTCACAAGCAATATCCCATCATAATAGAAAAAACCGCAAGGGATTTAGAAAAAACCGCAAGGGATTCCGATCGAATTATCTCACACAAGATAAAAAAGCCCACGCCAACCAAAAAATAAAAATCAGACCCGGGGAAAACACCACCCACTCATGCAATCCAAAGCCTAGCCCAGCCCCTTTTCAATAAACCCCAACCTTACATTAGGTACCTATCCATTCGCCTCGTTGTTATATTATAAAACGCACTCGTTAACCTCAGCTAGCTAATAATTTTAAGCTCCTGCAGCTTCTCCTTCACGCCCTCCTGAGGCCACGTCCAATCGCTCAGGAACTGGGGGTCGACGCCGTATTCGAACGAGTAGTTGGCAGCGGCGACCTGCTGGCTCTTGAGGGCGTCGCGAGCGGCCGCGCCGCGGTTGCCGAGGGTGGGCATGCGGTCGATGGCGTCCATGGCCAGGCTGAAGCGGTCCGTCTGGTTGCGGATGGCGAGCTCGAGCGGCGTATCGATGTTGCCCTTCTCGTTGTAGCCGCGGACGTGGATGTTCGTGCAGCCCGGCCGCTTGTACGTCAGGCGGTGGACGAGCCAGGGGTACGAGTGGAAGTTGAAGATGATGGGCTTGTTGTCGGTGAACAGGGCGACCCATTCTTTGTCCGTGAGCCCGTGCGGGTGGTCGGTGTGGTGGATCAGCTTGAAGAGGTCGACGACGTTGACGCAGCGGATCTTGAGGTCGGGGAAGTGTTGCAGCAGGAGATCGATGGCGGCTAGCGACTCGTTGGTGGAGACGTCGCCGCAGCTGGCCATGATGAGGTCGGGTTCTTTACCTGCGTCGGTGGAGAACTGGGGCCAGATGCCGATGCCCTTTGTGCAGTGCATGATCGCCTGTTCCATCGAGAGGTACTGGATATGAGGCTGCTTGTCTGCTACCACGACGTTTACGTAGTTCTGCGACCGGAAGCAGTGGTCCATGACCGAAAGGAGACAGTTTCCATCGGGCGGGAGGTAGATGCGGACCACTTCCGGACTCTTGTTGCAGACGACGTCGAGGAAGCCGGGGTCTTGGTGAGTAAAGCCGTTGTGGTCCTGCCTCCAGACGACGGCAGTCAAGAGGATGTTAAGCGATGGAACCTTGACGCGCCATTCGACTTCTAAGCATTTCTCAAGCCACTTGCAGTGCTGCAGAGAGTGTTAGTTAGTAATTCATTAATTAAATCATTAATTAAACGAGGCATCACATGGATAGACTTACCTGGTTTACCATGGAGTCGATGACGTGGATGAAGGGTTCGTAGCTGTTTAGCATTCCGTGTCGCCCGCTCAGGACGTAGCCTTCGAGCCAGCCTTCGCAAGTATGCTCGGACAAGATTTCCATAACTCTTCCGAAAGGAGATAGATTCCCGCCATCTTCGTCTTCTTCGAAATACTCGCCCATCCATACCTTCTTGCCAGCCTCGTACACGGCTGCCAGCTTATTGGATTCGGTCTCGTCGGGGCCCATCAGGCGGAAGTTGTGGGGGTTGTTCTTGATGATATCCCGTAGGAATTTGGCGAAGTTGGCCATGCTGTTTTCTACGATGGCGCCGGGCTTGTCCACTTTGATGTCGTAATCTCTGAAGTCGGGCATCTTGAGCGGTACCGTTAGCAATCCACCGTTAGCAACCGGGTTCGCGCTCATGCGCTTGTTACCGGTAGGGCATAAGGCTTTCAGTTCGGGGGATATTCTGCCTTCTTCGCCGAATATGCGTTCAGGCTCGTAGCCGCGCATCCATTCTTCGAGGGTCTTCAGATCTGCCGGGTTCTCTTTAGTACCGAGGATGGGTACTTGATGAGAACGCCAGAAACCACCGAGGTAATGTCCATTAACCTTGCGCGGCGCGGTCCAACCCTTCGGCGTGCGCAGGATAATCATAGGCCACCGCGGGCGGAAGGGCTTGCCAGAGTCACGAGCTTCCTTCTGATATTTGCGGATTTCTTGAACACAGTGTTCGAGAGTGGCGGCCATAGCTTGGTGCATCGATTCGATGTCGTCGCCCTCGACGAAGTATGGATGCCAGCCGTAGCCCCAGAAGAGTTGCTCGAGTTCCTTGTGTGAGATACGAGCAAGCACAGTAGGGTTGTTAATCTTGTAGCCATTCAGGTGCAGCACTGGAAGGACGGCACCGTCGCAGATGGGGTTCAGAAACTTAGTGCTGTGCCAGGCCGTAGCCAATGGGCCAGTCTCGGACTCACCATCACCAACCATTGTTAAAGTGATCAAATTCGGGTGGTCAAAAACGGTACCAAAGGCGTGGGTGACGGAATAACCCAGCTCGCCACCTTCGTGGATGCTACCGGGGGTCTCTGGGGTGGCATGTGATCCTATACCTCCCGGGAAACTGAACTGCTTGAAGAATATCTGCATGCCCGCAGGGTCCTCTGACTTTTGAGGATATACTTCAGAATAAGTACCCTCAAGGTAAGCCTGAGAGATGACGGCGGGAGCGCCATGGCCCGGGCCCGAGATGAAGAGGGAATCGAGATCGTACTTTTTTATCAATCGGTTGAAGTGCATATATGTGAAAATTTGGCCGGGGGCAGATCCGAAGTGACCCAGCTGGCGGCCTTTTATATGCTCAGCCTTCAAAGGTTCTCGGAGAAGAGGGTTTTCCTTTAGGTATATCATGCCGAGACAAAGATATAAGCTGGCCTTGAAAAAATCGTTATACTTTTCGATTTCTTCCTTAGATAGAGGCTCGCCCTTGATCGTGGAGCGAGCCTTGCCGAATGGCCGGATCGCATCGATCTCGGCTTTGTGAGTATCTGTCATTTTGTTTTTCTTGTCTTCGACTTGACTTATAGGTAGGTTAGGTAGATAGGTAAGCGTATTTAGTAAAGGTGGGACTTCTCAGTCAAAAGACACTGGGAAGAAGCTCGAGTCTCAGCAGTAAGGTGCGCTGAGTAGCTCAAACTATTGTGTCTACCTTATATAAAGATTCTTTATTAAAGAAGGGGTGTTGTGATGGTGGTTTGCTAGTGGGATGGAGAGAGTATAGTGTTGATGATGACGAATACTTATAAGGGAAGACTCTCGATGTGTTGACAGTTAACAGTTACTGGGAACTGCTACTCTAAGGTGGTAGCTGGGTTCTCGATGTTCCGCAACGTCTGTAACATCCGCAAAAAGTCGCATGGAAAGGTGATTCATGTGAGTGATTCTGCTTGGACTGGACGCATGTCCATGTTATCATTGGACTCGGTGGGAAGCGAACCCAGAGCACCGGGTATGCAACCGAGGCGCGAGTAACGTGCAATTATGACATTATAGCGTGGTAATAGCCTGATAGATGGTATAGTAAGCAGGTTCCATAGCTGCTCTAGCAGGCCTAGGCGGCGAGAACAGTGGCTGATAGGCAAGTTGCATGCGGAATGCGGCATCTTAGTGGTTGATTCGGTATAATGGGTCGACAGTGGGCTGATAAGGTTCTCTAAATCCTATATTCCGTATACGTCATACACCTTTTTCTGTGTATGTATGTATCCCCATCCGTGCTGCCGTGAAGCCCGTGAGCCCGTAGTTTTGGAGACGACTTCTCTCGTTTATGCAATGCACCTTTTCTTTTTATCGGTTATAATCCCTACCAAAGCCGACTTTCCGGGTCTTCCCCTCCATTCTTGTCTCCATCTTGTCTTACTTTACTTCATCTCTATGTAGTATCAGCCAATCATATTGCTCGCCTTCTACCCCTCTAAGGTCTTCAAGGGGGTACACAGCTGAAGGGGGTACGGGTCTTGCCCATCTAGTTCCTAAACAATGCCATCTAGATTCCCATCCTTGACTGCTTTTATAGGGAATACGCGTACATAGGCTGAGATAATTGCCTTTCTGCGAGTATCAGTCGACTTTGATGATCTGACTAGGATTGGAAACTAGTCGCTATGCCTATCTGGATTGGCCTTTATGAGTACCGTCTTATCCTGAATACCGGCCGTAGGAGATCTGCGATCTTTTTGCTTCCAGGATGACTTTAGCTCTCGTGTTGAGCGCCGAGCACCGCGGCTTGTCGTAAAATTTATTTGTTCCCGTGATACTTCTCCTTGGGATGGTATGTTAGCATTCAGCGCCTCATTTCCATTGTAACTCTTCCTTATGACACCTATTTTTGAAGCTCCATGTAGGTACGTCGGGTGTTCTTCATCATTCATCCTTGAAATAACCAACAGATGTATGATTTTACTGATAAGACCTAGTCTACATAGAGCACTACGCAACCGGCCGGCGCCGCTGCACCTATCTCTGCCTGCCTACGGACAGACGGATTGATTTGCAGCGCCAATCGCCGATTCATGAAGAGCGAAAGCGAAGAACAACGAGAAGTGAACCACTTACAGCAAATGTATGACGCGAATTATTTTTCCTTCAGCGAATGAATAAATTTCAAGGCACGGGTATTCCAGCGCTGTTATCGACAATTACATTGAAGCATTTGGCAAAATGAAGGCGTTCGCTCATCTAAACCTCGTCGGAAAATACGCGTGGTTATTGGATTTCGGAGTGCGAACTGATCTACTCCCTTCAATTCACACTGTGCGAACTAAACAAAAGCAGTTACTTCGTACTTCAACAGATATTCATTGTGAGATTCTATGCAATTTATAGAAGGTGTTGAAGGTATAGAAGGTATTGTTTCAAGCTCATTATATGAGAAAAGGTATATAAGATACTAGTAAGGTAATACGTAGCTCGCAAGAGTTACTAGAGTTTAATTACGTTTGAAATTCGAATGATATCGACTGCATTAGTATAGTGGCTAAAACTAATGCGAGGTATAAGATCTTAGTGAATCTTCTATACTCTTATTCTTTAATTAGTTCTTATAGTAAAGAGTTTAGTTGAATACAACTTAGTCTAATATTGTATATAATATCTAACTCTAAGTTATGTCTTATTAGCTAGATGTTTCTGGTAGGAACTATTATTAAACGACTTCGTAACTCGTTATATCGCATTAGAAGGATATGATAAGACAAGTATCGTAGCTATAGTTGTCGCCATTGGTATCCGTCAAGATGAGGACCCCGCTAAAACACACCCCACTTGTTATAGGCACCCAAGTTATATTGTCGTTAAGTTTATATTTCTCCAACTTCAACTGCCTCCCCAACCGTCTGTTTCTTCAAATTAGAACATCCCGCCAATGCTCACTTCACCCATATATGTAAACAATATATATCTTGGGTACCTACCTAAACTAATCGATAATACAAACTCGCAAACATGGATAAATGGCCTCAAGAGCTCTACGACCATGTCGTCTCCTTCTATCTGAAAGGCACGTATACTTCTAATCCAGCTTTCCTAGCACTCGCAACTGTGTCCCGCAAGTTTCAAAATTCCGTCGAACGCCATACATTCCGAAAGATACTATTCACCGCTACCGATTCAAAGCTGGACGACTTTACAAATATATTCACGCCGCGGCGCCGAAGCTTTCTACGAGACCTTGCTATTAGGATGGTCCTACCACCGTACCCTTCTGAATGTTTTACCGAGTTCGAAACAGATCAGGATCGCAGAGCCAATAATGAGGCCATTACCGCAGCATTAAAGCGGATATTCTGTTTAATTTCAACTCTTTACGACCGGGATGACAATATAACGCCGATGCTCAGGTTACATATCTTTGGGCCACATTCACCTTCAGATAAAGGAACAAGATGGTTTCTATCAACAAAGGTCCCTCCTAATCGTCCATTTCCTCTTAGATTAGACCTTAACGCTGCGCGCTATAAATTCTCGCTGCTTGATCTTACATCTGATCTGTCCGACTTCCCACCCTTACTTTGTGTTCGAGAATTCACTATATCTGGCGGGCGTCGCAATTGGAGCCCTCGTGCTGCAGTGCTTCTCTCTACCAAGATGGTACAAGCTAAGAGTATCAGTTGGAACCTAGAGTATCGCGAAGATAGTTGGGGTCGGTACTATAGCATAGATCGAAGATTCCGGAACGAGCTTGTTCAGAGTATCATGTCAGCAGATCTTCCAGCATCTACCACAAGGTTTTCTTGTAATATACCTGGACCATTTGCTAATAATTGGCAAATGCTCCTCCCTCAATTCATCACTCCAGGTGATCATGACCCAGTCAGCTGTGCCTTTCGACGCCTTACAAGACACTGTACCTACGTCCATATTATGGGTCCCATACATGCTACGTTTTTTGATCCTCCAGCGGATTTGCCGAATGGAGTTGAGCAGTCCTGGAATAGTGTAGAAACTTTGAAAGCCACAGTTTCTATGCATAACCCGGAAGGAAAGTGGTTATTCAGACTTGAAAACGGTGTTGATGAGGACCGGAACCCCTTAATTACGCTCGATCAACTCCCACCAGGCTACGGAGACACGAAAGAAGAGTTGGAGGAACGTGAGAAATATTATTTCCGACACATGGTCGATCCGGATATACGTGAAGAACCGGAGAGGGTCATACCAAATGATATCGAGCTGAATGCTTTGTTCACAGCTTTCGCACGGGCGTGCTGCCGCTTGCCAAAGCTGAAAGAGGCTTCTGTAGAGGTAGTATGTATGGGTAGAGACATCTGGCAATATGAGGTGGGGTGTTTGGCACCGGGTACGCCGTCTCCGAGAGGTAAACCAATGCCCTCGCATGACATAAACTCGTGGAGAGTCTATTTCTATCTACACCGGTGGCAACCGTCTAAAAGTACGCTTGACGAACTCAAGATGATCGGAAGGACAAGAGATGGATGGGATCCCGTATTTTTGTGGGGAGAATCAATGTAGTATCGTCCGTCTTTTTGCGCTGAATTTACTTCTCATCAGGTGCCTAATCTGGTATTACGTCGGAACATCACCAAGTCATATATCTATAAATGATCTCGATGCTACTGCTAAGCTATGCAAGCAATTGTCAAGATCTCTTGGGCACGTACTGCATCTACGGTAGGTAGCCACTCATAGCTCTGCTGCATGGACCCGTACGTTGGCTCACATGAGAGAACGTGAAGAGATCGTCAGAATGAATTCTGGTGAGGTCATTCTTTAATATTCCCTTAAGAAAGCTGAGTCGTATTTTCGCTTTACCTGTGACTCCGGCATTTCGTCCATTCACCCTCGAACTTGCTCGAATTAGAACACGCCATACTTAACTTACCATTACTCCCCTGAATGAGTGATGATCAGAGTTTCGTCTGTAACCCCACCGTTTCTTGGCTTGCCTACGAAAGTCGGACATCCGGAATAGGAAGACGCAAGCCTAGAATCGGATGCTCATTAATGGAATATGTTATGGCTATTTTTCATATCGCAGCCCTGTCGCGTTCCATCACCTTACCAAATACAGACGAAACTTCGACGTAGCTATGCTCCGCCGTGTCACTGACTTCAGCCGCTTTAGTCTAAATAGATGTAACCGTACGGATCTAGGTAGGCCGGGGTGCATTTACCATTGCGTAGACACACGCGTGGGGACCAATCAGCAATCGGGTAATTTACTCCTTTCTATTACCAAAAATTTGGTTCGCTCCTCCTCACGTTCCGCTGCCTCGTGAAAATGACAACTGCCGATGTCTATAGTAGTAGATAGGCGAGGAATGGCGCTTGTGGCGGTCAATGAGAGCGGATGGAGTGCCAGAAAGGGTCAGTGCTAGGGCGAGGTCAGGATATATAAGGCGCTTACTCGCTTATTGAGTAGCCTGCAGTAGGTAGCCCGAGTACACTCATGAGTTAGTTGGAAGTCTGTATTGTCAAGCACAAGCACGAGACGCACGATGGGATTTGTTTCTCGATTTGCTACGGCCGTAGCCCTCCTCGCAGGCCATGGCCTTACAGCCCCGGTCTCAGCCAGCGCCAAGTACTGTGATGAGCCCACTGGTGTCTGCTATTCTGAAATTTCGATCGGAGTAGCTCCTATCGTCTATCGTATTGCTATTCCAGAAGTGACGGAGGGTCCTTTCGATATCCTTCTCCAAATTGTTGCGCCCAAGTCAGTCGGATGGGCGGGTATCGCCTGGGGAGGCGGCATGTTGTATAACCCCATATCGCTAGGTTGGGCGAATGGGGATAGCACTGTCCCGGCAGCTCGATTCGCGACGTAAGTTGAGGCCTCTTAACCGAAAGACGGAATTATTAATAATGTTCGCCTTACCTAGGGCCCATGTCCAACCAGAGATATACGAGTCGGCAAATCACACTACACTTCAGGGGTCAACGGTGAATGCAACTCACTGGACCCTGACTACTCTCTGCCAGGGATGCAGTACGTGGATTCATAACGGAGGTGCGAAGGAGACTTTGGATCCCGGCGCGACGGCTGCAAGCTTCGCATTCGCCGCGTCGGCAACGCCTCCGATCGACACCACCGATCCGTTATCCCCTATCGGCATCCACTCCGAGCACGGTATTTTCACATTAGACCTGGCGGCTGCTAAATCAGCGCAATTCAACTCTTGGGTTGAAAAATTGGGTGTAAAACGCTAGGTAATTTGGGTTGCTTGCGGCTGGAGCTTTCCGGGTTGTACGATTGAAATATACGCACAGGCCGTATTGATGGATATAGTAGATGGGGGTTGAGATAAAACCGCTGTGGCTTGTATGTATATATTTCTACAAAGGCAAAATACTACGGGCAACACTATGAACGATTTATTCGAAATCGCGTATATTTTTCAATGGGCAGTGGAGGTAATCCGAATTGACTGACATGTGCGAAGAGGTCGTATAATATTAGTTGTTCTAGGTAATCGTAACCAAGGCTTTTCTTATTGTCAAGGTATACTTAGGTACGTGTAGTTAAATAATACCAATGCTATATTTTGCGTGTGGTCAAGGGGGTGTAGATCTAAGATCTGATATTGTGTAGATTGTCATGAACTATTAATTGACTTGCTGGGTGCTCTAAGTCGCTTGTCGATATGACTATATTCAGAGGTAGCTCCTTTCATATCGCCGCGATATAGTCTAATTCAATAATGGAGGCTTGTGATTCAGGGAATGGTTGAAAATATATCATAGCTGCAGTGTCTAGCCTTATTCTAACCTGACGCATACATAACAGTCAAATTTATCAAGTAGGAAGTTCGTGTTGCGTTACCAGTCCCGTTGATACTACATTCTATGTAGCTGGGCACCAAGCCCACCCCCGAGGAGGACGATTGCGACTCCTAGTCAAGTCACTATTCAATCGACTGCTTCAAAGTTTGTGACTTGCATATGAACTATGAAGTACCCAGTTAGGTTTTAAAATAATTAATTATATAAATCTTGATTATGAGACCAATGCATAAAAAATAATAACTACGTTTTCCACTTATACAAGATTCCTAGGTCGATAAGAGAATGAATACCAAGACTTTAGCGATATGTGACTTGTAAATTCCTAGCTCGAAAGCATAATGAAGCTAATTTAAATACTTTTATGATAGTCAATCCACATTTTCTATTTTAAGCTAGCATCACATAGTCTATCATATGGGTGGAGGGCAATAGGGGTTAGCTTATATTATGCTATAAGTACCAGGCCTTTAATATACTTGGGTTTTTAATACAGCGAGAACTAACCACTAACCAATTTGCGGAATATACACATAAGCTTCAAATGCTAAGAGTACATGATTTCTTTCAAATCAAAAACGAGGTTTGCGAAACGAGCGTGGTTTGTATGTTATGTACATGGTACCCATATACCCTGAAAATGCTATAAACAAGTACTATGTACACGAAAAAAGTGATATATACAGTGCGGAGATTCATAGCTTATGTTGCTACTATGAGATCTTTGGTAGATGAGATGGTGGTGATATATGGCAGTAGATACTGCCTCAAGCTCCTACAAGCCTCATCATCTATGGATTTCCTTTAAGAAGAAAATCCGCCGACGGTGAGCTGCAAGACCTGCGGCTGCAGTCCAGCGACAACGCCGGCTTGGTTCTCGCCATCTGGGTTGACGTCGTCGTACGAGAAGGTGTAACCCTTGCCGTCGAGCTCGTACTTGTGAACGATGCGAGAGTAGTGGTTGGTGGGGTCCGCAGTGTAGTAGCTGTCGCTAGAGAGCGAAGGCTGCACGTTGCCGCCGTCGAGGAGAAGAGTTGTGCGGAAGAAAGCAGCACACAGCCTAGGAACAACTGCCTGGTGAACGGCGTTGTCTCCGTCTTGGATGCCGAAGGGACCCGAGTTGCAGCCCCAGATATCGGCGACAGTAGGTCGAGGGTATCCGCGGTTGTCTCCGGCGCAGGTGAGCTCGTCACCGTTGACACGGCAAGCAACACTTCCTGCGTCAGCTTGAGTGTTGATGGTAAGATCCTCGTTAGTGTACTTCTGCCAGACCTGCTCAATGTAGTCGTCGTAGTAGTTGGCCTGGGCGGTGGGGTTGATGGATTGGTATAGGTTGGGCGCGAGGATGCGTAGCGGGTTCCCGCTGGCGTCAGTAACACACAACTGGTCCCAGGGCTGACCATCAGCTGCCGCCTGGTCCTTCAATTCCTGGCAGATGGTGGCGATAGCGCCCGAAGAGAGACCCTTCACCTCTTGAGTCTCACCGCTAGCAAGAGTCAAGGTCATACCCGTGACTAGACCGACAAAGTCGACGAAAGAGATGTTGGCGTAGATACCTCCCGCCTCGGTGTTGGTGAACTCGACAAAGCCCCAGTTGACAGCCGCCGAAGGGTCTGAAGGGTTTGCGGCAGAGGGTTCGACGAGCTGTGATGTTCCGTCTCCGGCAAGGACAGTAAAGAACTGAAGTTCACCTTCGGCGATCCAGATACGGCCGGAGCTGAGATAGTCGGGTAGAGTAATTTCGGTAGTCTGTCCTTGGGCGTTCATAGGGTTGGCGACGTTGGCGGTGATAGCTACTGGCACCTGACTGCCAGCAGCGTCCGGGTAATACCAAGTACCGTCGGTCGAGAGCATAACGACGGCGCCGGAGGGGTCGTTACCGGTCACGTAAACATACAGTTGACTTCCCCCAAAGTTGTTAACAAGAGAGATCGTGAGCGGGCTATATTCTTTTATAGTCATGTTTGGGGGTAGGGCGTTAGAGGTGTGGTTAACAGTATTCTCTTGAGTAATAATCAGATCCCCTTTGTCTCCCGGGGTTACAACTATGGGCATGGGTGCTGCGATAGTCTGAGCGAAGAACGCTGTAGCAGAAGCTACAGCTAAGTTGAAAAAGCCACGCATGATGGATTGGTCGTATTCTGACGTCTGGCTAGAAGCAGAGTTACTTTTCGATAACGGTCGTTTGGTAATAAGGAGTGTATGCGTATCGAACTAAGGAATGGACGCTTGTTGCCTGTGGCTTCAGCGAAAAGAGAGTGAACAGTTCCAAAAGAGAACCGGAAGATACTTGCTGTACACCTACGGGGTCATACTACGGAGGAGGGCATAACACGAGGAGCCGGGCCCGTGAAGAATATATACCTACCTACCTACCTACGTAACCATGTCCTTCATAATGGTCAACAATGCCTTTCAACTTACAAGAAACGTTACGATCCTCTTGTTACTCAGTTACATCCGACCTATAGAGATCACACGGACCAAGAGGTGCACATAGCACCTCGATGACCTTCCCTTTACGGTCAAAGTCTAAAGAGGATCTGACAATGGCCCTGAAACTAGCCTCATGGAGAGCAATGCTGCAAGTAAGGCGAGATGGCTTTTTGTTGTGCATAGAGTATGTAAGGTTAATTCATCCTCTGCACTAGACTAGGGCTTTAATTCCGAAGGATGTGTAGGGGCCAGGGGGGGGGGGGATCTGGAAGTTGTTCCAAAGTTGGAGAAAAAGAGATGCCCGTAAGCTAGGATCTGAACTTTTAGTCCGCAGAACCTCCGTAGAAGCGCCTCTCTCTAACACTTTTACCTTCCCTTAATTACCAAATCCAATTTCCAAACCGGTAGTCGACCAATAAGAAGCCTGGGTCGTCCACTGTAAGTATTCGCATGAACCAGCCTACTCCAACGCCTCCTGGGCATAGTACAGAAATAAACCTCTTGATTGGAGGCATGTGATATAATCGTGGACTTTACGATGAGTTTCAAAATGTTGAAATTCTAGGTATCATATAGGAGTCTTTAAATCTACATAGTACGCCAACTGGCTACTTTTACCGATCGTAGAATTAGTATTTACAAGGTTTTATCTAGTATAGGTATGACGCCTTAGATGCATCGATATAGAAGTTGATATATTAGAGGTATGCATACCTACTTACATATGGCTATACATAGACTAATTGCGGCCCGTCTACTTTTGAAGAATAGTAATTATCCCATCTACGTGCATTCCCCTGCTTTGTGACCTACTGAAATAAGCAGTCGTCTTAACTGCAACTATGGCGGTCTTTCCGTTTAACAGACTGATGGATTCCGAATAGTCTTTATTGAGACTACTCGTCGGCGTTCATGTTAGGCCGAACAGAGCGCGTGATCATTAGTGAAGTAGGATCTCAGATGCAGACGATCCGATTTCAGATACTCGACCTACTGTCTATAGCAAAGTCAGCCCGAGGGTGGATGCGTTAGGTACCTACATATGTGACCCGTTGGAGAGGAACATGGGTTATTGTTAGACGAACTTCAAAAGGGAATGGCCGCTTGTCTGGCTAATGGATGCACTCTACTACGTAGTATAGAAAAGCTCTGACTATTCCGTACAGCCTCGGGAACGGCCACATCGGCGCGACATCTGAAGGCTTCTAATCCTAGTCGCCTTAGGTAGGTATGTATTTACTTACCAGGTAGGTAGCCAGGTATAGCTCTCGTCCGATGTCTTAATGCGCCACGGCCATTAACTTGTACCGCCGATCATCTCCAGATGTCGATGTTATACCGGCTTGACAAGGTTAGCTGCTATTTTGTCGACTTGTCAAGTCGATTCGGGTTATCATCGACGGTATAGGCATACCTTAGGTACCCTGACAATAGGTGACAAGAACCAAGCATTCAACCTCCCTCCACTTTACTATATTTAGACACCGAGCCGTAACTACGCCCGGTACCCACAACACACGAGTATCAGCCATAGGGCGCCGCCGTATATAGGAGCGTACTAAGTGCAACTCTGTGCGACTGGGAAAATATTGTTTATTTAAGTTCCCGGTTCAAAATATTTTAAGATATCTGTTCATTCGCTAAAAAGAAAATTCGGGACCAAGTGTGAAATCCCTCCTTAATGATTTGGACCACCTAAGCCGGTATAGGTATGGTATCTCTCGAGATCTGTATGGGATCTGTATGGGGACAAGCAGGATGTGGTCGAAGCCACAGCACGTGAGATAATGATCGTCAACAGCCATCAGTGTTCAGGAAGGAGACGACATATAAATAAATGCCAATTCGTTTCTGCTTGTTTGACCAGCAGACCAGTCGTGTTATTCTCCCGCCAGCCCCATTCGCGATGCTACTTTGTTCCTGCAGGTTCCTGATTTTGACCTACCGGATCGAGCCTATCAAAGCCAACGTAACCCCTTTTCGACTTTGAAGAGTCTACTAGTTACCATATCCGAACATTAATGAAACAACCCTTAATCAAGTATGGTCAGGCCACCGCCTCTTAAAACTTTTATTATGACTACCAACCGCCCCTAAGTATGTACGACATGATCGATCATGAGCTGTTGTATGTTGTATACTTCCGAGCATTTCTACCTAATCGAATGTAGATCCGGGGCATCGTCGCAAGGGTGGATAACATGGACCGGGGTACGGAGCTAAGGCTATCGGCGGGTGGCACGGCGCCAATCATCGATCTGGTCCAAGGGCTCAGCTTTTATCTTGAAACGGGTTTGTTTCAACGGGGGTAACACCATTTCTCGGCCGGAGATGCGGTCGCGCCGAGCTTCAGCTCTACTTTACTTTATTTTACTTTACTTTACCATACATTCTCATAACTATATCTAACATAATATATGAGAATATATATGAATCGATTCAACGCCGCACTGTTGCTTGCTCGACCAAATACCATCACCGGCAGTTTCAATACGTCATCTATCTAGATTAAACTGCATAACATAGAAGGGATTGAAGTGCATTTACCAAGAGCCCGGGTCGATCATTTACTTGAATCGGATTATGCATATCCTATAATAAGAAACGTATTTGTTATGAGACTCTTTGTTATTGTAGTAAAGTTGACGATAGACTGTTCAGAACATCAAATCCCCAATATCACAACTCGTAGTCGAAATACATAGAGATGTGGGCTCGCCTTAGACCCTTATCTTTCCAGAAAACTAAAAATATTTTTTTATAGAATTAAAAACCTTCAACTAATCCTTCGTCTATAAACTCCACTACGTGGGGCTAAGGCTGAAGGTTAGGTATCTAACGGAAACTCAAAGGATTCTTCCTTTTTCTCAAAGTACGATGCAAGGCTACCCTTTTTGTCCTTTGAGAGAGACCAAAATACTCCCAATACGTGCCGCAACGTGGCAAAGCGGTAAATGACTTGCGGTAGTTGCAAACCAACACCTCCCTTTGGATCTCTTGGCAAAACAACCTAGCATAGGGCTATGGGACTGCTAGATTATCGTGGGGTTCGTGTTAGATGCTATTAATTACGATATCGACTTTGCCATGATACTTGACTATTAATATCTTTTTACACTTCTTTGCCGGCTTTCCTTTGATCCTCCAGCCACTCGTCCTCCAACATGCTATACACAACATGATCATGCCAACCGCCATTAAACCACATGCTTTCACGATGTCTGCCTTCGTTTACAAAGCCTAGTCTTTCATATAACCTCATAGCACCCGTATTAAACGAGAATGTCCCGATCGAGATGCGATGCAAGCCCGCCATCTGGAATCCATACCACAGCGCCCATCGAATAGCCTCGCCACCGTATCCCTGCCCACGGTACTCTTTCGCGATATCAATACTGATATCCGAACTTCTATGATGTGCATGACTTGGTGGGCTGGCTTTGAGACAAACGATACCGATAGGTAGAGTTTCCTTGTCCTTCTCAGCGAGACGTGTGGCCGGTAAGCAGATAAGAGCACCGAGGAGACATTTTTCGATATGACTCTTAAATTCGGTACTCGCCTTTATGCTTTCGGGCTTCAAAAGCGAGTAGCTGGAGCCGGACTGAGCCTCTGCGTCCCGCTGAATTGAGTGGATAAAGGCTATATCTGCCGGCTCGTCATTAACAGCGCGGTATATAAGACGCTCCGAATGGAATGGGTCGAAAGGTCGTGTTTCGGGCATTTTATCCAAGAAAGTTCAAGGTTAAGGTTGAATATTAAGGATACGATTATGATATTCTATGTATAGTGATAGATTCTCAACTGTGATCTTTGGTAACTCAGGCTGTCTCTTTTATATGTTGGTGTGATAATAGAGACAATAAATAGCGGGAGCGGGGCTTTGGGCGTGGAATTTCCCGCGATGCCTATTTTGTCTCGCCGAAATCATAGGATGACTGCATAGACATAACTACCTACCTACCTACCTAGGTAGGCACCAATCAGGTATTTCGGAAAGTAATATACAGCCAGTCAATGAGAAAAGAAAGGGGTATTTACCTATATGGCAGGATAACGTAGGCCTACTATACAAATGCACTGGAGATGCGAGTCCAAGTAATTTAGGTACTTAACATAGACAAACATGGATAAACCATTGGTTTCGGTATTCTCATCTCAATAATAGGCCTTGTGCTTATAGGTAGCTCATACTTGGGAAGTTAATATTCATTCGTGTAAGCCTAGGCGCAAATATGAACCTATCATTGCCGTACACAGCCGTGACGGAAATCTCGGTTCGCTATTTGAATTGGAATAACTATAGATGCTGTCAGATAATATTCACTCTTACCCCCTTGGCTATTCTAGCAAAATATCAAGTGAGGGAATAAGGAGAGGAGGAAAAGGGGGTCAAGGGGTAACTAACATTGTTCTTGTTCTTGGTGAGTGGTCCAAATGAGATTTCCGATGTATCTTCGAAACTCTGAGGGTCTTCTTCTAGCAGCTCGAGATCTCCCTCGTCAAGCAATTCCATTTCCATCTGTACTTGCTTCCAGCCATTTCCCTCTTGTGTTTGTATTTCAAAGGGCTTCTCTGGCTTTATAATTAGCCCAGGGAGCTTGACTTCGCAATGTGCGTCAAAGCGGCTCGAGCGCGACACTTTGTTCTTCTTAGAGTCCCATCGCACCCAAGGAGATGTAACGCTGGTAGGCCAGGTATCCTTAACGTCGAGGCCTGCTGGCCTCAGAAGAAATCCGTAGCCAGCATTTGATTCTTTGACTGTTGGTTTTGCCGCCACAGGTACAACATCAAATAGTGTTTCTACCTGACCGGGTCTGCCTACCCGGACTCGACCCTCGTTGAGTGTGGTAGTGTTCTCCTGCGGCAAGTGAAGGTGCATACTGTAGGTTGAAGGATTACAGCAATGAAGTGATTTTCCATGCCAACCAACATTAAGCCATTTAAATATGTCGCGCCAGATATTGCTGGTTTATGAATCATCCTGTGTCAGCTTTACAGCCTGAAATTCCGGGGTCCCCGCCGTCCCTTTTAAGCCAAAATGATAGGGTCATCATAGGTACTTACTACCAAGCGTCAGTCACTGCATACCTCACAGAGGTAGTGTGGATACCGTTCTAGAATAGGGGGTCTGAAAGCAACAAGGGGATACTGTTCATACGTACCAGATTCACGCGGGTTCCCCTATTTCCTGCGGTCTCCTCTGCTTCTCCGTAAGTGCTTAGGGATTAATATGTTAGTATCTACGTTGCCAAGGATCATAGAAGCGGTAAAAACAACGCCCAACAAGTTAAATAGAAAGAATCTTAACAGTGATATCAAACTTACTGAATCGCTACAATTGTCTCAACCCCACGAAACCCCACCCAGACAGGTCCACCGCTCATCCCCGGTTTAGTATTGGCATCGTAACGAAGTTGATGCAAGTTTGTGCCAATACATCTGCCCTCCGACCTCCGCGGCGATTTCTCAGGCGGTGAGTCTTCGGGTGTGTATCCGCAGACATACACCATACGATCCCGAAGAATGTCCTTGTCTTCATCTTCGGTATAGGCTGCACCTTTCCCTAGTTGTGGTGCAAGGCCCAACATAAGATGAAATCCAAAGCCACGATGTCGCTTAGATGGGGGTCGTTTTAGGAGGATGGCCCCGTAGTCGTATATTTCATTTAGCTCGTCAGGATCCTCAAAATACTTGCGGCAAACACGGATCATTTCCGGTTTTACGTCAATATCCTTTTTTTCCTTGGGGTCTTGCTTTATCTTAATATTAGAGCAGTAGTGTTCTGGTTTATCGACGAGATTGTGCCCAGCTGTAAGGATTATATCGTAGGAAGCGTTGGGAACATTGACGTAGAAACCATTACCATGCTTCTCGCCTTTACCAATATACCGAATGTCTGCGTCAGCTTCCACAAATCTAAAGGTATTTGTAACATGCTTACTCACTCCCAAGCTTCTCGAAAGTGAGTTTAACCACCCAATTTTCCCACCGGCGTGCTGGTGTAGACAAATCTATTCCAAAACGCTCGGTTACACACGTCTCGTATTTTTGTTGGGCGGAATGCCAGTATGATATGGGGACCTGGAAGTTCCTCAGATCGAAATCTTTAAAGTCTTGCTGTTTGTCGTTCCCCATTGCTATATAAATAGCAAGATCTCGGCTTTGCTGTAGTTGAAATTGTACTAAATTTGATATCGATATTGGAAATTTGTAGGCACGAGCACACAGATGGGTAGGAGAATTCGTCTGAATACCAAGGTGAAATATGAACTTAATAAAGGGTGTGTTGGGCTTCATATTTACACATGCGATCGAACTCTGCTTATGTCTAACTTCGTGGCATCCTACTACTTCCCAACGACCCAACCGACGCTGCATGCGCTTAGGTACACCAACTTGCATAGTCTAATTCTATTACACCAATAGAATTTACACTCCTCTATTAGCTTGATAATATTAATTACAGTAATCTCGCTGATCGGGGCTACGGGGTAATACTATCCTCGAATCAAATGAACTCCCCAAGGTAATTTGTTATCATTTCAGTATCTAGGCCTACACCGGGAGGCCGATTGTTACAAATCCAGTAAACATATGTTCCAACTTCACAATATCAGTACCAAATAACTATCTTTCTCTTATATACCTTTACTTTCCGAGCTCCTTTCCATTTAACCCTCCATCCCGCCTGTGCTCTGCCTGAAGGAATAAGTTTGCCGTCATCGTTCACTTCGCCCAAGAAGGTCTTCTCTTTTTCTCCACTGATATTCCACAAGGAGCCACCAGTAAGGAAGTAGCTCTGGAGAGAGCCAGTTTCGAGGTCTTCGGCAACGCTAAAATTATCGATAGCAGTGCTGAAATTGGTGTTTTTAAGTATATTGGTTACTATACGGAATGGAGGGGCCCCCTTGGTTAGCAGAGGTACTTCAACGATGTGATATCAAGGGTTCCATTTCGAATTCTCACCTTGCCAGCTGCTGGTACTGGAGTTAAAAATGAGGTCACCAATCCCGAATCCCTCCTCGACGTAGAAGAGATGAAGCTCATCGTTAATAATCTCAAGGCACTGGGGTGTTCCCACCATGGGATTGCACTCAAGGGGTCCGAAAAAGGTCCATCCGTCACCCGCACCCATTACGACGGATAGCTGGTCGGTTTCGTCCTGGTAAGAGACTACCATATCTCCCTCTGGGCCGATGATTGCACTCAGCTTACTCTTTGGGCTGGCCGTTATGTTCCATTTGTCACCCAGTGGCGTCTCTTCCCACTCTTCCATATCCTCGTCGTATGCATAGCATCGAACAGAATTCTCCTGGTCAATGAAAATAACAAGGCGCTATAGACATACGGCATTGGGTTAGTAAGGCTACCAACGATTCTGCGTGGGGGGTAGGGCCTAACGTACGGGCATTTGCTCGGAGCTGGGCAGATATGAAGCCGAAGTATCATTCCTTACGCCTGAAGCAATGACATTCTCGTCTTCTACTGTGTCTCCCACCCAGTGCTTCTCGACGAGGTCTCCGTCCCTCACACTTAGGACGTAAATCCCTTCACCTTCATCACCTGAAAGCTTGATTGAACCAGCAGCAGCGAGGGAACGAGCAAGGTCTTGGACACTCATGATTAAGATCGTGGAATTAATGATGGGTCTAAACTATCTTGTCTCAATACACTTGTCGCTACTGTAGTAATGTCTGCGCATTTATAACCAGATTCACCACCCACTCTCCACATAGAGCCTCATAGTTTCCTGAAAGAATATTGCTCTACTAGGACAGTGACGTTCGCGTGGGGGTGTGTCTATTTACACACACCAACTTTGTTAATTGGTGAAGTAGCCAGCTGAAAAAGACCCCCACTGTTCCCTTTTAGGGAAGATCGTGAAGCTGAATGTAGGACTCATGCAACGCAAATATTACAAATAACATACTTTGAGGCTCTTTAGAGACTCCTTCGGGTAGAATTGTTTTTATGCAAGAATTAGGTAGGCAATGAACAAGCAAGTGTGGACCGCCGGCTCAGTCGGGATTTGAAGTGAGGCAATCGTGTGTAGGGTCCCAAAACTAGCATTGGCTACGTGGGCGTCGTTGGGCATATATTTTTTCATTAGGCTCGAGGTGCTCAATCCCGAGCAGCCTATCTTTGCTGACTCCTACGCAAGTATACTTCCCCCCGCGAGACTCAATATCAACTATTTGGGTCAATGTGACGTCTAGCTGCAAATACTCTAAGCAACGACAAAACCACGGCCACGTGTACAACGAATGGAATCTGCATATGGTTTCCTTTTCCTCGGCATCTGTCGACTCACTCATCGATCCTCCATACACCGAGATCAACGCCCAATGCTAAGGCGTAGGTTACATCACCGTCTCACCTGGATAGCCTGCAGCCACAATAGGATCAATGATTGGCATATAGCAATTTTATAGGTGTATACGAATGTATCAGAGCCTTACTATACATTGACTTAGTTGGAGATGGAAATTCATAGTGTCTGGAAGATGAGGCTCAAAATGAAGGCAAGAGAGGCAAGAGAGGCAAGAAAGGCAAGAAAGGGAGGAATTGAGAATCTCACGACTTAGTCGGCTTGCGGCTCAAATATTGCGATGTGTATATATACAACTGCTATTCAGTATTACATTATGGCATCAAAAGCAAAATCAAATTCCTATCTTCAAGTTCTCCAAGTAATTATATGCGGCCTTCTCCAAAATGTCTCTTCATAGTGACGCTGCAGCAGGCGCCCTCACGCATGCAACGCTTAACAACTACTTAAATACTTGCAAAATCAACGAACCCAGCACTGAGAGAGGGAATGGTACCATCGGCCTAACACCCCTTGCATTAGCCGCGCGAAATGGACACGCCGATACTGTCAGGCTCCTCCTTGAGAAAGGGGCCGCGGTGGATGCCCTCTCATCGCAGCTCCGTACACCGCTGTGGATTGTGACTGCGCGAGGACAGGGCGATAACCGAGCCGAGATAGTCCAGCTTTTGCTAAGATATGGAGCAGACCCGAAATACTCTCTTCCGACTCTCCAAAACGGCTCGACACCTCTCGAGAATGAGCTCAGACAGCAAAAGGATCCTGACGTGATTCAGCTTCTCGTCCAGAGTGGCGGCAAGACAGATAAAGTCATAAGCCTAGCAGCTAGCCTAGGCATACCCGAGATCGATACCGCCATGGGATCCTCCAAGCATGGAAGCAATGTTCTCGAAACTATCGTTAGCCTTATAATCGCCGTCATATTATACATCTTCGGTTGGGTTCACAATGCCGCTATTGCAGCTGGAAGCGTCTTAAAGAAGTATCCAATATGTGGTCGCATGGATAGCTCAATGGAAAAGAAAGTCCATGAGGTACGACAACGCAGACAATCTATGAACCCCTATTTTGACCTATTCACAATCTAACTTTCTCTTATAGGAACTATCACCTCCAAAGACCAAGGAGGAGTTCAAGAAGAGTATTGGCGATTTCGTGGCTAAGCATAAGCTGGGGAAGTTCTTCAGGGAGGATAGCCAACAACTACTAGAGAGTATTGCCGCCAAGGCTGTTGAACTACAAGGAGATGCCACCTCAACCTTGGGTCAACCGGAAAATAGCGAAAACCTCATCAAGCTCGCTCTTTACCAGCCTGTCATTTATTGTGGTATGACCACAAGCCCTTCAAATTGGCCATGGTTACAAGTTAACAATATTTGCAGACGATAGTGGGTCAATGGACCCGATGGGCAACAATGACGGGGAAAACCGTATAGGTGATCAGCGGGATCTAGTTCGTCGAGTTGCCTCTATATGCACCAAGATAGTACCCGATGAGCTTGGTGTCCATCTCCGGTTTATAAACAATGAACCGGATAATAGTGACAACCTGAGAATGGACGAAATCCAGAACATCATGGATCAAGTCAGACCTCTAGGATGCACGGAGATCGGAACTCAGCTCCGCAACCGGATCCTTCAACCTCTCTTATATTCTCGGTATAATGAGAATGTTAAGAACCTCAAGAGGCCGCTCTTTATCTCAATCATCACCGACGGAATCCCATACGGCGGAAGCAGGTCGCCTGAGACACGAAACACGCTCCGAGACGAAATCAAGAAATGTCAGGAGTATCTGCTTGAAAATGGCCTTCCATCACGGAGTAAGTTATCCATGATCCCATATATTCATAGACTCCTGGCTAACCTGCCTCGAAGCTGTGGTCTTCCAAATCAGTCAAATTGGTAGCGACAAGCACTCTAAAGAATTCCTGCAAAGCTTGAGGGAAGAGAACCTAGAGAATGTGTACATTACAGCACGTGAGTTATGCAAGTCAACGCCAAGATTAATAGCTACCTACTAATTTAAACTATTAGAACAACTAGACTCGAGGTTCCGAGAGCTCAGGGACAACGAGAAAGATCTCGAGGCTTGGGTAAGAATCCCCACTAATATCTAATATCCCCCCTGAGTCTATCAAAAGAGGCTAACCGCATGACCTTCTAGCTGTTCGAGACTCTCCTCGAACCAATTCTAGACAAAAAGTCTGGTTAAGTTGCAACTATCGAGTTTCAAATGAAAAGGCCCTAATAAAGAAGTTGTTTTTTAAGGGTTGAGGTCTAAGGAGATACAACGGTGGAGATGGGTCTGAGGATTTATTCGGCAATTGGCTTACACACACACATCCTTGCGATATTACAGTACCTCACGAAAGATTTCTTTTGTCACATAACGACATTCGGTTTTTCTTGTTTCAACTTTAAGTTTAGAGGGCTCGGCATAGTTATAATAGTAAATTTTCAAATTATAGCACCTACGTTACTCGGTACCTAGTGATGGAGGTATTCAGTGGATTAGATTGCGCCATAACTTCCGCCCACGTTCTGGAGTCTTTCCAGATATTTCATTCCCAAAACTCCAAACAGTATACGACTGTCTAATTATTAGAACCAGGAATTCGTCGTCGCCTACTAGCCTCTTAACGCCAGGAATCAATGGGGAAGTAGCGGGAGTGCTGTCGACAGGGCCCCTGCCGTATTGTGGGTTGGAATCGAGTACGAAGTCTGCACCGAGGGATTCAAAGCTACGCTTCTCAGAACATACTCGCCGTCTTCTATATAGACAACCTCTTCCACTGGGTATTGTTGAATAGATGGGGGGGATATGTGACTTGTCGCAAGGATGCGCAGCGCCGCGGCAGGGCGGAAATGATAAGATAGGACCTCGTGCGTTATCCGTGTCGGTTGCGGCTATTCGACCGTTCCAAATTTGGCAGGCACTTCTATGACTGCTATGATGATAATGGGGAATTGTGAAAGACTTGGTATAAATATTAAAACACACTGATATAAGGCTGTCGCCCATGGGATAACACGCAGACTCTTGGGCGGTCGCATCTAAACTCTGAGTAGCCGGAAATATAGCTTGCATTAGGCAATATCCGCCATAAGAATCTACCTTTTCCCAACGGAGGTTCGTAAAATCAAGGGACTCCATGGTAGATTCGGGACAAGTATTCCTGTCTAAGCAATAAGTTTCTATAAGTACGCCGTTGCGGATTTCGTGTACTCGGAGCTGCTTCCTAGGAGTGGGGGTGAGAGTAATGACAAAGAAGACATTGTCCTCAGTTGGAGAAATAATAAAATCCAGAAGCATCCCGCTTTGAACGAGGCGTGAGCCAGCATTATGAGAAGAGACAAGCTGCCCGGGAGTAAAGTCGTATATATGAGATGTACCGAGGGGTCCCTTAGTGTAACAGCCAGCTACGTCAATATGTTCGGGTTCTCGGTCAAATCTCCAAATAAAGAGTTCTGCATTCTTAGTAACGATAAGGACAGTCTCTCCTTCCGCGACACAGCGAACGAACTCCTCTGGGACTCTGGTGGAGTGGAGTCTATCCAGTTCGAGATGCCATGCATGTAGAGTCCTTCCGCGCCCCATGAGAAGTAGTTTATCACTCATAGCTGTCTTGAAACCCTGCTTCTCTCCTCGATGATTCGGAAATAAGTATGCCCTTCGCTTCCTCGTGCGTAGATCATCAACAACGGCGAAATAAGGGAGGACATACGCTTCGGGCCACCACGCTATTCGGCCATTATTGTACATCATAAAACGTGGGAAATAAGTCCCAGGGTCATATTCAAGATCATCCACATTCTCGTACCCGTGTATGCCCCCTTCCAGCTCGGGTACGTCCTTGCTTAGCGTGAAGAAACGGTCGGAGCCCAAACACATCTCATGATGTAAGGCGGAGGCGAATCTGCCACTCACTCTTCTCTGAATTTTATGTAGAATGCGTCGAAACATCTCACCCAAATCCTGACCATCGGTAGCTGAACTGCGGATGTGGTCCTCCAAACCCGGGAACCACCGCTGAGCAAGTTTAGGCCATATCTCGTCGCTCAGCCAAACACTGCGCCAATAACGGCATGCGCTGAGACCCGCATCTATATCCTTTGGCTCGAGATAGATGATAATTATAGCATGCATCTCAAAAGGAAGACGACTAACGATATCAAGCTTTGTGTTTCTTGAGCTCGAAGACGATGTACGCGTACTTCCCGAGTACCGCAGTTGTGTTAAGAGCGACTTCATGATGTCTCAGCCTCAAACCATGGGTTCTAACCAATAAGACAGAATTCTGGTAGGTATTCCCACGGATGCCTTGTGGTATATTTCCGTTGCTGATTTTATTGTCGATATATATTAATGCAAATATAATAGATATAATAGATGGTACCTGGCTCTCCGATTATAGCGACCGGACCATTATAATGGTAGTCTACTAAAAGAAGGGAGAACAAACGGTGAAGAGCTGTTGGTTTACGGAGTAAAAGTTAATAAAATGGTACCTCAGCTTACAACTCTAAAAATACATGTGAAGTAGCATCTGTCGAATAAGGATTTTGGAGAAAAGGGGGGCAGCTTGAGTTACACACATCTTATCATGGATGGTGCAAGTGTAATAGCATGTCGGTCCCGAAGATCTCCCGGTATTGTACCTGACTCTTTAAGTTGTTTGGGCAGTTGGAGTTGGGGCATAACTGGCGTCATTTAATTCTTACCATTTCCAACCAAACAAAAAAAAATATGAATCTTTTCGCCGTCAATCAGTACCCAAAAAATCTTGACCGGCTGACCGGCTAGACAAACAACACACCCTTTGTCGATGGGACTTCAGAAAATAACTCAGCGACGGTTTAGTTCGCTGTTCGCCGTTCGCATTCTCGCAGTACGCAATGCCAAGACAATAAATAAACAGACGCGAAAATGACCAGTAGGTAGAGTGCAAGAAGCTCGAATCCTTAAAAGGAACATCTGAGACTTAAAATCCACCAAGAAGGAATTTAATCCGATGTTAAATGGCCCCGATTAGGGTTATTATACGCGTTCTTGTCGTAGCATATCTCCAAAGATAAATGCAATCGCTCTTACGCGCGGCTGACCCCCCAACGCGTAAAGTTGACGAGTTGACTGGAAGAGTCGAGCACGCTTAGTACATCAGCTCTTCGTTAGCTCAATGCTTGACTTTTAAACATGGGAATATATAGATACCTACCTAGGTAACTATTAAGTTAAAAATGTATGCGGCTAATGACAATCTCGAGAACTTGACTTCGAGCTTTCAAGGGTCTAGGCCATCTGGCCTTCAGTGTTTGACAACGCTATCCAAATCAATATGCCTTTCCTGGCAGCCGTTTTATTCATACCGACTATTCTGGGGGAGAAGCTAGTTATCCCGGAGGTGCAAAGTGCAGTGAGCGCGCAGCTAGCGGAATTGAGTGGATATGCAGGCGAATCTGGTTCGGCCGTAGTCAGCGATGTCTCGCCGGTGAGCTCAAGCTCCGAAGTAAGGAAAATCGAAGAGCGAGCCACCAGCACTTACTGGTATGAGACGATCTCTCACCAAGGCATATCAGCCTTCAATTCCAACCGTGCGACTTACAAGGTCTACCGCAACGTTAAGGATTATAGCGCCAAAGGGTATGGATAACTTACCTCCCTACGTGGAGTGCTAATAGGAAAAACAGAGACGGCAAAACCGACGATACTGCTGCTATCAATAGGGCAACCAGCGATGACAATAGGTGCGCTCCAGGATCTTGCTCTTCGTCCAGCGCAACCAACGCCGTCGTCTACGTGCCCGCTGGGACATATGTCGTTTCTTCTTCGATTATCAGCTACTATGCGAATACACCCCCTACCTTATGAAAGGATTCGGGATGCACCTAATCCAAACTACATAGTACCTAATCTATCTAGAAAGACAACAGCCTGTACAATGATTTCATTTACTAAAACTAGGTCACTACCTATACTAGAAGCGATAGAAGAAAGAGGCCATTTACCTAACAGCATAACGATTTATGAACAATAATATTGACTTATCACGGCGCCTTTGACAATTACATTGTTTAAGGAGTCATTCATTGTGCAATTTCAAATGTTATGAATTGGTTATCTATTTAGACAAAGGCGGAACGTATCTTGCTTAGAGTTGGCTTTTTAGTATTGCACCATACTATTGTGTATTTTAGGGGTTCGATCTTCCCTCGATCATCAGCCATCCAAGTTCCAAGACCACAAGCATTTTCACATCTAACAATCTCGAAATCTCGAAAATACTATTTATCCGAGGTAGGTTAGTAAGGTTCCTAGGAAGTTATTAAACTATACCTTACGATTCAAGATGTCAACCCCGGAGAATTTCGACAGGGATCTCGAGATGGAATTGATTTCAGACTATTTACGGTCAGCTTCCGGTAAGCAATCAGCGAACGACGACGGGCAATCGGTCTACGATGCGTCTTCCTCACAGCAATTGAATCTTCCTACGTTCGTCACGCCGTTGGAGATAGAACACGTCCCTGGCATGGACGCTCTGTATCCCCCAACGCCGCGTAAGTTCTCCATGCCTGCTATGCCAGCGCCCAACAACCTCTCTAACCTACCGCAGGACCCGTCAAACTCGTATAGTCTCGTACAAGAGGAAAACGAGCAAGAGTTGGGTCCTAAAACGCGCGGAGTAAGGAGGAACGCGCAGAAGGCCAACGGCGACGAGACGTCTACTCTGGAGGAATTTTGGTATGAAGAAGGAAAGGAGTGGAAGGTCATTCCGAAGAAGGGCGAACGCACGGCGCATGAGACAAGAAGGAAAAAGAAAGATATGGACGGTTTGCAATCAGGACCAGAATGCTATGTTTGCGGCAACAAGCTACGTTTCGAGAATATCATGAACAATATTGCTTGCGACGTGTGTGGCTGCTTTAATTAGTTACGCCTAACTGATAGTTAGGTGTAGCCAACGAGTTATTACGGCTTAAGATAGTAAAATCATATAGCTATGTAGGTTAGGTACATACCATAGAGGTAACTAGATAGCGTATTATGACTGACCCCCTTTTCCCATCTGACCTAGGTATGTTTTGCTTGCCATATCGACGTGTCTGTTTCTCTATAAAATTCAATGCGCTATAACTTACTATATGTGACCTCTATATATTACACCATGTATGTCCCCGAACTCCTCGAATACCGATTTTCCACGTAATGTCCTCATACCGCAAAGTCAACGAGCAAGGCAAGAGACGATGAAGCAAGCAATTCCTATCTTGGGCTGTAGCCTAGATCCTGCGGCGACACAAACTGGAAAAATGCAATATTAAACCACCTCTTCCCATCGAAGTATAGGGTCGCGCAATCACCACAAGTCATATCTATCATTAACAGCACACCACGCGCCAGCCCGTCGCGATGCTGCGCGAAGGCTTCGGTGGCAGATAGCAGGGCTTGCCCAGCTCGGTTCTCGTACGGCCGTAATTCTTCAAAGAGCGCAGCTTGACAGAGGATGAAGGATCCCCCCGGAACGTCAGGATCAGGCGCAACCATCAATCGGGCCTCGAGTTGATCATCCCCGAACTGGTCCAGCCTTAGATGGCCGTGGTGTTCCACAGCGGCGCCTGAGTACTTCTCAAGCAGCGACTGCCCCGTCTCCCAGAAGCGTCGGAGCTTAGTGGCATCATCCGGCGCATCAGTGATATGATCGATAGTCCGGATAGCGAGATCTGATCTTTCTTTGAGGCTCATGGATTCATCTGTCACCAGCAAGGCAATGTCCATAGCTATAATGCCGTATACCCCTGCATGCAAGACTTTGGGCTGCGATCGGCGGGTTCCTGAGCCATGTTGTCGATACGCTGTCCTCGAGGTGAAAAAGGAGGTTCGAGACTGCGGACGTGGCCATATTTTAGAGACGTTGGTGGTGGCTGGGCTACGTAGCCCCGTCCAAAGTCGTCGAAACATTAAGGTGATATGGATAGGTACTACATATATTTTAAAAGGGTATATTATATAACAAACGATCAGAGAGTTAACACGAGCGATTCAAAGATTGAAGACGCGCCGAAGTGAGTTTTCTTCTTTTTTTACATAGGGGGTTCTCAAGATTTCAGGTTAGCGGTATCAATTTAATGGTTTGTGCGCCTTCTGGAATAAAAAGCCCTTTGCTGTAAAAAGCAAAAGAAATTACTGCCTGATTATGGAAACGTGATGATTTCAATCTGCGATTCGTTACATTAGTTAAGCGATATGCTATGTTGTGTAACGTGGAGGTAAGATTATCCTAGCAAGATTGCTTCGTCTTTTGACAGACGAGTAGATAACTACCTGGGTATTAATCAATATTAGCTAAAGTATTTATTAATCTGCATAATTATACGTATGAGACAAGCCGACTTGAAGCAAGAAAACTCGAGGCTACAGATTTGTAGGATAGTGTTGGGAAGATTGAAGTTTATGTACTTATCCATTATGTAGATGTACATATATTAGGTACATTACCTTAGGTAATATACCATTGACGTCACCCTAGCATTGCCAAATTACGAATTACAGTGTACATAGGGATGGGAAAAATATAATATCACTAGCGTATAATACGGTATAACATTACGGAATATATAATACCGCATAATTGATCAATTATGCGCATAAAACCCATCCCTATTACAGTGGCCGATCAATCACCTGATTATTCCCATTCGGATGTTATTCTTATCGGGGACCGACCGACAATTAGGCCACCACTTTTCTTTTTACTCAGAACATCCCATTACACCTTCATCAACTTACAAACTTACAATAATCATCTGCCCACATCCGCCTCCCAACTTGCAGAAAAATCAGAAAAATGGCCGACAACAAGTCACAAGACAAGACCGTACTCGCTTCCGAAGAAGAGACCAAGAAGGTGGGCCCAGTCTCGGAGAGTACAGCCCAAACGGACTCCGGCGACAACAAGACGGAGAATGCCGCCACGTCCGATTCGAGCTCCACTTCGCAGTCCAGACCGACCAGACATTTGCCCACGCACTACAAGGGAATGCCGAAGCAGTGGGAGAAGAATCAAGGTAAGCACCGGCCCGGGCACGTTCCGCCAAGAACCGGTCAGAGAGCATATTCGCTGTTTTCCAGTCCCGTAGCCGTAGGTAGACTAACTGAATAACAGTTCCCAAGAAGGATACCCCAGACTCTCCAAACATCTCTTCGTGATTGAGAGGATAATCATGGAGTTTTAGTGTAACAATAACCCATAACTATAGTTTATATCAAAATATCCATGTATTCCTATTCAGTCTTCCATATACCGGAATCGTCTCAATTGTGGCCCTTGGTGAACCAGGACTTCCTTCCCCCATGTCAATCCGACATATATTTATTATCCAGACTAGGTCGGCTACACGAAGTAAATAGTCGGAGGTTACCTGCGACTCAGCTGAACTGAGTTCGGAACAGTTTCCGCATAAAGCCATTGCGATATTTTCATACAAGTTAACCGGCAATACGAAGTAAGTTTTACAGAGCTCAAAATGTGGCCGAAAAAGAAGAAGGATTTCAAATGATTTAAGTATTAAATTGTATGGCTTTATTGTTAAGTCGAATGGTCAACTTCGCTCTAAAAAGCCGTCTAATTTCTTAGATCACGATACTATGTAAGTCCTTCAATACGGGAATCTCCTGACGCCGTACCCCACTCATCATACATAGTAGCACTCATCATAGGGTGACCAACTGCCGAGTTTAGTAGCCTGATCCACTGTACGTTCCTCTATCGACTTTAGCAAGTCGGGATCGAACGAAGGCTTGGTAAATTGCTGGTCAAGGAATCATGTACGGACTTTATCCAATTACACTCAATTACACTCAAAAAGGTCTGTACTATGGTTTTCTTGCGCCTCGGAAGTTGGCACCTATATATTCCCCACTTCCTTCGTCGACTACTTAACTACCACGTACTTCGTCTACATGTGTATACAAGACGTTGACTAGTCTCGACAACATAAATACCTTACAGGATTCTCATAAGCACTCAGTCACAGTATCAGAGAAACATCATACAAGTTTCCTCGAAACTTCTTAGTTAAAATTGGCTTATACCAAACCTACACCTACACACAAACTACAATGAACGGCAACTCAACACAACCGCGACCGCTGAGTGTCATTGTGACCGGCGGCTCGAGCGGGCTCGGGGCCGCAATGACCAAATATTTTGCTTCCCTGGGTTATGCCGTCAGTATTCTTGACGTCAACACCGCCTTAGGCCACAAGGTGGTGACCGACGTAGGATCAGAGTATCCGCAATCCACTATCAGCTTCAGGCGCGTGGACGTCACGTCGTGGTCAGACCTAGACACGGCATTTAGGGAGGTCTATCAGCAGCGCGGCGCCGTCGACGTCGTAATGGCCAACGCTGGTATCTCGGAACAAGGTGCCAGCAGTCTAACGCTCGTCGACGAGGAGGAGCCATCGCAGCCAAGGCTCAGGACGCTGGACGTAAATCTAACGGGTGTGATATACAGTGAGTTACATCAACCATTATGCGAGAGGCTGCACTTTTACTAACTTGCACGGCAGCTGTCAAACTTGCAGCGCACTACATCAGGAAGAACAAGCCGGATCCCACAACAGGATCACGGGGTACCATCATCTGCACTGCTTCAAATGCGGGTCTATATCCATTCCCCGTAGCTCCCATATACGCTGCCTCAAAAGCCGGCGTAATCGGGCTTGTTCGATCCCTAGCGATGGTTCTCGAACGCGTTAACATCCGCATCAACGCATTAGCACCCGCAGTCCTCGGTAAGAGCCCCCCCCCCTTCTTACTATATTCCTTCATCCAAGCCCCTTTCGGTTCCTTCAAATTTACATGCGCATCATTAAAACTTCGTTAACTGGGCTAACAACAATATAGAAAGTGGTCTCGCGCCATCCAAAGCCTTATTCGAGGAGATGATCGTCACGCCACAGGAGACGCTCATCAAGGGCATCGCGCAACTCATCGGGGACCCCAAGATTAACGGTGCCGTAGCTGAGATCCACGGCGACAGCGTGACTCTGCGCCCGCCGCACGAGTACGTGGACGAGGCTACGCATGCTAACATTGAGACTTTCTGGAAACACGGCGTTGCTTGAAGCGGTGGTTTTATTCGTTTGCTAGAGTCTCTTAGAGAATAGAGTCTTTTAGAGAATAGAGGTGGGAATGGTCAGTGATTTTTCGGCCGCTACGGAATCGCTATGTGCTATTTAGGCATTTTCGGAGGTATAGAAAGGGTATTAGGCTTGGGTTCGTGGGTGGTGCATACTATAAGGCTATTGGAGCCTATATAATGACTACTATCTAGGAAGTGTTTTCTTCAAAGCAAATTATACTATCCTCTATCTCTACTCACCTTACAGTAGCTTCTTATTTCTACGTGTTAGGTATCAAATAGTTGCCCCCCTTTAATTCAGCGTAAGAGCGCCAATGCGCCCCTTTCCCAAGCGTACCTACCTAAGCCTGCCAAAGATGACTAACAGCAGGCCCCTTCTCGTTTACTCTACACTTGAGTGCTGCCAAACAAATAGCTATGGAATCTATAACAGTCACGAATTCCTCAGAAAGGCATCAAAATGGGTTTGCCTCAAATAAACCTAAGTCACTGAAGTCTAAGGACAGAGGCGCTAGGACTTCTTGTCGCAATAGATGAAGCGAGCTCATTCGATATTGGTCACGGCCTAGCAATTACCTTACTTACATAAAGGAAGCGGGTTTCAATCAACAATGAGTAGGCACTTAGGTTAGGTAGTATTAAATATTTATTCTTCCCTGTGAAAGAAAACCTAAGCTACCTTACTAAGGAATCACAAACTGTTTGTTATTACTAGTAGGCATTGTTAGGCTACCTAGTAACTGTTTCTTAGTAGATATATTTTCGGATTATACTATTTACCTATGTACGCTAAAGATACGATTGAGTATAAGTAATGACTAACGCAACGTAACTCTTATAACTTAAGAGACGACACTTCTTTCCCCTTGTCATACTTAATCATATAGCCAACCTTAATACTCACTTACAACCTTACATATATCAAGGTTACACTTACCTGACTCTACACCTCTGGAGTCGCGTGAGGTAAGGGAGATACTAAGGTCACTTACCTACCTAGGTACGTACTTTACGACTTGAATCACCTCTCCGTCACGTCACTACTTGGTTGGAAGCTCCCTAGAAAACCCTTGGCTTCTCCCTTCCTTAAACTGATTTACAAATTAGAGCAACCTTTAATACAAGTATCCAGGGTAAAAAAAAAAAGCAGATTTCGCGGGAAAGATCAGGCACTGGGTCCATTGCCCTGACGCCAGTGTTAAAGCTACGATACAGGATATCATTGTAGGTCAAACTTACCATGCCAAAGATTCTTTACTATGATATTGATTGGTTCGATGACGGTTTACATCCTGTGTGGGGGGACAGCGACGAAGAAAGTGGCTTTGGGGACGTCGCTGTCGACGATATGGACGAAGAGATTTCGAGTCAGCGTGCTCGAGATCACCATGAGGAATCCTACCAAGAACCCTACCAAGGAACCCTATACTCTCTTTCACGACAACGCAACGATTTCATCACACATACCCAAGCCACTCTAAACGACGAGCGCGATATTTCCAGTCACATGAATTACGACCCATATCATGAATGGATACGTGATTCGACGCCCTACTACTACGACGATGACGACCATTACGACGAAAACTGGGAAGATTATTGGAGCCAATTGGTCACAGCGGACACGTACTGTTGGTGGTGGTTCCCGATCGTGGTTGAGAGGGTGAGCAGCGGACTGTACAACTGGAACCTCTGGCATGGAGACACTGCTTCGGACTATGATATGCGGACCAATTTGGGAAGCGACCGGGATTGGGAAGCCTTCGACCGGGATTTCGAAGACAGAGGCGGGTTCGGTAATGATGAGTCTTTGGGATGGGGCCCAAGTGTCCCAGACGAAATCGACGAGGATCTCCCGAACCCGGTCAACTTCCCTCCTGACCGTGATTACTTTATTTACGCTCGTCACCCCACCGATCCGTGGTGGCCACTCTCATAGTGCTTTTTGGCTTGGGTATGGTAACGCTCGTCAGGGAAATCGGCCCTAGATTGGACAGAGAGCGAGGTTTCTTGTAGTCGAAAAGCGTATCCGAACCAATGATGCCTATCAAGGGGGTTTGTGACCACGTCATCGACTATACCGCTCGAGGTTGAAGATGCGCCGGCATGAAACGATTTGCAGCCTATGGATCACATTGATTGAGATCTGAGTCTGTACACCGGTTGGGAGGACGGATAGAAGGTAGCTAATCGTCGCGAGCCCTATTTCAGAGGCATTTTCCCGCATACCCCTATTCTAGCGAAATAACATTTATTTTGATATCCCACTTCATTGGCTTCTACTTGAACATGACTTGAATTGTGAAACCACGCTTGGATTCGGCGAATAACGATCCGGTAAGTCTTTGACCTCGAAGGGCTACGTTCGATATTGGACATTATGATACGGTTAACGGCATTGTGACTAGAATTGACTTCGTGTTTCGTGGGAGCGCGAGGTTACGAAACGGATGCAATCAAACGCAAATAAGCACGGTCCTCAGAACCCTTCAGAGCAACAATGTGGACGAATATGGTTGGCCTGCGCTCTCCATGTACCGTGTGCTTATCCGTAGCGAGCTGACGAGTTCGTACCATGGACTCCTACCTCGATCGCCGGATGATGGATAAATAGGGCATAGTGGTGTAAGACGTGAACGAATAAAAAAGGCGGGGGAGTAATCAAGTCCGGGGTTGGTCTGGGGGAAAAGTCTGGGGTAGCATTGGTCTGTAAAGAAGAGGAAGGTTATCATGTGATTTATGAGGGGAAAAGGAGTAGAGAAACATGCCACTCGAATGCCTGAGGTGCGTCGACCACAACCAAACTCCCTGTGTAATTCTTATTTTGACCTCATCCGAGAAATCAACTTCATCATTGCTTCCTTCTATCCTTTCTTTTCGCATCCAAAATACTAAATTGTTAAAAAAACGTCGTCGAGGGCGAATCCTTAGCACTTACAGCCCACCACTCATTCGTATCCGTGATTTATAAGCCCAAAATATCTTCTCTGGAAACTACTCTCTTGCGTGATAGTTTGTTAGAACGCGGTATTTTCTTTCTGGCTTGTTGCTTGTCTCTTACGCCCGAAAACGTATCCTCAATCCGTATAAAGCGAGCAATCCACTCTAGCCAACATGCAAGTCGGACCTATCTTGGCTCTTCCAGATAGCAACGTCCTAGGCGAAAATATGCCGTTGGCATCTTTCAGCGCTGCTGAGAATCGAGCGGTACCCCTGGTACTTTTCATTCGGATTTTCCAATAGTAGGATAAGGCCCCGGGTAGAACTGAAACACCCAAGCTCAGGTGTTAGCACGGACCGATGCGTGGTGGAGACGCTGCTCAACACGGGGCAGAACGCTTTGATACCGATGCCATTCGGGCGTTCCGACAGTTCACGGTTGCAACATAGCACCAAATCCACCAACCCTATATTATAAGTAGGCCCGGAACGGCGATACCACGACCTTTCATTCTTGGCCTTTAGGCCCAAGAAAGAGCGACATCAACCGGAGCAAAGCCCATAATCTAATGAGCATACCGCCCAATATAGGTCGCGTGGAACCCTATATGAATGTTCGATGCTCGAGGACATATCAAGCGGAGATGACCAGGACAAGGTCAAGATCAACTTGTATCATGTAACAATTCCACTCAAAGACCACCGGTAGTTGATTCGATCACACAGCGTCAGCACCTCGCTGGTCGCTGTCGCTTCCAGTGAACCCCTGCGGGCCGATCCCTGATGCAGTTGGGCAATCACATATTCTACCTGGATTGTCTCCATAGGAAGAATCAGCCGGAAGCCTCGAGGGCAACTCCTCGCGTTAACTTGTGACAGGCTATAGGCTCAGCGTGTCCGACCAACGATCCAGCATTGTTGCCTACTTCCTCAAAGCTGTTATCGAGAAGTCATAATGCGGTCCTCATCGTCGAAGTTTCCTTTAAATGGTACCTGGCCGAGTCTGTCAACCACGCATTTTCATCGTGCCATGGGTGCACGATATCATGCTGTTGTCATGCTGTTGTCCTTCTTGTTATTGTCTATCCACGCATCAGAACCGTGATCCGCATTAACCTATTCGTGGTACCCGTTGCGGTAAGCAGGATAACGAGAATACCAGACCGGTCATTACTTCATATCTTAAAGAAGAAGACTTTTAGGCGCTCGTCATAGTCGGGGAAGATATTTTCGAATATGTCTAACAGTCGACGGCGGTAATTAGTTTCAAAAAGATTTATAAAAGGGAACGATATCAAGAGGCTTCCGTGAGCATCAACATTGGGGGTCAACTAATACATATATACACGGTACCTCCAGTTATTATCAGCACATCCTTCCCTGTTAGCACATCGGACCGGTCCACAATCAAAGACAACTAAACTTAAAGTCGAACTCTAACCTTAACCCTAACGAACCTAGTTTGCCTATCAAGCTCTTATCAAGCCATCAATCTGACCTCATTGCTTGATACCTGCCCGAAGCAGCTAGTCTAAGCAGCTAAATTATCTTTTCTTCTTCTACTCCGCAACGTACAGTACACTCTCCAGACTGTACACTCTCTCGTCATCCCCCAGACCAGGAGAGGCCATTCGTCTCCGCTCTCTTTTTATTCCCCAGCCAGAGAGCCCACACGGTCCCCAATTGCTCTTCCTGATTGGCGGTTTCGGCAAAGGCAGGGAGACGTGGTGGGGGTTCTATCGATTCGAGGATAGCGAGAGATGGCAAACCAAACCGCCTAAGTGGGCTGGTGGGCCATTCATTGTACGGCTCAACGGGATGTGTTGCACAATCTGTACAAAATTGTGCAGAAGCTAGTCGAGATACAGATACAATCGTGTCTTGACCCTGGCCAGGGAATCAAGCGAATTCGGTGGATCAGATCTTAAGCGGGAAAACCGCGCAAATCGCGAATCGTGGGGATGGTCAAGTGACCAGGAGCTCTGCTACGAGTATTTCTTATAGGCTTATAGGCGTATCACGATATAGACAAGATACCAGATACCATGATACTTGGTGAGTGGAATTTCTTTTCATTAGCCATTAGCCCATTTGGGACAATTCACGAATTCGTTTCTCGTCATCAGGCATAAAAACAAAAAGGAAAGCCTCAGTGATGTTGGTGAAGATGGTGGTTGTATTTTACAGACGCCAACCAGAGGTGGCCTTAGTTTTCTCCCATCTTTACATGCCTGAATGCAATGCAAACCCTCCTCCCCTAGGTTTTTTTCCCCTTTCCACGGGAGTCTATGGACCTCTAATTACTCTAATGCTGGTTCTCCTATTGAACACGGTGAAGGCACGAAACCATCGCGGTGTACCCCTCACTCCGAATTTGCTCATTCACACGTTCCAGACCGTAGTGTGAACCCCAGCCTCCGTAAGTATGGAGGTTAAGTTGCTTAAGTCTGTTCCCCGTATGTTAGTATTGTTTGAAGATAAAAATTTTTGTTGCGGGATTTTCGGATATTACGTACGAACTTGGCCATGAGGGCAACCATGAGGTCGAAAAGACCGATGGCTTCGACGAAAGCGAAACCCAGAATGGCGTAAGAGAAGAGCTGGCCACGGAGAGCGGGGTTGCGGGCAACACCGTTAAGGAGAGCAGCGAAGACGAGACCGATACCAATACCAGCACCAGTCAGACCGATGGCGGCGGAACCCATACCGATGTTCTTGGAGACCTCGACCATGGCCTGGGCGATCTCAGAGGAGTAAGCTCGGCGGGGAGTCTGCTGGAAAACCTGGCGGGTAGTGGCGCTCAGGATCTTGGAGGCTTGCTGGCGCTTGACGGCCTGGAAGGGAGTGGCATTGCCTAAGGTTGACATACATTAGCAAGCGCACAAACAACAAAGGAAAATTTTTTTCACGCCGCAATTGAAGTATCAATTGAAATCATTATAATATTTTTGATACCTTGTCAGGTATAAATGGGTTTAAATTAAAGGTTTAAACATACTGATGGTTCGCTTAGCAGCAACGCTGGTCAATTGGGCTCGCATGGCAGGTCGAGCGACCTTGGTGCCCATGGAGGAGGCGAGCCTGGAGGCGACAACGCGAGCGGAGGCCATTGTGATAGACGTGGATGAGGGGAGAGGTGTTGGTTGCAAAGACCAAAGATGACTGATGAAAGAGAAGATGGGAGTGAGGAGCTGGTCCAAATCGTCGAAGGAGAGAAAAAAAAAATTGAGCTTGCTGACTGGTGTGTGAGTGGGAAAGGAAGAAAAGGAAGGGAGAGCTTCGGAAGAAACGAGAGGAACAGAATCGTCCGGGTTGGTGGTTGCTTGGGAACTCGGTTAGGTACTTGGTTGCTAGTTAGCAGCTGGGTACCTTAGGGGGACACAGTGCAACAGTTGGTACAATACGAAGGTCGGTTCCTTAGGAAGTTTCTTAAGAACAGAAGTACCTTGAGTTGTTCAGGTAGGAGGTAGGTATGGTAACTATGAGAAAGACTACTACAACTCGAAACCCACAGGATGAGTGGATTGAGAAGTGGGACGGCTCAACCTCTAAGAACTGATCTGAACTTGTTCGCAAAATTTTCTACTGTGTAGTAGAGGACTACCCGATCAGGACAAGACTGACAATGATTTTTGACGGTTGGGTTAAACAAAGCTGTCTTTCGGGCAATACCGGGTCATCCTATACCGGCATCCCGGACACATTTTATCAAAAAAGCCTGAGGCTTTTTTTTTATCACCTCTTGGCGGATTCTATGATCAAGGACTTTCTTGTAAGTCTTTTAACATTATTCTTAAATTGAACAGGTATGTTATTCACATTAGATGTATATATTTATCTTTACAGAAATATTATTCATTAATTATCTGAACTTTTTAATGGCATGTTGTGAAACCTTCATGTACATATCCTCAAAAAAAAAGAAAAAGTAGGATAAGAATGGTGACCCCCACCCCCTCAAGCTCCACTGCATGTCATCAACGTCAATACCTGAGACCTCGAGTAACACGTGAGTGGAGCATGGAGGGAACACAGCAAACAGGAAAGAGTCGGGACAGAAAGGATAAAAGGCGCGAAGCACCCTCGGATTCCGGGAGGAAGGAGCTTTGCAAAAGATGCTCTTTTGGACTCCGGCACTTGCTACTAAAAGATTTCCTTAGGAAAGGGTCGACTAATGTTCTTCTTTCCCTCGGTGCTTTGTTAGTGCAGCTTTTTACAGGTACATATTTGAGCTCACATAAGCCAACCGGGTTTAGCTTTCGACGCTGCGACGCTGAAGCTTTCCCGACCGAATAGTGTCCCGTCCGATTACCTAAACCTTCCTTGCTTCAATGTTGCTTGCAGCTCGACCTTCGATCTAACTTCTTATTTTTTATTGTCTTGGCCCAGTGGCCAATGGGAGCGCTTGCTTGGACACCAGGATTGATACCGATCACCGCTTGAGAGGTACTATACCATACCGGCTTTTACCCCCTACATACATAGGTACAAAGCGCAGCGTATGCCTGCAGCTCTGTATGTAAGTATGTGTCCAATTTCCGTTGGGAATTTCCCGGCAGGATTTCTTTGGGGGAGAGAGGGAAATGGGAATGTGAGGTTTGTGGGTCGCACAATGCGAAAACTTTTTTTTTTTTCGAACCACTCAGGTTCCCGGGACGCCGGTACTGCAAGGTGCGCTTTTTTTAAGCCTCATTGCTTTGGGATGAAATTTTTTTTTTCTACTCAGTGATATTAAACTTTTTTACTACGAAATTGACTAGTATATATAATATTAGTTCATTTTCAACCTGGTAAAAAAGGGGGTTGACTAATTGGTAAGTAATAATATGAACAGAAATTTCAATTGATTGTTGAAATTCTACATCGAGATGATGTTTCGCTCTTCAAGCGAGATGGCGCAAATTCTTTTCATTACATGTGACCTGTTTTTTGATGCGCTGGTCTATGTACCTACCTATGCACCGCGAATTTTCCGAATGTCTTGCGGTCTAAGGTATCAAAGTATTTCATCCAATTCGGCGGTAAGCAAGTCACATGATTTACGAATCTGAATTACATTCTGTAGTACCGATTCGGAGTACATGATCTTCGCTCAACCTGTCAAGTGTATTAAATTGTATTCAAGATTATTGATCGACTATTTAATTCAATTGGATATTGTTATAATTGCATTCTTAATAGGATGGTTACAAATGATGAAATAGATAAAAACATCAACTATCATAAATCTCGATTGATCCCTATTAACCCAATCCATGTGTCTCCGTATCCCTATCGAAACATCGAAAATTCTACCCCAGCCGGCCAGCCAGCCAGCTACGTGTACACGATTACCCCCTTACCCCCCCGGAGAGCTTGGGCCATATTTTACTTACCCCTTACTATATGTAGTGTCTGTTACATACCCCGGCGTGTTACACGTGTAGCTGCGTATCTGGTGCCTTATGATGCCTTGTCTCCAGCCGTTCATCACCGTCTTATGATTTTCGAATATACAAGTCGATACCATTTTTGTTCTTTCTCTTCTTCCAAAGTTCTATATCACCCCAGCCAGTACCTATCATTTCTTCCAATATTGCTAGCATTATACACGCAAAAGTGCCTCAGGTATTATGCAGCCGGTTCAGGTTAGGGACCTCCCCTCTTCGGCCTCCTTTTATGCCGCTATCGTCCAACCACTCAAACTCCGTTATATCTCCGCCAATGCCTCGTCCATAGTCTTCGGTGACAGTACATCCGGCACCCCGGTCCTAGAAGTTAAGAGGCTTGCTCCCGGCCAACATCTAAGACCATCTCGCGTAATCCTTTCCGCCCAATCACCCTCGGTTGTATCTGCTTTTCGAACCGCTGCCTTACGAGCGGAACCCGATATACAAATAGACACATTCGACGAGGGCCGCGTAGAGGTCACCGACTTTGACGGAAACAAGATAGAGGCCGTCTGCCCCGCTGGATATCGTTCCAGCTTTGCACGTGCGAATTCTAGCGCTACCATTTCTTCACGAGAACCTCGGTCCATGATGAAGCGAAGTGCCACTACTTCCGCCGTGGAACCCCCGCCGCGTGAGACATCCGGGGGGTTCGGCGCTGGCACCAGCATGGGCACGGTCCTCGGGGCCGCAGCCGTTGGTGTTGCCGTAGGTAGCGCTTTGACCTATGCCTTTATGAGTAACGGCGGCCGTCAGCGTGCTACCCCGCGTCAAGAATACGAAGCCGCATTACAACGGCGCGCATCCTATCCAGACCCGCAGCCGAATGTTCAACCTAGGTATATCGAGGATAAGAAGTACCCACCGCTTAGCTACGGAGCACGGTATGCCCAGATTGAGGCTCCTGCAAGGAGTAGGGTAGTAGAAGACCTCGACGACCGCGCGAGCCGACACTCGAGCCACTATACCACGGCCAGCCGATCTCGTCGCCTCAGCGAGGCTGGCTCCGCAAGGCGGCCGCCCGACGTAGAATATATAAGCAATGCCGGCACCAAGTACGAGCAAAAGCTCCTAATGGACAGGGAGTACCGCAGCCAGGTGGGCGAGGACGACCGTCGCAGTTACGCGCCGTCCAAGTACTCAGCGGCCCCGTCGAGGCACACCGCAACACCATCCAAATATGCCGCCGAGTCCGAATACCGCGGTCGCAGCAGCTCCAAGCACAGAGCTCCCCGGCCGACTGAAGCAACCGAGACGTACGTCTCAACGCGTAGCAAGCGACCCGTCAGCATGGCACGCCCTCCCACACGGTCGCACAGCCGGGTTTCGGCGCGGGATCTCGATCTGCCCGAGAGCCGCACCGGCTGGGATGACGACGACGACGACGTGGAGAGCATCGCGCCCGACGACAGCATCAGCTGCGTCGGCGACGAAGGGTACACTAAGCGCAGGCACCACCACGCGCCGCACGGGACTCCGTCGATGGTCGGCCGCTTTCGCAGAGTTGTTAACGAGTTTGACGGCAAACGCAGGCCGTTGTACGGATCCGAGGTTAAATAAATAACCTAGATCGGTAACCCGCATGCTTGTCCCTCTCCCGAAGCAGGGATCACCTTGCTATATACTTGAATCCTTATTTTTCCATTTATCTCTACATACACACATACATAGGTACATACCTACACCTATCTCACGACACTCCATACGACAGAAACTAAAACGAACGACACGACAATCGGAAATGATAACGATATGAAAATATGATGCCTCAAGGACACACACACACACACACATCTGCATACAAGCATGGGCTTTTTTGAAATTATTCTACTGGGTACATGTAGGACAGCATAGGTATGACATACCTAGGTAGGTACGACAGCATATGTTTAACGGCACAACATTGGGCGGGCTTTTTTCCCTCTTTCTTTTTTCCTTGATGATGAAAATGAGCGAGAGAGCGAGTAAGCAAGCAGGCAAGCAAGCGATACGGATGGGCGGTCTTTTTTCAAAAATAATGATTGAATGGTTGCATGAATCGGTCATCTAGGTATATATATGTTTCTCTTTTTGGTCCGGTCTCGGGTCTCGTCTGGGTGTCTTCCACTTCTTATAGCATATTTTAGCAAATCATAAAAAACACCATTCCTCTTCTCGGTATGGATACATAGAATTTCGGTATTTTAAAATCAGTGTTCAGTTGCTGTGATGTTTTTAGTTTCATTTGAATAGACAGGGGATCCTCGAGAGGTTTTCAAGCTCACTCTACGTGACACTAATAAACCTGGTGACCAAGTGCTGTGTCACTCCCGTGAGAACCTACTTTCCCAGAAACCATACAGAATGAGAACATCCTAGGTATACCTTGCATATAGTAGCTACGAATATTTATTGGTATATACAGCAACAGAGAACAACTACCCAACGCTCCCTCGAGGTGGAAACACTCAACACGGTAACATGAAAGGTCTAATTCAGGGATGATGAAGGAAATAGCATCTCCGAAGGACAAGGAGCAAATAATACGCTAGGTATTATACGGGACAACAATTACGAGTTGGAAATATACCTACCCATCACCTAAAAAGGCTATACTTTGAAGGTTATAATTTAAACACCTCTTTAAGAGAACTATATTCTGTCAAGCTCTTCGTTTAAGTGTACGTGATTTTGCACCTCAAGCGAACACGTCGACGATTATTCTCTTAAAAGACAAAACATAGCAAAACACAGGGGTATCTTATATATTTCCATCCATCTCTTCTCTTCTCTTTCTCCATTGCTCTCCTCCTACTCTTCATCCACTTCCTCGCTCTCTCCCTCCCTAACCGCGTACCCCTCGACGAAGCCGTCCGGGTCGCACGCCTTAGTGAGGTCGATCTTATTCGCGTCAACCCAGCGCCTGATAGCTTCCCTATCGAGCCTTACGCGGGGAACCGTCTTCGCCTCTTCTGTTGTTTCAACATCTCCTCCGTCGCTGACGCTACCACCGCGCCGTTCGGTTGACCCGTTAGCCGTGGTTATCTCGGCGGGATTGGGACCCGCATCTTCTACGACGCCCATCTCTCGGAGTATGGCGAGGCAATCCTCGGGCACGATCCACGTGGCCTTGGACACTTCTTCGACCGTGATTACCGTCTCTCTCTCGCCTTCTGTATCGTCCCCCTCTCGCCCACCCGGTATTTTGAGCTCTAGAAGCCACCGCGCAATCTCGCCCGCCCAGAATTGCTTATACCCTTTTCTACCAAGTTCAGATATAGGCTTCTCAGGCCCGCCCAGAATACCCTCACGCCGGGAGATCTCGTACGATACACCCATGAGCAGGGCACCCAGACCCTTGCGCTGCCACGGCGGGAACACTAGGATACACGCCAGGTTGTTGTTATCCCAGGACAATTTCTCCTTGGAGAAGAAGCCCACTACCTGCGGTCTCGTCTGCGACGTTGGGGTATGTTGGGAAGTACTAGAAAGAGTTGTTGCAGATGATTGGGAGTTTGGGATTACATCGGTAGGCATAGGGGCGAGAGAAGGAGACGGTTGTGAGTCGGGAGTTGGCGGGGGCGTATAGACGAGAAGAAAGTAGTTGAACCCCGTCACGTCGAAGAAGACCGATTTGTTATCTAGGAATAGCTTCGCGAATAGGGACAGATTCTGACAGAATAGCTATTAAATAGTTAGCATCAAGTCGAGACAAACTCAATGTTTGAAGGAAATGATGGCGTAAATGATGGCGTACCCTATCTTTCTCCCCGTCAACTTCCCACACACTCCACTCGCCGTCATCACTAACCACTTCTTCCGCCATCGCCATCGCCATCGGCGCACCTGCACCTCCGTCGCTCTTCTTTCTCCCCCTACCCTTTCCAACTACCTCTGCGGTCGCAGCCGTGGTAGCACTAGAGAATGCCGAAGGGATCTTCACCGTCCGCGTCCTTAATAAGCCCCTGGGATGTGTATACACCTTCCGCCCAGGCATCTCGAACGTCTTCTCGCAGCACCTAACATGCTCCCACCACGCGACCAGTTCCCTACTATATTTAAAGCAGCACGGGCAGACATACAATCGTTCGAGCATAGGCGGTGGTTGTCTCTTGCTACCACCTATCCTGCCTCCCATCTTCCCGCCGCCGCCGTCTTTGCCATCCTTGCCGCCTGAATTGGTATTATTTGATATGTCGCCTAGCACCTCCTTGCCATAGAAGGAGGGGTACCACGCCTTGAAACAGATGTTACCCAATACGACCTTATCGATGTTGCGATCTGAGCGTGGTGTGGGAGGAGGCTTTGGCGGCTTGTCGGAGGTAGTAGGGCGCTTTGGCGTCGATGTCACGAGTGGTTTTGGTGGTTTTGTATGTGTATTTATTTGATTTAGGATTTGTTGCTGCTGTTGCTTTCGCGGTAATGTCGGCTTGGGGGGTGCAAGTCGGGTTTGTGGAGGGGATGAACTTGTAGTCGGTTGTCTCGTCGTCGCTTTCTTTTCTTTATGCCGTGGACGTGGACGTGGATGCTCCAGAGACTTAACTACTAGTTCATTTATTCTATCATCATATTGCTCTTCCTCTTCCCCTCCCACTTCCACTTCCTCTTCATAACTATTATTAGGTTGTATATTTTCTTTTGATATATTGTCCGCCGTGGCGTGTCTAGTTGTTGTGACGCTGTCTTGTTTGCTAGGTGGCCTCCCTACTCTTCTCTTAACCTCCCCGTTTTTTTCTAATATTTTGTCTGTATGTGGTAACATGTGAGGCTTATTGATAGAACCAGCACGCACACGACCGCTTCGTAGTAGGTGTTCGTCGCTATTGGGCGCAGGATGTTGTCTGGTCGCGCGACGCGGTAACTCCGGTTCGGCATCGTGCGATCTCTTGCGCTTCTGAGGCGCCATTTTTGATTGACTAGTTCTTTGGAAGGAAGACTTATATAAAATGTCTTAAACACATATCCTGTAAATTGAAAATACCTTTTAGCGAAAAGATAATAAAAGACAAATGGTGAATTAAAGTTGTCTGTCAGTCGCGACACTGCCAATGGAATGCTTACGTAATCGTAATCCGTTGCATTGAAGCTTATCGCCTATATGTGGTACCAAGGTACATATTGGGGTAGATTCGTCCCACGTGATACCCTTTAACATGACCAACCAAGCACCAATAGGATAAAATTGTTCGTGGGTCATACTTGGATATATACCTATATTTGGGAGATGTAGGTAACATGGTGAAAGCTATGGTATCAAAGCACAAACAAATGGCCGCCTTAATGTAGACTCTAGTTAGTCCAAGAGTAATTGTCAAAGCGTCGTCGACTCCAGACTTGACCATGACCAAATCCATACTACACAATTACACAGAGCAAACCATAAGTCAAACAAGCTATCGTGTAATATATAATAGCAATATCAGTGTGATTGCTAGACGCGTGCTAAAAAACGGGGGCGGTCCTAGCCAGCGCTTGAATTTGCTGTTAACTGTCCTGGCTTGCTAGAAAAAACCTACTATCTCACACGCTTCTATCCCAGCCAACAAAACGAGGCTTTCTCTCCGTCGATATCTATTACAATAGGCCGAATGACGTTGTTTATATTTGGCCGCGCCGATATTGCCGCCTCTTAACTTCTCTCGGTCACCAAACTACAACTTTCACCGATGCAAATAAGCTGGCTCCCCCGTTCTGGCGTGTTAACCCATTATAAACCAGTAATGGCGGAAAACGTAGCGCCAGAAGTCCTTCCCATTTCAGAATACACGGGTTAAATTATGTTACATTCCCTCGAAGTCTCCACCGAGGTCATCTTCGTCCAGGTCACCTTCTTGTATCTCCTTTGCCATTTCTCGCTCTCGCTCGCGCGCCTCCTGAGCGTTCTTCAACTCGAGTCTGTGCTGGTTCATGGGGAAACGCATGGCCTATTCGTAATGAGTTAGTCTGGCTGGATTCGAAGTAGCTAATATGATTAATAGCAACGTACCTTCACACTCTCGTCGTGTAGCGCAAGACAAGCTCTGATACGGTCGTGGAACGCCTCTCCTGGTTCCCTGGTGGCGTAAACGTCACCAATCTCCTTGCTCTTCATGAAACCTCGTTCCCTATCTAACGTCGCCTCAATGACGCCATCGCGAATCGCCTTAGCGACAATGTACTCCGCGCTCTCTTCACTACCAAGATGCAGGCGGATGCATATGTCGCGCAGCGAGATACGGCTGTAGCTCAAGCTCATCATGCGGATGCCGGTCTTGATCACATTCTGGCGTAAGCGCAGGATGAGCGAGTACGTCCCATCGCGGCGGAAGGTGTCGGCATGGTCAGCGATCGTCACCTCAAAATCCTCCAAGTTACCTACTCGCACGGCTTGGACGAGCAAGAAGTATGGGTGAAGGGCTTGTTCCATATTGGAAGCGCGGAAGGTAGCCCGTTCGGGGATATCACCCATCAGCAGCTCTACAACGAGTAGGAGCTTTGTCGCAGTTTGCGCGAAACCTAGGGCGCATGAGCTTGCCGGCGCTTTTCGTGTGGCCGCCGTTAGATGCTCATGTGCCTCAGTGTAGCGCAACTGAATGGCTCGGATCCGACCGAGGTAATAAAGGAAGCGTGCAACCTGATTGTTGGCAGCATTCTCTGGGAACTGAGTGTGAGATACGAGGAGATCCGCTTGAGAAATGTGGGAGGTTAGTAGGTAACTTCGGAGCAGGAGAACGATAACCGAGGCCTGAATGTCGATATCCTTTCGCAAGACGGCAGTCCGGAGAGCAGTCAAGAGGGTCGGGCGGATCGCAACGATCGGAGACTGAGGAGATGGGGGCAAAGGAGCAAGCTGCTCGCAGAATAGAGAGTAGTAGAAGTAGGCCTTTGCGGAAAGCGAATCTAGAGTTCGGCGATTCAAAGAGTGGATGCGCTCCGAAAGATATTTGGAAAATTCCGCCCCTTGCTGGAAATGCTTCGCGTCAAATAGATAGACTTGAATCAGGATACTCAGGAAGATATCGATCTCAGGAATGACGTCCTTATTCTCCTTCTTATTTCCGTTCTTAGCGGGAGCCTTTGGTTCGCTATCAATCTCCATCTCAGAACTAGGCTGGCGACCTAGAGATACATCTTCTTTTCCGATAGCAACTAGAAGTTGTTTGGCCACGTTGGCGGATGTGCTCGAAACCGAGAAAGTCTCAGCGATAACCTGGGCTAGGATATCTGGTGTGAGACGCTTCCTGAGGGAAGAGATGGATCTTAAAGCCCGTAGCGAGAATCTGGCGTCGAATAGAGCTACTGCACGGTCGAGGAGGGCGAAATTACTCTTAATATCTATAACAGAAGATAATATGTTAGATTATTATGTGCACGAGTTTATTCAGATGATGGTAGTAGCTATACCTGTGATGGCCTGGGTGACGGGGTCAACCTTGACCTCGAGATCCTCCGGCTTATCCACATCCATTTCGATGTCTCCGTCAGCGTCAGGCGGAGGTGGTTGAGAAGATTGTTTTGTGGTCTTCGAAGGGGGGACGACAACCGTCATATCTTCGCCTTCCTTGACACCCTTCTTGCCCTTTCCCTTGAGCGAGGACTTCTCGTCAGTCATGTCGACGTCCTGGTTGTTCCTGATGCCGTTCTCGACCGGCTCTTTTCCGTTTGAATGAGGCGTTTTCCCCGGCATATCGGCTGAAGGAAAATAAAGTTGGAAAAGGGGAAAGTCGGTTGGGACTGTTGATAAACGGAGGGGGGGTCGACGTTGGGTGATATGTCGACTTTAGGCCGTAGAATGGAGGATTGATGACGATGACGAGGACGATACTGGATACAGCCGAAAGGTGATATCGCGAAGCGCGCTCACGTTGAGGGACCCTGCAGGAAGAATCTGAACTGATTTGGGGTCGGCTGGCAGCGGGAAAAACACAAACCGGGTGTCTAAATAAAACAAATGAGAAAAAGAGGTATGCGTGATATAGATACACGCAACGCCAGATGTGGTTGGATTGAGGAAGTTGGTTTGAAATTGGCTGATTATGAGGATTATGAGAGACGGAAAGAGTAGAAGGGAGGAAATTGATGTCGTTTGTTCAAGTCACAAGTTCCTAAGTTCCTAAGCAAGTCTGGACGGGTCAGAGTGATGCAAGTAAAAAGCCCCGAGGAAAGAGTTGTCGCCTAAACTGCCTGATTAACTAACGAAGAAGCCGCTGGAGTACCTAGAGCTTTACTACCGTTTAGGTCTGTTTAGGTGACTTCAGCGGACCCCGGAGCCCTAAAGGAAGCTTGAAGATGCACTCCGAAAAGGACCAGTTACGCTAAGAAAAGGTACGAAAGCTTGGACCCAAAAGTACAAGGATCCTGGCCGTGGTGTTCCGCAACACACTAAGTATCTTCGGTACGGATCCGTACTGGTGTTTTTTTCTGGGGCGACCTTATGTCGGGTATCCACTTTGACCCTTGATGGAGGGAGTGACGTTTGCGAATTGGTGCCTGTCCAGACTTACCACCAGAGCTCCGACCGAAAATCAAGCCTCAGAGCAACCAATCTGCGCCGCATTTCTAATGCACGGCATCTGCGGCGACATGTCTATTTACGTGTACATACCTACCCTAGCCACAGGCCATCATTTTAAAGATTTACATAACTTGGTAACGGCCGATAAGAAATAAAATATGATTTCTTACCCGTCATTTACACAGTAGCAACACCCGCACCCCGATATCGCGCAAACAGCATTTTTACATATACCGGCCTCCATTAAAACCCATTAGTGACAAGTTCATATGCTCGAACACGTTGATGTACCATTGCTTACGCGGTGGCCCAACTATTGGCCTAGACTGCCACATGTCCGTGATTGACAGGTGCTATCACGTATGTATTCCCCTCCCGCGATCTATCCGTTTCCCACTCGTTCTGAAGAGCTCCTTGCGAAAACTCCACGAATATTAGGTACCTAGACAGCGGACTAAGACGGCCGTTTCTATGCACCTACCTGCTGTGCACACTTGACCTAGAATGTGTTCGACCTATAGGTGGGTAGTAAGAGCGGGCATATCGCGCATTTCTATCATTTGTTTATAGTCTTTTCGTCTCTTTTAGTCATTTCTTATGCAAATGTGATACCAGGCAGACAAGACACTAAGGGAAGTAATGATTTATAAGATCCCGTATATTGAGAGATCCGACTTATTTTTCTATAACCAATCCCAAGCTCATATATCCTAGGAGGTTTAAAACTAACGGGAGAGACGGCATTTTGATTTGACTAAAATGATGCCTGTGTGTAGAGCGATATGATAAGGAAGATGCTAAATAAGGGGTAACAACAGGAGGATCGATTCTACTACGAATGGAACCCACGCGTAAACCGAATGATATTATGGTTTCGGATAAGGAAAGAATGCCATATGGCAAAGCATTTCTTATAAAAGCTACTTCCTTGCTATAAACCCTGAAAGGTTCGTGGGATACTTATCATCATACTACCAACAACACCACCCCCCTTTAATGCGAAAACGGCACCTCACCACGTTCCCCCATCCGGACGCCCACAGCCGTAGCCTCATCTAAATCCTCGACAGGCAAGCCAAGCAAGTCATTATGGAGCTCCCCTTTGTAGTCACCATCGCCATTCGGGAAGAACATGCGACTATATAACATCTTAGTAAAGAGCTTCCAATTCCCCTCCTGCAGAGCAGCCCTGCCCTGCCCCCAGCGCTCCTCGGCAGATTCGCGAGTAACAGTCCAGTCGGCGTTCGTGGTGTGCGTGACGCGCTTCACGCTCTCGAACATGTCGCGCTGAGCGAGGCGAAAACTCGAGACATACACGCAGCCGTTGCGGAACCGCGATAGCGTAGGCGACGACGTGTCTGCCTCATCGTCCGGGAACTCCTTGAGACTCAGAAGCGCGGCGACGGCCCGCCCGCACTGCGGCCATGTGCTCGTGCGGATAGGCGCCGTGCCGTCCCCGAACTTGACCAACGTGCGCTTGTTGAAGTCGAAGCCGAAACGGTCGGGCCCGCCGCCTAGGCTAAACTCGTACCAGAAGTTGCACACGAGAAGGATGTACGAGCTGACGCCGAGGCTTTTGATCTCTGAGGTGATGTTGTCTAGCGAGGCCTTCAGCATGCTATCTTCGCACAGCTTGTCGTTGGCGGCGTCGTGCCCGAACCAGTTGGGTAGGATGTACGGTACACCGGCCTTGGCTGCTGCGCGTACTATTGCAGCAAAGTTAGTGCCTCAGCTATCACTTCAAATAAGAAGCTTCCAGGGGGGTGGAGGCTCGCTGGGAAATTACGGTTAAGGAAATGATTTTCAAATCCGGGCTGACCCTTTGCGATGATGTCTCTAGGTATTCGAAAGGATATTGGAATATTCAAACTACAGTGTGTTTGCTTCCGGCGAATTAAAAAGGGGTTATCAAGGCTACGTACCAAGCTTGCTGACGCTGTCCCTTGGAGCATGGACTGACATAGAAATGATCAAGGCCTGCTGCCCGCGAAGCGCCTCTACAAGTTCGGCGTCGTCATCGCTACTATAGTCGACACGAGCAACTCGGAGGCCTTCAGGAAGCTTTTTGGTGCTGTCAGGCCTCGTTATGGCCGTTAAGGTATGCTTTCCATCCTTAAGCAAGTGCTCGGTCAGGACACTCCCTATCTGACCGCCGGCCTGCTAGTAGTTAGTGATATCTTTATCCCGTGCAGCAGAAGATAGTTGAAATCCAACGTACCCCCACGATGGCAACCTTTTCGATGCGGTTGGTGAACCCCTCAGGCTGGTCTTTAGCGTACTTTACAGTCATGGCTGTCTTGGTCTTTTCCTAATATTAGATAGTGAGGACTTATGCTTGCTATCTACGGCCATTTCGACAGAAAGATACGTGCTACACGGGATATATTTATCTACAGATAATGAGAAACCCGACCATGCCATATCGTATGTCAAAGATACATGCTGGACGCCGTCGCTCCTCCGGAGTTTATGTTCTCTGGTTCGGACCGGATTTAACCGATGGCCTACCGGACCTAGGTTAGGCCCGGGATGTCGACCAAAACGGATCCGACGAGATCGGAGATATGGACCTTAGGCGGCGTCTATCGGGAGATAGTGCTGGTGATTAGCAAGTAATAGATCCTCTTTTTCTGTGTTGTCGTATTTCCAGCCAAGTAATTCATAGGTTTGTTACTGTAAGCCCCCTTGTCTTGCGCTTACTTAATTCTTCCTTATATATTTGGAGAGGCTCGCGCCTTAATTCGGCACTTACATAAAGCCCTTTAGGGCTAATTCCGAATCAGAACTGAAATTTCCTACAAGCTATTATAGGAATGGCGCTTATGTGAAGTTGCTATTTTGTGCTAGGCGTAATTTATATCTCAAAACTACATCACTAAGTGGAAGGAATATACGCTTATAGATACAAGATTGCATATTAATTCTATTACACCCTTAAGTTGTCTCTTTTTCGTAACCATTCTGAAATCCCGTCCTCTTCCAGAGTTTTACCAGACCGCCAACAACAGTTAGTATTGAGTGGTGACTACTAGCCCTAACCCCCTTTCCCCGTACCTAGTTCCTATGTAACCCCGAATCCATACGTAACTGAGTTAGCCGATTAAAAAGGAGCAAACGGAAATATTGTTGAGAGATGGGATAGCTGGAAAAGGAAAATGGTGTTGACTTTGCTGCATTTTGTACTCGGAAAATGATGCCCCGGCTAATCAAGGATCGTTTCGATGCTAGTCTGACGAATCGTTGATGGTGCCGCCACATGTAGAATCCATATCATAGTCGTCGTACCAGTAATCAGACTCCTCAGATGGCAACGCCCTCTCGAAGATTACGTCTCCGATCTCAGTCTGCACCCTCTGGTAGCCAGCACGGAAACATTTATGCACGATCTCGCTCGTCTCCGCTAACTCGTTATCGTCGATGCTAACCGTGGTTCTGTCGGAAATGTTGGTAGCGAAGTATTGTAAGATCGGTTCTAGCCAAACAAGCCATTTCCGTAGGTCCTCCTCAACATAATTCCGGAACTCCTTACTACCGGATGAATCATAATGTTCCCGAGCCTTCCATGGCTGTTTCAAAACGAGTGAAAGATGTGTCAAATCTTTAAGAAGCGGACACCATATCTTGGGGTCGAATTTGACAGGCTCCATATACCCAAGCTCGTGAGGGTGTGTGACCAGCCTCAAGGAACGGATGCGCAGTATGTTGGCGGTTCCAAACTTGAGGAATTTATCGTGAGAATCAGCGTGCGTATGTGTGACGAATGTATTGCGTTGGTACAACACGTCGAGGGCCTCCTCGCTGACCTGCTTAGATACGCAGAGGATACTGGTCCTTCCCCGAAGCACCGTGTCATTCTCATCATCGTCACAGAACGCTGACCCGGGGTCATCCCACATCGACTTGATCCACCTGTCGAGCTTGGGAGTCAGAGACTGGACACCGACGTCGTCGCGGAAGAGCAGCAGTTGGAGGTAGATCTCCTCACGGATCTCCAGGGGAAGGCGGAGGAAGATGCTTGATTGGCCCGCCATAGTGGGACGAGGCGTCAGATGTTATCGGATTATAAGACAGTCCGGACAATGGAATCCCACGGCAAGATCCAAGTTATGATGATTTCCGTAGGGTGCGGGGACAATACATGGAGTTTTTATATTGGCCGGGAATGGGTGCCAGACTCACGTGCTCGTAGGAGTAGTCGTACGTCCTCTTAAACTGACCGTCCCAGGGCTATATGCACGATGCCGAATTACGAATGTCGGGGCTTTCCTATGGAGGTGTCACATAAAATTGGTAATTGGTGATACTTGGCTTCTTTCGAAAAATCTGTTTTTGTGTTGCTGTTCTACTTTACTCTCTTAATATTAATTGGCGTATGAGATTAAGATCGGGAATAGTAGAGGGGTAGAATTTCTCGGTGTACAAGCCGTGTCACGTTTATAGATATCAAAGCTCAGACCTTGACGCCTCTCGGTCTGCATCATGTATGTTCTGCTAATAGTTACGTCATCTGTAACGTAATTCCGGACTATTGCGTCCTATATTATATTACACATACGTTTTCTTTTCTTTTTCTTTTTCTTTTCTTTTTTTAGTTTTTCTTTTTCCTATAGCTAGGCTGCTAGGTAGGTACCTAAGGTAGTCAGTCATATCCTCCTTTCTTATAGAGACTCTTCTTATATAATAGCCAACTTAGACTTCTATGGGAAAACACTTGTAAGAACTTCCCCATACGCTGTGTATGACAACCCCATTTTTTCAATATCGTAGTCGTTCCAAAACCCTCCCCCAGCCACGGCGCTTCGTGAATTCCAACCGGTGAACTTAGACAGTGCTTGTGTAGCCGTTGTCCCCTGCGAAGGCTTGGAGTCATTCGTAACCCATACGAGCGGTACGACCTTCATGCCTAGGGTGTTTTGCCAGCTCCCCGGATCGTTTCCTGCACCACCGTCGTCTGCAACAAGAGTCAACAATTCCCTCCTTTAGTAAAACGTCAAATGAGGTCAGATATATCACGGGAGTAATCGCCCCTTAGTCAGTTCGACAATGAAACGTCGGCTCCCGAGACAACCAAAAAAGTGGAAAGGGGGAAGAGGGGGGTGGGTTCGATGTTACATACAGCATTGCAGATACACCCTATCTAGCAGCAAAGTCGGTTCTTGGAGACCGTTGTTAATCTGTGTCGTGACGCTCCTCCAGAAACCTGTGTTTGTATACGGCGCCGTGGTGTATTTATATCCTATCGTGCCGAGCATTTTCGCAAAGGCGACAGTACTAGTGACATCGTATATAGACTCGTCGTCATTGTTAACGGCGTCGAGATCCCATGCTATCTTTAGCGCCTCGAAGTTGCGGTAGAGCGTCGTCTCGGCACCGGTTCCGGGGCTGCGCGTCAGTTCGCGGACGTGCTGGGAGTTCATCGAGATCTCAATCCGGTTAATGCCTGTGTCGCCTGTCTTAAACGAGCGAACCTTATCGGAAAGCGCTGTGCCCCCAACATATGCACCATTAGATGCGATTAATGTGTCCTTGCTTCCTGGAGTGTTTGAGTAGTACATGATGTCGCCATTTTCGAGGATTCCGACACCGAAGATGATGACAGAGTTAAAGCCTGAGGTCTTTAAAGATGAGGTGTTTGACTTGAGTACGTCTTTGAATAAGTATATGGCCCTTATGCTACTCGATGCGGTCGCATTAAACGTAGCGGAAGCATGCTGGAAAAGAAGCTCAAATAGCAGAGCTCTTAACACGACGTGGAATAGCATTGCTATTTGCCTATGCAATGTTTGCGTCCGACGGAATATTAGTCGTGATAAGCATTCGAATCTCACTATCGTACTTCTTCAGTTTGAAATACTTTTTTTTCTTGTCGGGGCATTGCTATTGAAATACTTAGACTTAAATCGAACTATTTAAAGGTCGAGACTACGGAAGACCTCACGCGCAATATATTTCCCCGGTTTAAGGTAGTATTAAAGGCTTCCGGGGAAAAGGGAAGCGAGTTTTCTTGAGGTAATGGTACGATCACTCAAAGCCTTGTTTTCTCCAGCGGCTAAAGTCTGCAGTTGTTATAGCTAGTATAATACGAATGCTACCGCAGCATACTCTCAACGAGATCGGCGTTTACTTCTGTTTCGGGAAACTCTTCAAGCACATGCTCTGATGTATATTCTTGGCGCTTAAAACGAAGTGCTATTATAAGCCTGTCTCTAATTCGTTTGAGAATTACAATGTTACGCTAGAAATACGAACTAAAGCGAACATAAATTACGTACTTTCAAACCAAGTTTGACTGCCCGTTAGGCGAATACCTTGTAACTAGTTCTATGCAGAAGGAGGGTTGAGAGAAGCCATAACCCCATTGTATAGCCCTAGTCTCCTGTGAAGTGAAAGGTACGTGGATCTCGCCGAGGTGAGGATGTCCTCAGTTTTTACGGCTCTGCCAACTTAGTATACTATGAGATCAGAGAGGGAGGACTATCCCAACCCATAAGTTTAAAGTTACAATACAGGTAGCAGCAACTCATGGGCCCCAGAGGCATATAATCGCGGTTCTTATGATCTTCTATCGAATATGCCTGTTGGTTTGCTTGGCTATATAAGTATATATTGTAAAGAGTTCAGGGGAATCAAACCGGCGGTTGCTTCATTCTCCAGGATGTCGCTCTTGGATGTCTTCTTTTTCGTATCTGTGGTGCTAGTTCTGTCTCCTTCGCATAAAGTCGAAAACTCTATGCTTATAACTCTGGTATCGAGACCTATTAAATGGGCGTATTGATATCAGTAGCTACCCGTCCTTTTTGAGGCCAGATACCGAGTAGCTCTGGTCTAAAGGGTCTACGCAATTAGAATACTCAAATGTACCTAGGCTAATGAAGTAAGTTTGCTATATTTGTTAAGCTCCCTTCCTTCATCAAATTGGGAAGAATTCTGGGATTCGAGATCACAATTGAAAAATACTTGGAATGAAAATGATACAATATCAATCTAATATAATCCAATTCACACATAAGTCCCAGGGCCCTCATTATCTATCAACATAATCCAGGGGGAAGCCTCATTCATCAAGAATTCGTCCAGATCCCCATAATCAAGTTCTTAGTCATTATTGCCCCTTTCACTCGCGTCAACTTCTCTGGTAAGAGCATCCCGTCGATACCACTCTTATAGGTAGCCGTATCTAATGAAGGTGTAAAGCACATGGTTGTGATATCACCCCGTAGATGGTTTCACAGGATAGATCGGATAGGAAAAACCCATACTAAATCCCAAGCACTCCCTACTCCGGATTGTCCCAGTAGCCCCATCCCACTAAGCTTATAGTAAGAGAAGTAGAACCATGCCCAACAGAATACCTTCCAAGACCTTAGCATTGCGCGCAGGCTCAAGTATCCTACCTGCTGCCGAAGATCTGGAGGAAGTAGTCGTACTGGTAGTAGTTGTTCGAGAACTTGAACCTGTCGAACTCTGCTATTTTTATCAGTTATGCCATGCTAAAAGCGACACCGAAATGTGAGAAATAACCCACAGTAGTAGCTGCGATTACAGTAACAGTGACAGTAGCAGTAGCAGGACTGAGATTCGTGGTGGATGTCGTTCTACGGCGACTAGTTGACTCATTGAGCCGAGTAGACGTGAGTGTACTCGTAATAGTCGACGTCAAAGTCCTCGTTCCGGACCCTGATCTGCTAATGGTGCTCGTCTTCGAGCTTGTAACTGTGGATGTGAAGGTTGTCCCTGGCGAATCTCCGCTGCTTGACGTAGAAACGGCGCCTGTGGAAACGGAAATTAATATCACATTTTCAACACCTGTTTTTGTCAGAACAGATGTAAACGTTGAACCAGAACTCGTACCCGTGTTTGCTCCACTGCTACTTCGGCTCGTATATGTTCCCGTACTTGAGCTGTCTTTGGTGCCTTTCTTTGTCCGTGTATAGGTGGACGTCTTTACACTTCCCGAACTTGTGTAGGTACTCGTCACAGTTGTCGTGTAGGTTCTGGTTGGAGAAGCCTCAGAAGTCTTTGCAGTACTAGTCTTTGTCTTTACAACTGTAGATGTTACCGTGCTGCCTGAGATAGTATATGTACTCGTGGCAGTTGTTTTATAGGTTTTCGTTGATACTTCAGAGGTTTTTGTTTTAGTCTTAGTAACCGTCGATGTAATCGTGCTACCAGATTTGGTGTAGGTACTCGTGGCTGTCATTGTGTAAGTCTGCGTTGGAGAGACACTAGATGTAACTGTTGCGGTCTTAGTGATTGTGGACGTGGCCGTAGTTCCTGATTTAGTGGCTGTTTTGGTAATAGTCGACGTGAGCGTAGTTCCTGAGCCAGTGGCTGTTGCTGTCTTAGTGACTGTGGACGTGGCCGTAGTTCCTGAACTAGTGGCTGTTTTGGTAATAGTCGATGTGAGCGTAGTTCCTGAACTGGTGACTGTTTTGGTAATAGTTGATGTGAGAGTAGTTCCTGAGCTAGTGAGTGTGTTGGTAACTGTCGATGTGAACGTAGTTCCTGAGCTAGTGGCTGTTTTTGTAACTGTTGATGTAAGTGTAGTTCCTGAACCAGTGGCTGTTTTGGTAATAGTTGATGTGAACGTAGTTCCTGAGCTAGTGACTGTGTTGGTAATAGTTGACGTGAATGTAGTTCCTGAGCTAGTGGCTGTTTTGGTAATAGTTGATGTGAACGTAGTTCCCGAACTAGTGACTGTATTGGTAACTGTCGATGTGAACGTAGTTCCTGAGCCAGTGACTGTGCTTGTAACTGTTGAAGTATATGTTGTTAAGCCCGCCGTGGTTTCTGTGCTGGTATACGTTGATGTATACGTACTCGTACTATAGCTAGAAGAATAAGTGCTAAATGATGAAGTGTAGGTCGAGGTGCCACTACTGGGCCAACTTGATGAGCTCGAAGTTGAAATGGTATTAGTTGTCCACGTCTTGGTGGCTGAGGAGCGGCTCATGTCAGTGTTAGTTAGTAAGACTTGAAGAGTACAGAGTCGTACCAGTACTAGTGATTACTGACCCGTATGTGTTCGAGGATTCACTTTCTCTGTCGTTGTTTGAAGGCGCCATTGTGGCTTGATAACCGCCGGGGCCTATGGTATGATGATGACCGCCGCCGCCTCTAGTATGATGGCCACCGCCGCCTATGGTATGATGGCCGCCGCCGCCTCTGGTATTATACGAACGGCCACGAGTCTTAAGAGTGTTAGTTAGGAGGCGTCGTCAGATGTAGTTAGAGCATAGTTAGATATAGATGTTGAGAATATGAAAACATGGGATGGGAGTAGCCAAGGGGGCGAAGGGATATACAAATGTTACTCACAGTTGTTGGAGACGAGGAACTCCATGAAGAAGTATATCCGCTAGAGAGTGTGCTATACTTGGTCCATAGTTAGCTAAGGTTGGACTTAATTTTTGGTCAACAACTTCAAGAGCCGTTTCAAAATTGATGGATACTCACGGTATTTCCCCATGAGGTGCCTGTTGTTGTATAATCTGTTATAGTCGAGTAATAGGTCACAGTTGAGTAGTAGGTCACAGTTGAGTAGTCTGTTATAGTTGAAGGTGACCATGTGCTTGTATAAGTTGTGGTGGAATAGGTGTTTGAGCTGGTCTTTGATGAGATAACGTCCTAATATGTATCTGGAGTCAGCAGAGTCTGATCAAAGACTAATCCTGCTCTGTGATAACCAGTCTTCTATTGGATATCAAAGAGGAGTATCATAAACAAAAAAAAAACCGTTAAAAGTCGGAAATGGAAGAACGTTGACTTACAACGCAATTACCGAAGCCGAAGGCATTATATCCGTGATTGAGAAAGCTCTGTATACCTGAATCTAAGTTATGAAATCCTCCGAAGCCGTGTTTGCCATGGGAAGAGCCGCCGTGATTCCAGTGGTTCTTAATACCAACGAACATGTCTCGTGTTGACATTCGTATATGATTTAGAGCACCTTGTATGGAGCGACATCCGCGCAACTGAGCTATTGTGTCTCGCCTGCCCATTAGCTGCGTTACGAGGGAACCAATGGATTGATGAAATGGTTTTATAGCTGACTGTATGGACTGGAAATCCCTATCGTCAAGTGATCTGGCTGAGGTAATAGCGGCAGAAGTTGTCTTAATCGTAGAAGATAACGACTGGAATGCTGAGTCAAGATGCTCAATAGTGCCGCCATTTCTCACGCTTCGTATCGCGCGGTTTACGGTGTGAATCTGTTGATTAGCTGAATGGATAGCATTCACAATAGAATTGACTCCGTGCGAGCCATGTGCGTTGCTTTGGCCTCCATTATGGGATGCAATAGAACCATGCCCATCTTTATTAGTATTGCCGGAGCCATGGTTTGAATTTTTGCTTCCGCGAGCCGCATTGTTTTGGGCGCCGGCAACCCCGTTGTGATTGGATCCTTCGAGACGATGATTGTTCGCACCACCAGAACCAAATCCATTGAACCCCCCTAAGCGGTTTGCGAACGTAGCCACTATGTAAATGAAGATGGAGATTAGATAGAGGCTATGGAAGGATTTCATTGTGTCAGCCTTCCAAGATGAAATCGGGGAAGGGAATTATGAGAGAAAGAACTGCGCTCTTGATGGTTCTCTCATGGGGCCTCTTAGTTATTAAGCTGTTGAAAAGTAGCGATCTTTGGGTATTAGCTAGAAAAGGGGCACCAGAGAATACTCGGTGGCCTTTTGGTCCTTTAAGGCGCATATATGGACCACCGGAGTAGCACATCTTGAAAAGCGATATGACGAACCCCATTATTGACTCAATCAATGAAGCTCTTGAAACGTCATTGTGAATGCAAAAAGGGTACTGGAAGGGTTGCCTGTAAAGGGTCGCATCGTCATTCTGAGTTTCGGTCATAAGTAGGGCCTTAAAATGGGTCTGCAAAGCAGGGAGGTGACAGATGCACGCAATATATAAGCTAGGGACATTAAGAAGCAGCCGTTGATCGGCAATGGGTTATGCCTCCACACACACAATTCATCCATCGGTACTGTTAATCCTCTAGTAAAGGCCAGATAATAGCAAAGTCTAATATTCCACAACCTAAAATTACGTTTTCGTTAAGGGTCCAGGGAGGTTAAAGCGATAAGCTTATGAGCTCGCCTAGATGATTATTATTGCCCAATAGCAATCTTGAAAGGCGATATTCGGATTTTAACGAAGGCAAATTAATGTATATAATGCGAGAGAATGTTTCAGAGTAAGCATAGTTCTCCATGGCATCTGAAAAGGGGGGCCAGCAATAACGTAGCTAGTCTCATAGACTTTCAGACTTGAAGCTTAATCCGTCTTCAAACTTCCGATCCTTGCAACCAGTAGGCTGTTTTGTCCGGACATTTGTGGGAAATATCATCTAAGAGTCCGGGGTGATGGAAAGGAACTGGTCTGCTTATTATCTCGACCTTATCTGTTATAAGGTCATATTAGATAGGGGGAGAGGAGGATTAGACATGGAAACGCCATCTTAACCCTCATACCTCTAACTGTAGCGACGGGAAAAGAGTGATTCTGATATTTAATATTTCCGTAGAGCTCAGTAATAGGTGCTAATATACCTATATATATGTGATATAATAGTTTGTTGGTTGAGCTTGACCCCTTTTCTCACGGATAACTCCCAGTATGCGTTTGTATTTACCCGGCAATGAGAATTGAGGGATATATTTTATCCCTAACCCTTCTAATCCCTCGATACCGCGCATGGTTGGGGCAGATAGTCTAGCCATCGTGGTGCCCGTTTTACCTTGCTTTAGGTATAGTAACCCATAGATGTCAGTAGCCGAGTTACTCATCGGTAACGTGGTCAATTTAATAATATATGCCAATAACGGCTAATTATACAGCATGCCTACTCCGGCTTCCGCCCCCAGACAACCTTGAGCGGAAAAACAGCCCCTTTCTCACTAAGTTCCTTCTCCAAGTCAGCCCTCAAGGTATCATACCTCTCAGCTGGAAAGGGCTGCTTCTCCGGTGGGAAAGCTACGACAGATTATTAGCATAACAAAGCACCTTACCCCTTTATTCAGGGGCAGCTAAGGTAAACACTCACTCTTCGCAAATTTTGATAATCCCTCAACTGCAATTCCGCAGCCCCGGACACCGTCTTCGCATAAGCTGTCATTTTCATTCGTCCGGCCCATCTTTAGCACTACTTCCTCCTCGCTGATATCCGTACATCCCACACCCTCTAACAAGTCCTTGAGGGTTCCCCCCATCTCCCACGCGGCACCCACGTGCTCCGCGATACTCTTCATTAGCCGGAGCAAGTCGCTATATGCGGGCGTGCGCTCATTGTTCACTATCTCGGGCGGGAAGACCATAGTCGCCTCGCAGAGCTGGATCCAGCCGCCGGGTTTGAGGAGGGAGTATAGGTGTGAGATAGAAGGGGCGGGGGCAGGCCCGGTGCCAAGAAGGGTTAGGCGCTGGTGAACAAGGGAGAATTGGCCATGCTGGGATTCTGGCCAAGGCTTTTTGATGTCTTGGACCGTGAATGACACATTTGGGGGAGGGGAAGGAGGAAAGGGGGCGGGGTTGAGGTCTGTGCCGACGAACTCGTGCGCGCCAGCGGGTAGGGATGGGAGAGAGAATGCTAAGTCGAGGAGCCATGTTCCATCCGCGGTACCGCTATCAAGGACCTTGACCGGTCGGGAGAAATCGACGGGTGCGCGAACGAGCTTACCACCCATAGCATCTTTAGCTATGAAATGGTTACTAGCCAGGCGCTTGCGTTCCTCTTGGCTCTCCATCCAATACTCGCTTTTTTGTTTGTCAACCATGTTGCAAGAGTGTGAAAGTGAATAATTTTAAAATGGGTAAATTTAATAATTACGTTAAAGTTAATAAGTTAAGATCTAGAGATATAAGTTATAAAGAAATGTTTAATTATAATTAAACTTTAATATAATAAATTAAATTTTTTAATGTTTTAAATTTATTATAATAAAAATTTATTATAAAGTAAATAACTTTATTTTAAATAAAAATTAAATATATATATATTAATTTTATTAATAAATTTTATTTATTTTATTATATAAAATATATATTAACCGTTATTTATTTATTATTTAAAACTTTATTTTTTTACTTTTTAAATTTAATTACTTTTTTTTTTTTTTAAAAAAACTTAATTAAATTTAAATCGATTTAATAATGTTATTCGCATTATTTTAATAATAATTAATATAAAAATAAAGTTTTAATTAATAAAATTTTTTTAATTTTAATAAATTTAAAGTTTTTATTAATTTAATTATTATTTTTTATATTTTAAATAATATAAATTAATATTAATTTAATTAATAATTTATTATTTAATAAAATAAGTTTAATTATTTTATTATTAAATTTAATAAAATTAAATATTTATATAATTATTTGTATAATTTTTACTTTTTTAAATTATTAAATTTAAATTTATATAATTTTTTTAACTTATATTTTTTCGTAATTTTTATTATTTTAATTTAAAAATATTTTTTATAAACTTTAAATTTCGTTAAAAATTATTAATTTTATAAAATAATTTTTAATTATTTAAAACGTTATTTAATATTATAATTTAATAATTTATTTATATATTTTTAATAATAAAATTTTATTTATATAATTAATATTATTTAACGTTATATTAATTATATAATTAAA